CATATTCCGTCAAGTTCTTCATGAACTTCTTGAATTGACGGAATATCAAAGTTTCTGAAGTTGTTGAAAACGTCCCTCATTTTTTGATTGCAGATGCTGAGCCAAGCATATTGGCAGATGTGCTCTCCCATGTTCCAAGAATGGAGACAGTATGCTTGGTATTCTGGCGGTTATGTGGACAGATGCGCTCCGAAATGTGACAGACCAATTCAATATTGCTTCGACCGGAAAGTTTATGGAAAGTGCCAATTATCTGGGTGCAAAACATTGTCAATGGTCAAATGCGCGTATTGTGCCAAGAACATATGTTTCCAGCAGTTTGTCATCGAATGCCACCGATGTGTTTAGAATCCTCAACTGTTTTTTCAATAAAAAAACATAAAAAATTTTGAAAAATCTTCGATGACCCCATGAGCATATTAGTGAATTTCTTCAAAAATTAAATGTCTGTTTTTATTCTGGGAAATGCCTAATGATAACGAGAAACTCCCGAAAAACATGTTTAAATTGCGTAAACTTTATTCCAGAGCCAGTTATGGCAGCTTAAAATAAAACAAAAAAACTTTTGCCAAATTTTTGGGATCGGGGGAATCGAACCTACAACCTTCCTCCTCTGAACTTGCCATTTTACCACTTTACCACACTGCTGATTGAAATCTATTGTTTTAAAAGAAATACACTATTCCGTGAAAAAAATTTCACGAGAAATTGCTTAATCATAGGGAAACTTTTCTAGGTCATAACTCAGCTCACGTGAGCATTTTGCTGATTTTTTTAACAGATTTGGAATCCTCATAAGCTCTTCTATCTGCTCCCAAAATTTCAAAAAAAGTTAAACCTGCTCCCTCAAGTAACTCCCTTGTAAAAGACACCTCATTTTTCCTGTTTTCGTACTGAAAACGTGAAAAACATGTGTCTTTCGGAAATCGGTAAACCACTGAAAAACTAGAAATTTTCAAAAAATTCTGTAAATGCAAAATTTTCAGGCTTCCTTCAACATTTGTTTACTATCTTCAACGTTATTTTTTAGGTTTTACTCCCTTCAATATTCTTAAAGTGATAGGACTGTAATAATTACCGTAAAATCTGTAATAGAAGAACGCTCATATTTCTAACTTCCTGTAAAAGATATTAAAAAGTAACAGATTACATTTTTATCGTAACATAACAAACATTTTGTTCACGACTTTTCATATCTTTGATAGGAACCGAGATAAATTCGTTCAAAGTTAAAATTTTAGGGGCTCTTCTATTACTGGTTTTACAGTTGTTGCAAAATGACCGGTTCTAAAACTTCTGTTTGGAAAAGTACGATCTTTGCATTTGATCTTATTGAATGTTATCTTCTTCGAAGATAACAAGTTTCACGATTTCCGCAGTTGAAACATCTGAAAATTTGGAATTTTTGAAACCAATCACATGCTTTGTTGATACATCACCTTTGATTTCATCACCTGCCATTCAAAAACCTGCGAAAATGGGCGTCTCAATCCAGAATAGTGGATTTTGATCCACAAGTCGATGCCCAGTCTTACTGATGGTTCCAAAAACGCCCGCCAAAGTGATAAGTGGTCCATGGCAACAAATACAACACTAAAACTACATCTTGGCAGACCTGCGAGCCAATTTTCACTTCTAAATCAACGAAAACCAAAAAAGTTGTACCGGTTGCCTTTATTCTATCCAAAACCTTCAAACTCTTATGGAAAAGACCATTTGGAAAAAAAATAAGTTTAGGAGCTTTTTTGTCACCTTTTGTAAACAATTGTCTCTGATTACGACTGTTTGGAAGAGTTTCATCAGTGAAAATCTTTACGGCACCCCACCAGGGCTGGGCGAGCAGTCGGCTTTCGTGGGAAACGAAATGCAAAACAGTGGACGGCGGGACCCGGGAAGTGTCGGCCGCTGCGAAGAATGACTACCCGGCGGCGCGTAGTTGAAAAATAAATCAAATTTCAAATTCCCGCCAGTTTCGTGTCGAGACCCGTCGGCGAAATTGCGTGCGCCTTTAATCTCGAATTTTTCTTGTTTTAGGGGGAATGTTTTACAGTAGACATGATAATTTCGAATGTTAAAATCCTATTTGACATTTGTTGAACCATGTATCTTGCAATACTACGGTCAGTAGCCATTTTTTCGCTCAATTTGACGTTTGATGATCCCACGAGTCTGGCGAATGCTCAAATTGATGACGGCCCATGTTTCGGCTTTAATAAGTCACTTTGATTCTTTTAGATAATTTCAAATGCACCCCGTCTTGTGCCACATCTCAATCCTGGGTTGATGTGGAGAAGGCTTCTTAATTCCGAACAAAAAAACAAAATGATACCAAATGTCATAATTTACTGCTTATATATGGTCCCTAATTTCTGTACCTTTTAAAAATTTTCAAAATCATCTCTTGGCGCCGGGCTAAGGATCTCTCAAAAAACGTCCTTATCGGCCACCCTGTAGGGGTCCTATAACTTGAGGTTTTTGAAAAAAAGTAAAGATGGTGTGAAAAATCTGTGAACGCCATTGGATTCTGAATACAAAACAACCCTGGTACAAGTTTTTTTTTCTCAGACTTCTTAATTCACACTGTTTTCTGACACAGAACAAGAAGAGTTTCCAGTTATTATGAACTTTTTGATTCCAATAAAATTCGAAACACTTTTGTAAAAGCATAAAAATCGGTGATAAAAAATCACGTACTATGCTGATGCGATGCACTTTTTGTTTCTCACGATTACTATAAAGCCAAAGTTCGGTTTTAGAAAAAAATTGACAGCAGGTATAATTTGACCTCGAAAGTTTAACTTTAAAAAATGGCGTTTCTGATAAGGATGCTTTTTTTTGCAACATTTTAATCGTTCATTCAGTCAGAAAAAAAACGATAGAGCGCTAAAAAATGAAATTAAAAATCCCAGTACCTGGAAGTATTTTGTATACCATACTATGCCTTGTATTTTTTGATTTTTCTGCTGAAATCCTGAATCAGACTTTTCCAATTTTGGCTCCTACGATCCATGACATGAGCAATCATACTCTGTGGTTCCATTATGGAATAACTCCTACTGTAACAAGGTGATTTGTTTTTTTTTCTTTGCACTAAAAATTACTAATTTCCAGCATCTCATTTTTAAACTCAATGATAACATCAGCTGAAACTGTAGGGAGTTTGGTATCCCTCATTTTTGTGTTCCCGTTTGCAGAGACTAAGGGAAGGAAATGGGTTATCATTTATCTAGGGTAACAATTGAAAAATAAGCTTTCCCGTAGGTTTATTTCTTTCAGAGCACTGCTTACTGTAGTTTCTGCAATTTGCCAATTATCATCTGCATACTTTCAAGCATCCGAGCTGTTCATTTTGTCACAGTTTTTCGCTGGAGTGCATCATCCGCTTCGGACTTTTTTGACGTTCATTTTTATAACAGAATGTGCTCCTGACAAAAATCGAGGCGAGTTTTCCTGGCTTCTAAAGAAGCGATCTCAATCGTCGCGGTTCTTAAACGTCATGAATCATGATTCTAAAACATCGTAGTTCTATAACGTCAAGGTTTTTGAACATCGCGGTTGTGAAACGTCCTGGTTCTAAAACTTCGCGGTACTAAAACGTCGCGGTTCTCAAAAATTGCTGTTGCAAAACGTCGGGGTTGTAAAAACGCCCTGGTTCTGAAACTTCGCGGTTCTTAAACGTCGTGGTTCTAACACATAGCGGTTTCGAAGTTTCGTGGTTCCAAAACGTCATGGTTCTAGAACGTTGCGGTTCTTAAACGTTCTATTCTAAAATGCCCCGGTTTTAAACTGCCGTAGTTCTAAAACGTCGCGGTTCTTAAACATCGTGGTTGCAAAACGACATGGTTCTCAATTTTCGCGGTTCTAAAACGTCGCGGTTCTAAAATGTCATGGTTTTAAAACGTTGCGGGTCTCAAACTTCGCGGTTCTAAAACACCATGGTTCCATAACGTTACGACTCTAAAACGTAGTGGTTCTAATACTTCGCGGTTCTGAAGTTACAAAACAGTTTGTTGCAAACAGTTCGTTTTACCATTAAAAAACAGGTGAAAAAGTCGGAAATGTTCACAGATGTCATTCTAAAAATTTGCAGGATTTGCATGCACTGCACTCATCATATTCGTTGGTCTTGTCAAAATGATCATGTGGGTTTTTTTTTCTTTTGCAGAATTCAGATTGACAGTATCCGACAAAAAAATTATATCATCGAAACGTGCAAAATGTGCAAACTACGAAAAAAAACTGTCAAGAACACATGAATTTCGCGAAAATCACGAGTGACAGTAATCAGCGCTCATTTAACGTAGTATGATAAACTTATCAATGTTGCAGGATTCCCGTAGCATCCCCGAGTGTTTTCGGAAATACTGATAGTTGGTTTGTGTTCCCACTGACCGCACTTATTAGGTTTGTGAGAAGAAACATACTACAAACAATCTGAAAACTCAATTTTTTGAAGTTGTCTAGTCATGCTGATAGTCACTGCACGTTTTCCAGAGTCTCCAAAATGGCTGGTGTGTCAAAATCGTATAGAGGAAGCTGCCGACTCAATTGAGTACTATCATGGGGATGATTGTAACACAAGTAGGGCAAATTTTAAGACACAATCTCTGAGAAACTCGAAAACACCATGGCAATGGAAAAATTCAAAATGGTCCTGGGAGTCTGATATTGTATGTGGTGGGTATAGGGGCAACTCTAAGACTTTTGACCATAGTACCCATAAGCCACGCCCCCTCCTGGCAGCGATATAATACCGTAACCCCGAAAAATTATTTTCGTTCAAAATAATGATATCGACTCAAACGTTTCAGATTTGAGTTTCTGGTACTATTGACCATTTTTTGTGTTGAGACCATGCTTCTACAGTAATCCTGAAGTAGAGAAAATTTCACTTTTTTGGAAATTCCTCAAAAATTTTCCATTGGTTAAAAAATCTTACCCCGAAAATTTGATACTTTGGACCTACTTACACTATAATACTATAATAACATAAAAAATTAGGGGACCTTAAACGGGTTATTTTCGAAACCAATGCCATTATGGTATTATAGTGTAAGTACGTCCAAAGTATTAAATTTTCGGGGTTAGATTTTTTAACCAATGGAAAATTTTTGAGAAATTTCCAAAAAAGTGAAAAAAAAACTTTAAAAAGTGAAATTTTCTCTACTTCAAGATTACTGTAGAAACATGGTCTCAACACAAAAAATAGTCATAATAGTACTAGGAACTCAAATCTGAAACGTTTGAGTCGATATCATTATTTTGAACGAAAATAATTTTTCGGGTTACGGTATTATATCGCGGCCAGGAGGGGGCGTGGCCTATGGGTACTATGGTCAAAAGCCTTAGAGTTGCCCCTATACCCACCACATACAATATCAGACTCCCAGGACCATTTTGAATTTTTCCATTGCCATCGCCTGTAGTCTCTCAATTCTCTCAGAAAATGTGCTTAAATCTCAATTCTCTTAGAGAGTGTGCCTTAAATGTCTCTTATAAATAGAAAAATTCAGAACAAGTGCTCGTCTCGTTTGAGAAGGAAAAGAATCTGACTACTGAATCGCATATAACGTTGCGGCAGGTTTGGGAAGACGACACATTGAGACAGGTTAGTAATCGGAACCAAAAAATTGAAGTCTGTATATCTCATTTCCTGTTAAAGATATCAAAAAGTGATAAACTGATAAAATGGTCATCTAAATATAATGACATTTTGCCAGTGGACCACTTTTTGATATCTTTCACAGCGACCGAGAAAACGTGACTCAAATTCAGAAGAGACATTCTGCTAGAGTGTATACGGTACTTTTGACCTGTTCTGTATACGAAACATATTCTTTCAGGGGCTCAAGGTCGTTCTAGCTTATTTATTCGTTGTCAATTTAAGCACCAGTAACATTCGAGTGACGTACTATGTCACCTTACATGAAAGTGTTGGTTTTACCGTTCAGGAAGTTGGTTTCAAAATGCAGATAGATAAAGAAATTCACATATTTCAGGCCCTCAATATTAACCTAATTTTATCCATCCTATTTTTCCCTACTCAATTTGCCAGCACAATTATGATTGATTCGCTTGGAAGACGTCCAGTGATGCTTATTGCAAATGTTTTGTTGTTAGTTTCAAAAATTGAAAAGAAGAGTTTTCAAAATATTCAGATTCACCATGAGTTGCCTAATGCTGGCTACACAGTTCCTCGCCTACTTCTTCGGCTCGAGCTTATTGACTAAAGTTTTTTTATGTAACCTTAGATTGTATTGGAGAATCTACGACTGCTACCGGAATCATGTCTCTGAGAATTTTGTTTATCACAGAACTATTCCCTCCGTCTGCGAGAACCGCTGTGTCTCAGGCTGTTCTTTTTATTGGGATGACTATCAATTCATTGCTCATGGCAACGTTTCCCATAGTTTATTCAATATTTCCACCAGGATTTTTCGCGCCGTTCGTTGTCACAAAACTTGTTTTTGGTTGGTATCTGTACAGGTTTGATCGTATAATATTGAAAAAATTAGGAAAAAAAAAGAAAATTTTCAGACACATGCCAGAGACCAAAGGACGTGCAGTTTGTGATATCATAGAGGATATGGATGAGGATGTCATGTCTAGGGTAGTAAATTTCTAAAAATAGATTCAAACTGAATTTTTTATAATTTCAGACCGCTTCCATTTTTGAAGAATACACACCGCTGATAAAATCTAGGGTAAGCTGTTACCGTAATCACTATAATAGAATAACCCAACTAGTCAAATATTTGTGATATTATGATATGTATTTTATCAGTTGTTCACTTTTTGATATCTTTCACAGGAACCATGATAAATGGGCTGAAAGTTGACGGTTTGTCGAAGGGTTAAAAAGTCTTCAAATCTTCAAATTTTCAGACTGCAACCATGATTTCAAAACGGAACAGTATGCTTATCACAACGTCAAGATCTCGGGTTTGTACTTTTTTCTTGATTTTTATTTTCAAATATTTTTTGAATTCAGGTATCTACGGGAGCCGCTGAAGACTGTCAATAATTGTTGTACAAAATGTATAAATTATTTTACTGATAAAAATTTTTACCTTTCTTCAAATTTTTCAGAAATTTAGAAATTCCTAAAATTTCATCTTCCAATTCCCTGATTTCATATCACTTGGCACGTATTCTGAGCTCACGAAATCATAACTCTCCTATTTTTAATCAAAAACTTCTTGCTCCTGCTTCTTTTACACCTGCCCTGAAAATTGATATTTCAATTTTTCAGATTTTTTGCCATTTGGGTACATATTTTTCTAAATGATTCAAAAATGATTTTTTGGTATAACTTCTTATCATTGCTGATACCATTAACTACCAGTGAAGAAACTTTTGAATTTTTCAAGTCTAGATGTGGTGCGTTCTTTCCCCCCCAATCGTTATATTCTAAAAATTTCCAGATTCAAAGTGCACTTTGCAACCATATCATATTGATTCTGAATCGATTTCTTTGTTTCCAATCGATTGCAGTTCAGTCTGCGCTTACATTTTGATAGACCAAAACTCGGATCTCACAGAAAATCAACTGAAAAACTATTTTAGGAATATGAGAACTTTGTATGGCTCCGTGAAAATCAAGGATACAAATTTTCCAAGTCTCAATTTTTTGTCAAGGTTGGAGACTATAGAATGTGGTAAATTTTTTTATGTGTGGGTGTGTGGCAGAGATGTCAGGAATTCCGACTTCCGATTTCCGGCCATTTTTTCCCTTCCGACTTCCGACTTTCTCGTTGGAAATTTTTCTTCCGCCTTCCGAATTCCGACTTCCGGAAAATCAGTTGCACTTCCGGCTTCAGACTTTCAAATTCCGCAAGTGATTTTTTGGGCTTATGGGCGTGTGGACGTTCTAGTTTACGGACTTTAAAAGGGACCCCTAAATTTGAACACATTCAAGTTTTTAATGACTTTTTTCAGAAACCCCAAAAGACCTCATTTTCATTGAATCCCAATCAACGGTCTCCGAAATCGGTTGGACAAATTTTACCTCGACTTCTTGTGACATATACATCAGAGCAGACACGATAAGATGGAATTTACCCAATTTAAAAGTAACAAGTTTAAAAAATTCAAAGCTTAAAAGTTTTTGCAGAACTTCTACTACCTGACTCCGACAAATTTGCTTCCCGTATTTCACTCGTCCAATACAAATAACTCGTTTTTTTGCATCACAATTCAAGAGATTTCAAATCTTGTAAAAAGTGAAAATTTAACAATTTCGAATATCTATGGACCATTTTGCAATTTTACCGACACAACCTTCGACAATGAGAGGATTTGTACAATTCAGAATTTTCGTCTGCAAAATTTTGATTCATCTTGTAAGCGGATAATAGGAAATGTTATTATTGGAACTGGAGACGAAGAATATGTAGAAAAATTAAAAAATGTTACATGGATTTATGGGTCTGTACTAGTTGAAGGGACCCAACTAGCAAATATTGACTTTCTCGATAGCTTGGAATATGTGACATATTTCAATCGTAAGAAATGAGGGGCCAGATTTTTAAGTAGAATTTAAAATTTCAGTTCCAGTACAACTTATTGGAATCATCAATAATCCCAATTTGGCAAATGCAACCTTTCCAAAGTTAAAGGTGATTAGTGCGTTTACGGTATTTCATTTAAAAAGCCATTTGTCAGAAAATCCAATCGGACAACAAGTTTCTGATGATATTCCAAGGAAACCACCCAGTACTTCTCAAAGATCCAAACTTTTGTAAAAGCATCAAAAAGCAGCTAAATTCTACGGAGTGGCATGCGCCATCGGTTGACGGGAAGAGTTGCGGTAAGAAAGGGAAGTTTCGAAAATTTAAAATAGAAAGACAAATTTTCAGAAGAAATCGAGGATGCTCAAAGTTCCAACAATCAAATTGGAGTACTGCTAGTTGTGATGATAACTATGATTTTGCTGGTTTTTTGAACTTCTTTTTCAGTAAATTATAATAAAGAATGATTTTTTGCCAACAAATTTTTTAGTACTAATAAGAACTTTCGGGAAATTGAAACGACTCGGCAAAAAACTAATCGATCGCCCTGAAATAATGACGTTCTCTGTCCCCAAGAATATTCTCTTCCTGATATTCGGCTTTTTAATCCTGGATACTATAAACCAGTCGCAAGATTTGGTATTTTCATCACTAGCAGAAATCATTCAAGAAATGAATAATCATACAATGAAAACTCACTTTGGAATTGAGTCAACTGCCACTAGGTAACAGTTAAATTGATGTTCATAATGTTTGTTTATAACTGTGTTTATATTAGGTTGGCAGGAAAGTAACTGTCCATTTTTTTTTATTAGTAAATAACACAAACACAAGAATAGTCCAGAATTAGCAATATGCACCGTCGTGACAACACAACATGTTGGCAATGTTCAGGTAACTTGTGGGTACCATCCTTCCAAAAGCCAGCTAGTGGCAAGTCAAAGTATCCCTCCAGTCCATTTTTTCAGGCATCAATTGTGTTAAAGTCCTTAAGCTCCAGATGACGTCGTATACTTTTGAATAACTAATGATCTGATAGAGCTGAATCAAATCTTTAACGGGGGTAAAGGAGAACCGTCCAGCCAAAGCGGCTCAGGTACGGCGTGACTTTCCGTGAACATGAGGTTTTTTTTTATTTTTACCTGCAGTCAAGTCAGACCTGAGCAGCTTCAGTGGGACCGTTCTCCCTCACCTACTTATAGTTCCGACTGAGCTCTATCAGATTATTGGATATTCGGAGAGATACAACCTCATCTAGAGAATACGAACATTTGCACCATTTATGTGAAAAACAGGAAAAAATGAATACTTTGATTCGCGGCTAGTTGGCTTTTGAAGGTATTGTATCCACAAGTTATCTGAACATTGCCAACGTGTCGTGTACCACGACGGCGCATACTGCTAATCATGAATTAATCCTGCTTTTGTATTATTCATAAATAAAACAAGGGACAGTTACTTTCCTGCCAACCTAATAACTTCATTTTTATCACTTATTTTGTAGGCTAGCATTCATGAATTCGGCAATGCAAGTGCGGAAGAAATCAGTGGGATTTTTGCGATACTTTTTCTGTTTCCACTGGCGGATACAAAGGGTCGGAAGTTTGTAGCTGTTTATGTTAGTTTGGTTTGATAACACTGATGGAAGGGCCCCACAGGCTATAACCATTCTTGTTGGCGTATGCCAGTTTTTAGAATCAGTTTTCCGAGCATCGGAAGTTTTCCTCCTGGGGCAGATGATTAGAATCTCAAAACCGGTGAGAAATAGAAGATGGAGTTTTACTAACTTTCAAAAACTTCTCATTCAGCCGTTAAATTTCATTAAACTAGCATCTATTCTGCTTACTCCCCTCTGCAAAATCGTGAAAATTCAAATTGGGAAGCTAGGAAAATAGAAAATTGAGAATATGAACTCTTAACTTCCTAAAACTCGGAAAAATTCCTAAATCTCGAAAAATCTCAACTTCGTAAAACTCGGCTATTTTCGAATATCCGGATTACCGATTTTTTAGATTTACAAAATTTTTCGAAGATTTCTGAACTCTCTGAATTTCCTTGATATTGGAATTTATTTATTGATTCTGAATTAACAACAATTTGAATTCCTTAATTTTCTGAATTTAAAATTGAGAAATTTTTCAGTGCCGGGCCCGGAATTTTACAAGTATGCATTTACTAGTTTTTCAAAATTGTGTATTTTAGAGCTTGGAAATTTTCGAACTTTAGATTTCCTAATATCTGAATTCTATAGAATACTGTAAAATCTGTATTAGAAACGCCCTCCTAAGAGAAGAGCAATTTCAGAGGAGCTAGGAACAATAGAAGACCCCCCCCCCCCCCCCCCCCGCATTAAGATGTGTTATTTAAAACACAATTTTTAAAATTGAATTTTAGAGAAATTGGTTAAAACATAACTTTTTTGGAGAGCCCTTCTATTATAGGAGCCCTTCCATTAGAGAAAGTTTATATTTTTCCGGTCTTTTTTTTCCGAACTGGGAAAAACTGCATTTTTAGCAGCAATTTTTTCTGGGAAAAATTGCAAAATTGGTGGGTTGCCTTGAAAAATAAAAATATCAAGGTATCAGTTTAGAACTTCTGACGTCCATGAAACGAGAAGACAACTTAACAGATGTTAGAAGTTTGAGCTTGATGGAAATTTGGAGACATGATTCTATGCGGCAGGTAAGATTGAAAATTCTTTTGATGGTCTAAATTTTAGGTTTCAGGCCTTGAAAATGTTGATTGTTGTACTTATTTTCAATATTTTCGACACAACTTCTGTTATGGTCATCTACACAATCCTTCTTCATAAAGAGGCTGGATTTACGGTTCAAACGGTGGGATATATTATTTTTTCTTAACACTTTTCTATGTGTGTGTGTCGGTGTGTGGGGGTGTGTGTGGGTGTGTGTGTCTCCAGGGAGATCTAACTAGTTGTGACTACGGTAATGATACATTATTACAGGCTATGAATATCACTCTCATTATCACAGTCATAACTCTTCCAACCAAATTTTTCGGTACTTTTATGTTGGATGGTCTGGGAAGGGGACCGACGCTTTTCATTGCTGGTGTTATGCAGTATACAAAATCGATTTTGCTCTTATCGACTCAAACTACAATTTATTTTGTTGGCTCAAGTCTACTGACTCAAGGTTTGTGTAGGCTAAAAGTTGCGGAGACTAATAATATTTTCTGGAATTTTCGGATTTAATTGCAGAAGTGTTGAACGCACTAGTTTTTGCTACGGGTATCAACTCTATAGCTATACTTTTTGTTTCGGAACTATTTCCACCAAGTGCAAGAACAGCCATATCCCAGGTGAGCCGTTAGTTCAGGTCAATTGAAAATATCAAAACTTTCGTTAGGCTCTAATGGTCAGTTACATGTTTCTAAATGCTCCAATAATCACCTTGTTTCCAATTTTCGACTCGATTTTCCCACCAATTTTTTTTCCATTTTAATTGTTCAACTAGTTTTTGGAGTTTATCTGTATCGGTAAGAATATTTTGTTTGGGTGCCTCAAGTTTTAAAGAAGATTTTAGGTACATGCCTGAAACTCAAGGGAAACCAGTCTACGAAATTATTGAGTCTATGGATAGAGATATGAAATCCAGGAAAGCGACAATGGTTGATGAGAAAACACCTATTATCAGAGATCGGGTAATCTTTTTTTAACTATCAAAAATGAACAATAAATTATTTTCAGGCTTTGACATTTCAGGGTTCGACCTGCTAACTTTATTATTTTTTGCATTTCACAATAAAAATTTTGAACACAAAGTTCAATTCATGACACTACATATAAAATATTTTGCACGAATGTTCATTTTGCAGATGGTCAAAAAAACTCCTGATAAGAACTTTTGCCATATGGAAGTTAGGCATTTTCCAGAACGATTAAACTGTTTTGTTCAAAATGAAATTCTCTGTCCCCAAAAATATTCTATTCCTGATATTCGGTTTTTTAATCCTGGATACTATAAACCAATCGCAAGTTTTAGTATTTTCATCGTTAGCTGAAATTATTCAAGAAATGAATAATCATACATTAACAACACACTTTGGAATTGAGCCAACTGCCACTAGGTTTTGACATCTAAATTTTTGCAATTTTTTTTAAATCGATAATTTTGTAGACTAGCATTCATGAATTCGGCAATGACAAGTGTGGAAGAGGTCGGAGGGATTTTCGCAATACTTTGCCTGTTTCCGCTGGCGGATACAAAGGGTCGAAAGTTTGTAGCTGTTTATGTTAGGTTGGTTTGATAACAATGCTTTTAAAATTGACGTTGTGCTCTCAAAGAATTGAACTTGTAGCCAGAACTGTGCCACGGCCGGCCCAGGCTAGCAGCGCGGCTTTTTGGAAAAATTCTGAAAATGGATTTCTTCCTGAATATACTTGTTTTCCGAAAAAAAAAACTACCAGATTGACGGTTTTGAGGTACACAGTCTGGAATCCAGTAAAAAGGATCAGGATAAAATATTTTTCAAGAATTCCGGAATACGAAATACGGATTCAGCGTTCCGTCGTCGCTAATTACTAGGATTGTGATAATTTTCATCAACATAGTCATTTTTCAGATAATAACATAAAATTTGAACACTCCGGAAAAAAAAACATTTTCCAACAAATTTTTAGTATTCAAGATTTATGCTCAATTTTTTGTACGAAAGACCGAAACACAATTTACTTACCCTTACGAAATTTCTCGACTATAATGTATTTCCGCACACATTGAGAAATTTGCCCAGGGATAAGTAGATTATACGTTCCCAATCCTTCAAAAAAACTAGGTTTCATTTCACGGGATTTTATCAGGCTAGCCGCGGCCGGCATCGGCCGACCGCAGCTTTCTTGGCTTTTGAGTAAACGGCCGGCCGCGGCTGGCCGTGGCCGCGGAAGGCCGCCATTTTGCACAGCCTTGCTTGTAGCTAACTGGCTGAGCTACGCGGTCCAGAGGCTGTAGCTAAATCGGCAGCAGCGCGACACTTTGAAAATTCGGTCTGGAAGTTCTATTCCTCAAGGGGCTCATATTTTCAGAATTGCTATAACCCTTCTTGTTGGATCGTGCCAATTTTTAGCAGCAGTTTTCCAAGCTTCAGAAGTTTTTCTTTTGGGACAGATGATTTTAGGATCACATTATTCTATACGCCACTTCACGAGCATTATGTATATTTTGGAGTGTACACCGGACAATTGTAGAGGTATCAAATCACTTTTGAAGCTATAGAAACCCCGATTTCCAGGATTCGCTGGAACGTTTCTCGTGTTCGATTATGTTTTAGCAAAACTGTTCATGTTCACTGCAGCGTCTCCAAGTTTACTCGGAACAACATCTTCCTGGTTCATTTTCCCGCTCGTCACAATGATAAGGTGATAATGTGATAGGTACAAAACCTACATCTTTTTTCTGTTATCAGTTCTGTTGCTGTTCTATTCTTTTTACTTCGTTTCCCAGAATCGCCGAAATGGCTTGTTCAGCAGAATAGGATTCAAGAAGCGAAGAACTCCATAAAAATTTATCATGGGAGGAACTGCGAAATTGGTTGGTTGCCTTGGGTCGTAAAAATATCAAAGTACCAGTTTAGAGCAAGTTGTGACGTCCATGATAAAAGAGAAGAATTTGACTGATGAGGAAAAACTAACTCTACGCCAAATTTGGGAAAATGAGACTTTGCGGCAGGTAGAGTTAGCTTTTTTGTGGAGATGTATACATGTCAGGATACAGGCATTTAAAATTTTGATGGCTTTGCTGATTTTCAATGTTTTTGACACAACTATGGTTCTATCAGTTTATACAATTCTCCTCCATAAGGAAGCTGGATTCACTGTGCAGATGGTGGGTGTGTGCGGGTTTGATTGTGATTACGGTAATTGTACAAAACCTTTCCAGACTATGAATATCACTCTAATCCTGACTTTCATAACGGTCCCGACCAAATTCTTTGGTACTTTTATGTTGGATGGTTTGGGAAGACGACCGACACTTTTAATTGCTGGTGTTATGGAATATATGAAATCGAGTTTACTCTTGACGACTCAAACTATAATATATTTTGTTGGCTCAAGTCTACTAACTCAAATTTTGTGTAAGCTCAAAATTTCGGTTACAGCAAAAAAATTTTTTTTTTCAGATGTGATTTCCGAATTTCTAAATGCAATCGTTCCTGCAACCGGCGTTCACACTATTCGCATACTCTTTGTGACCGAGCTGTTCCCACCGAGCGCACGGACTGCAGTTGCACAGGTAACAATCAATTTTACATGAAAAACATTTAAAATCCTAAATTTTAGGCGTTAATGTTTGGTGGTATGATTCTGAGCACTCCAATCACCACATTGTTCCCAATAATAGACTCTATATTTCCGCCAATTTATTATTTTCCATTTGTAATTGTTCAACTGATTTTTGGAGTTTATTTGTATCGGTAAGATAATTGTAATTTGTCTCTGGAAATTGCTGAAATATTTAGGCACTTGCCTGAAACTAGAGGAAAGTCAGTTTACGAAATCATTGAGTCTATGGATAACGAAGTTGGATCTCGGGTGCGCTTTATCAATTTTTGGACCCCTTTAATATTTTTCAAATTTTCAGGCGCCGACTATTTCCACTGAAAAGACACCTCTCCTTAGAGATCGGGTAAGTTTTTCAAAGAATTGAATTTTAGGGTTCATTTGTCATATTTCAGGCTACAACTCACGCAATACGACGAGCAAGCATTTTGAACACCCCAAGGACTCGGGTTGGTTTTGAAAATTGTTTGAGAATGTAAAAATTTATCTTGTCCACTTTCAGGCTTTGACAATTCATCAAAGTCTGCTCTCGATGAAGTTGTAACTTTTTGAAAAAGTTTTTTGATGTTTGTAAAATTTGAATATGAACCTTTTTATGTCTTGCCCCTCCTTTAACTGCTTGTGACGCTCATATCCTTCGTGGAAAATAAATGTTGCGACAAATAAATTTCATTAGAAATACACCGTAAATTTGGAATCTCCAGACGCTCAGACTCCGACACAGAGTCCCGAGACTTCCTCACACTTTGTTGGTGGTGGACAGGCCGAGCAGGTGGCTCCTTGCTTGTAGATTTCCTCGTTCCAAACGTAACTGGAATGTGTTACTACTTTTAGAAATCAAAACAGATAAGACTCACCGGACGTTGTATTTGCAAATCATAACAAATCGAGACCAGCCTTTCTTCCATTGACCCCTTTCGCACCATTGGTATCCACAGCCCATGGATCCAGTTTTTGCCCACGTCATCTGAATGGCCTGTGCCGTTCCAGTGGAGAAGGTGGCTTTGTCAAGAATGTTGGAATTCCATCCTTTCTCTTGAAACGTTGCCACCCAAGCCTTGGTAGCATTCACTGCATCATCTATCGCAGCAATTGTATTAAGCGATTCGTCGACCATGATCGAGTATAAATTCTCTCCAACTCCATCCGTGTTAGAAACATTTTTTGGACACGTGTTTACGTAACGTACAGCATCGTCCTCAAGATTTTGGTCCCATTTCTGAATATGTACTACATGATTACATTGCAATTGTTCAAGTTCTTACCATCTTTAGGATATTAGCACCAGGTGGTAGCTTCGTCCCCTTGGCAACATACGTTCCTTTGGCGATTGAAGATCTCAGACTGTTATGAACCTCCAAAACTTCTCGAAAAGGAGGGAAAAGTGTGTAAGCAGCGCAGCAGCCAATTAGAGCCAATGAGAGAAAAATAGTCTTCATTGTGAAAGATTGATGATTTTCCGTTGGTAACTGGTTTCTTTTTATACAAGCTCATTATAATAAGATCTTGACATGACAAAACAACTAGGTCAACCTTCGGTTTCACTTTGACAAAAACAGAGACAAACTTTTGGTTCTGGCTGAAAAACAATGAATAGATAAGATTCACAAGATCAGCAAAACAATTTATCGAAGGGAAAACAAAAAGTACGAATTCCGAAACGTTGAACATGATTAAACCCGTCGTTTCGACTCCTAAAAACAATGACTAGACAGGATTGACCAGAGTAAACAATAAAAATTATTAACTTTTGACATTCGAAACATGGTTTTATGGCGGAAATGATAACAAAGTGGCTACGTCATATACGTACATATTACCAAAAAAAACACTTCCCAATACTATCTTCCATGTTCTTGTACAAGGTGAACGACGAATTTCTTTGAGTTCGTTCAAAAACAGCACAGCAAGCGATTGGTGACGTGATTGATCTTGATGTGCGGTAGAAACTTTTCGATCTAGCTCAAAAATCGTATCAGCTGAAAAAAAGCAAGTTGAGTTCTTTTTTAGGAAACCTTCTGGCGTCACTTTAACACCATACATCTCTTCACATCAGGATCTACACACGACAGGTGGAAATTTGTGCACTTACAAGGTTTCCACAATTCACCATTTGCATTTTTACAAGCCTTAATTTTAACTTTTCGATGGTCCTTGACACACCCGAAGCCTTAACCAACAGTCTTCATATTATCACTGTTTTTGCGACACCATTCACATTTTTGGAATTTATTGCATCGTTTGGAAGACGCCGAAAAATACCGCCAAATGGTACCTATTCAATTAGCACGCCTCGTGTATTCTGCTAGATTGTGGATTCACTGTGTTAAAGGTGGGGGGACATGAAAAAAATAATGTTCTCGAAATTCCGTTTAAATATGCTCCTCGAGGAGTTGAACTTGTCGAGACAAGTATTGACGGTGCGGCGCCGCTACCGACTGAGCCACACGGGCAAAAAGGCAGCTGGCGCCAAAATGCATACATAAAGGTGAGGACGACCGCTGTACGCAGAGTGACATTAAGCGTTGTACACCGTAACGGTAGAATGCATACCCTAGCTACAAAAATCCTACGAAAAATCTCCTGTCCCTCCACCTTTAAGCGTTCCGTTTTTGATTTTTCCGGCTATGAGAGGATATCCGTTGGGAATTCTGACAAATTGGTTTGGAGTGTCTACACTTTTTCAGATTTAATCTGATTATTGGTTTTGTTTTTGGTAAGGTTGAATGTACAAAAATTCTCGAGGTGTTTTTTCGTTTCAGTTGTCTGCACATATATATTGCTAATTTTTGAAAATCGATACTATATTTTATACGCAAAGGACACAAAGTGGAAATATTTCCGAATTGTCTACATTTTTCTAAATTACTTTTTCACATTTGCCTTCAATAATTTGGTGTTCATTGTCGCTGCTCTTCATGGAATCAGCTCTACGTTAATTATGCTTTGGGCTCATAAAGCGTATTTTGAATGTTGCTATAATCTAGCGAAAAAAACTCAAGAGAAATTGAAGATGGCTGGTCCTCGAGTGAGAAATAATCAACCAATTATTTCCACTACTGTGTTGGTTTAGAAGTGTTGTGAAACAAATCCTTGATCGAAAAATACGTTTTTTCGAAAGTCGACATTTTTTGATTTCACACAATCGGACCATCCGGACATTCCTCATTCTAGTAAATTTCATTGCAGAGATAGAAAACAGGTTCAATAAAATTGTAGCCACAAACCCGTTCTATAAGTTGCAATTCAGCTTGACACTTTATCTTTCGTCTGTACAAACTTATGACTTTTTGAAAAGACTTGATTCACTTTTTCCGAAAAATCAGAAAAAGTTTTTTTTTCCATTTTGCTCAACCTTTTTGTTGGCACTTTATATGATAAGTTTTGTTCTAGTCTAGGCAAGGGGCATTTTTTGCCACCAATATCTAAGGAAAAGCGAACAGACACTTCGGGTACTTCCCGTGTGAGTAAAAAAATAGGGCTAGACTGGGTAAACAATAAGAATTATGAACTTTTGAATATCAAAACATGGTTCTATGGCGGAAATGATTAGAAAGTGGTTACGTCAGATCGTGCCATTATTTCAAAAGACCGATGAACACGGAATTTCTGACATTTCAGACAAGGTCCCGTTTATTTGAGCATGGTCAGGAGAAGAATAGTCTTTATATGCATGATTATTATAAAGCTCATTATTGACTTATCAGCATGTTATAGTTTCATCACGACAGCCATGATATGACGTGATTAAATTTGATGTTCTGGAGAAACTTTTTGATCGCTCAAAATTGTCACAGCTGGAAAAAAATTTAAGACATTTCGTTGCATCACTTCCATACATCTCTTGAGTCGTACATCTCTTTACATCAGGGCCGATACACGACAGGTGAAAACCTTGAGCACCCGCATGGCTTCCATGTTTACAAGCCATAATTTCAATTTTAATAAGTTGGATTTCGAAAATTATGGTTCTAGACACACCCGAAGCCCTGGGTTTGCAAAAGTAATGCGCGTCAAGTTTGGTGTTTTGTATCTCACCCAAAACAAACGTTTTGTGTTCAATTTTTTTTGTTTTAAAAAGCGCGTTCTTGGGCTTCATTTTGTTATATTATATTGCTGTTTCAATTTGATTTCTATGAAAAAAAACATTCTAGAAGATGTCCGACCAAAAATTTCGCCTTCGAGCATTTTTGTGGCACCAATTTAAGGAAGGAAAATCGGCTGCCGAAGCTCACCGCTCACTTTCTCCTGTATTCGGTGAAGAAGCTATATCCGAAAGTCAGTGTCGCCGCTGGTTTCAGCGCTTCAGGAGCGGAGATGAAAGATTGAAAGATGAATCGCGCCCTGGTCGTCTAGAGCAGGTGGACAACGATGCCTTGAAAGCAGCATTTGAAGTGGATCCTTGCCAAACTACTCTCAGTCTCTCGGAGCAGTTCGACTGCGATTTTTCCACAATTTCCAGACATTTGCATGCAATCGGAAAGACAAACAGATGTGGAAAATGGGTCCCTCATGAGCTTTCCGATTCGAACAAGTAAAGACGTGTTGCCAATATTCTGATGCGCCGCTCCAAAAATCGTGGTTTCTTCGATTCGATTTTGACATCGGATGAGAAATGGATTCATTGGGACAATAATGGGAGAAAAAAACAGTGGCTGAGTCCTGGCGAGACCCCGAAACCGACTCCAAAACCGGACATCCACGGTAAGAAGGTGATGATATGTGTCTGGTGGAACACACGATGTCTCGTGCATTTTACTTCGGAGACCTGGTCAAACGGTGAATGCGGACCTTTACAAAGATCAGCTGAACCGTGTGTACCAAGCTCTCAAACGCCAAGGCGTGGACACTTCGACAACACTCTTTCTCCATGACAACGCTCGACCACACACTGCAAAAATCATTCAGCAGAAAACTCAGAAGCTGGGCTGGAAAGTGCTGCCTCATCCGCCATATAGTCCCGATTTGGCACCATCGGACTATCACCTATTCCGATCCATAAAACATCATCTGGCCGAGAAAAGATTCGAAAGCGGTGAAGAAGTGCAAATTTGGGTGACGGACTATTTCGAGTCACAGCCAGAGGAGTTCTTCAAGAAAGGCATCGCTGAATTGCGCACACGTTGGCAGCAAGTAGTGAACAATAATGGAGAATATCTTATTGATTGATGATCTCTTGTTTTGGTTTTACAATAAAAGGAAGTTGCATCAAAAACGCACATTACTTTTGCAAACCCCTGATATCACCTAATTGTTACTCTCCTTTTCTCGTGGTTTGTGTGCAATTTAGTTTCCGGTTGGCAATCTCGTAATTTCCCAGTTTGAAAATAAAACTACATGAGAACAAGTCCTCGTATACACTTTAAAAGTCCACTAACTCCCAAGGATTAGAGTTTGCAACAAAGCCATAACTACAAACTACTAAGAACGTCCTTTTCCTAGGGACTCCTTGTTTGTTGGCTCGAATACTTTTTTCTCTGTATTGGAATAATAGCTAACCCCTATTAAAACTGTGTCTATTCCAAAAATCTCTCATTGACGTATTTTGGAAAACACCAAATTAGCAAGTCCCTCGGGGGACCATGAAATCCTGTCTTCTGCCTCAAAATCTCTCGTTTCTTCTTCACTCAATGTCATTTTTCTATTATCATTAAAACTCTCAAAATGTATATCAACTGGGTCCACCAATACGTCCCCCCTACTTTTGCATCTTTGGCTTTAGCAGTGAATCCTGTTTTCATTTATTTGATCTTCTCTGAAAAAGTTGCGATACTCGGAAACTATCGATACCTTTTGCTGTATTTCGCTTGCTTCAATTTGATTTATTCGACGTTCGTTTTGTTGCTGCCAATTGTGAGTTTTCGTGGAGTAAATGGACTTAAAAATTTGAATAGATGGGCTCTCTTAACTTTTAACTTTGAGCCAATTTTTCACAAAGATGTGCAAAAGTTGTCAACTGATAAATTGTTCATGATTATATCTGAAGTGTTTTATCAGTTAAACCTTTTCGATATCTTGCATAAGAATTAAGATAATTGAATTCTAAAATGTCAGTATGACGCCGCAAAAAACTTAGAGATAACATTTCAGGCGATTCACTCCTATCGTTACTGCTTCTCAATTTTCACTAGCGACGGCCACTTTCTTGAAGCATCCAGCTTAAACTTGAACCTGTTGATTGCCCGATGTTCATTGATTGCATGCAGTTACGCAGTGCTTCTAAGTCATTTTGTATATCGATATCTGGCAGTGAAAACCAGTAACTATACCGGCCGGAAATTCCCAATTTTCATGTTGGGTTCTCTCATTTTAACATCACTGTTTTTCGGTTACGGGTTTGCTGTAAGTGTTTCATTTATTTCCGAACTAAGTATAATTTTAGATCTGCGCGTTTGGAAACTCGCCAGCTGGAAAGGCGTATCTTCGTGAGAGTTACTTCAAAACCCATAACATCGATTCTATGAAGTTGAATATTATTGCTGCAGTTTTTTATGTAAGGAAATTCGAAAAAAACAAGGATAAGAAACACGGTTTCAGGAAGTACCAGACGGACTAGAATACAGATCTTATGCTTCGATTGGTTTGTTGACTATTCAATCAGTGACATCGCTAACGCTATTTATCACTTTGGGAACAATGGTAGACTTTTTAAACCAAAATCAAAAAGTTAACATTGCTTCCAGACGATTCGGTCGATCAATCGTCTCAAGTTCAATATGAGCGATAAGACAAAAATACTTCAGAGACAACTCATGAAGGCGCTAGCTATTCAGACGATAATCCCGATATTTATCAGTTTTTCACCTTGCGCCGTCAGCTGGTACAGCCCTATATTTAATATCGATTTGGGAAGGTTAGTGATAAGTTTGAAGGTGGAGGGACCGATTTTTTGAAAGTCTTTTTTTCTGAAATTCGTTCTAACTAAACTAGGCGTAATACTTTGTTTCGGAGTTTATTACTTTTTGAAGTTTTCCGAGTTCACCCGATGTGTTTTCTAGGACTATTTACCATGACTCAACTTGCAAAAATCATGTCACTATGTTAGCATAGCCTTGAAAGCCCACCAGGCGAATATCAGACCACTTCTAGGTCAAACAGTTGGTGGCCTAGCAAACTCAACTTGAGAAAATTAGGCCACTATGGTAAATGGCCTAAAAACGGCATCAGGTGAATATCAGTTCTGTAGGTCGCAAAAGTTGATGGTCTGGATACATCTGCGAAAATTGAGATTTCAGCGGAATAAGCAATCTCGAAGTAAATGCTTTGGCAACGTTTCCGTTTTGTGATCCAATTGCTATCATTCTGTGCATTCCAGTTCTTCGACGACAAATTTTCTTCAGGAAGAAAATGATAGCGATACAACGATTAGATATCAATACGACTTTTACATAAGAGACCCGTTTTTTATCTTCAATGAGAATTTTCTAAACTCGACAATTTTTCTTCCAGCGGTTATGAGTTTCAAAATGGGATCCAACAAATAAATCTACGAATAAACATTTCATTAAAAACAACTAAACTAAAACTGTAGTAAGAACAATTGGTTGATTATTTCTGATTCTAGGATTGGTCATTTTCAATCGTTCTCGAGGCTTTCTTGCTAGATTGAAGCAAACTTTACAATATTGTTGAGCACAGAGCATAATTAACGTAGAATTGATCCCGTGAAGGTGAAAACTGAAATATATTAGATTGTTCGGAAAGTTCCTGTCATTTTAGCGTCAGATACATTCAGTTCAAAAAAGGGCAAAACGTTGTCGGATGAACTGAAGGTAATGCCCATTGTTATCAATGAATTTCGGCCAACGCCCCATCAAGTTGTGGATGTTTTCCTTCCAAAAGTGCGGTGACAGCGAATCGAAATTCAAGTCAACCCATTTTTGATATCTCGTTCGAAGTTAATTTTTTTCAATCAAGATGACGTTGGAAATGACTGGATGGTGTCAGAAAGTACAAGGCTCGGGTTATACGATGGATAAAGCAGTATTGCCCAGTAATGTCCTGCGAGATCGGTCTGGGTCCTCCTTCCCACAAGAGGTTGCGGATTTTAATTTTGAAAATAGGCCGTTGTAAGTCCATTTACTCCACGAAAACTCACAATTGGCAGCAGCAAAACGAATGCCGAATAAATCACATTGAAGCAAGCGAAATACAGCAAAAGGTATCGATAGTTTCCGAGTATCGCAACTTTTTCAGAGAAGATCAAATAAATGAAAACAGGATTCACTGTTAAAGCAAAAGATGCAAAAGTAGGGGGGACGTATTGGTGGACCCAGTTTATATAAATTTTGAGAGTTTTAATGGTAATAGAAAAAAGACTTTTAGTGAAGAAGAAACGAGAGATTTTGAAGCAGAAAACAGGGTTTCATGGTCCCCCCGAAAGACTTGCTAACTTGTTGTGTGCCAAATACGTCAATGAGAGATTTTTGGAATCAACACGGTTTTGATAGGGGTTAGATATTATTCCAATACACAGAAAAAAGTCTTCGAGCCAACAAAGAGGGAGTCCCTAGGAAAAGGACGTTCTTAGTAGTTTGTAGTTATGGCTTTATTGCAAACTCTAATTCTTGGGAGTCAGTGGACTTTTAAAGTGTATACGAGGGCTTGTTCTCATGTAGTTTTATTTTCAAACTGGGAAATTACGAGATTGCCAACCGGAAACTACACAAACCACAAGAAAAGGAGGTCAACCAAAAGATTTTAACTTTTTCGAACCATAGAACAGCGTTTAATAGTTGGGTCCATTAGGCCCGGAGAAGTTGCTGACCGGCCGGCCCAATTTCCTATTATGATAATTATAACTTTTGTGTTTTAAACTTTTTCTCCTTTCATTTTCTTTTCGCAATAGTTGTTTCCATCTAATCACATACAAAAAATGAGCTAATAGTAGGCAACTGGTGGTTTGCATTATTCTGCATTTTCTCGTTTATTGAGAAAAAATGAAGACAAGGATTATGAATGAATGGTTGTATTAAGTGCAGTCGACTGAATTTCTACAACTTTCTTTGACGGGAATAACCGTTTCCGAAAAACTGGAACACACAAAACAATAGCGATGGGGTCCAAAAATGGGAACGCTGATAAGGTGACCACTTCGATGAGGTTTATCACTCTGAAATTTCAGGAGAAACTTTTTTTCTTTTTACTGTAAATACTGCTTGTACTCACTTCCCCAAGTCTATATTAAACATCGGACTATACCATCCCAGAAGACATGGAGAGAAGCTGACGCACAGCGGAATTACAGTCTGAACAGTCAGTGCTTTCAGAAGTTCTCTTTGAATCCGAGCAGTTTTTTGACTCATGATTTTCGCCATATTATTGATTTTTCGCATTGTCTGAAATCGACTTGATTTATTGACTCCTTGCAGTTAACTCCTCTAACTGACCAAGTAGCCCAAAGTTGCAAACATTGTGCATGTTATCATCGATAAAAATGTCAAGAAAAAAATTCCACAAAATGACAAAATTACCGGTCTCCTTGGCGCTTCCTAAAAAACTGTATGTACACTTTCAGCTCAATTATCTCAGATCCTATGAGAGATTTCAAAACAATTTCAATTTATAAGTCATTTATCACAATATCACTAATGTTTTAGGAGTTTATAGATTTTTGATATCTCTCATAGGAAACAAGATAATTGAGCTCAAAGTTGAACGTATTTGGTGGGCTTCTAATTGAGCAGATACCATACATTATAGATAGCAGTGACAATATTAAAGTCCTCTGGGTCCACTCCGAATGTCATGCGAAAATTTTCACGGATGTACTCGTTTCTACCTTCATATGTCACACACAACCCCACACTGAACCAAACCGCAATATAAATAAGAAACACGAACAGCGTAGCCAGTAGGTATAAATGAAACTTTTTGTTGATAAAGCAACTAATTTTTATCACCAGATATCTATAAAAGAAGTGGCTGAGCAATATCGCGTAGCTCCCAGACACCAAAGAGCATCGTGCACAAAGAACAATGAGATTCAGGTCAGAGGACTTCTGGAAAAAGCCACCGCTGGTGAAAATGGAGAACGAGTAGCGATAGTTGTAGACGTGCTGGAAACAAGTCTGAAGATTCTGGAAGCGTTCTCAAAATACTCACAACTGGCACCAAGAACATTGTAGTCGAATAGAACAAGTTGAATATCGCAAAAATCAATAGTATGAACCGATAGTTTCCGAAATTGGCGATCTTCTCTGTGAAAATGAGGTAGACGAAAATTGGGTTCACAATGAAAGCAAGGATCCCGAATAGACCAGGTAGATACTGGTGAATCCAGTTGATATACATTTTTAGGTAAAGGAAGGTCAACTTGAGAGGAACGACTGCTTGAATAAATAGATACGCTTAGGATATATACGGGGATCCTATGGGAATGTTAATTTTGTTTTTAATCTAATCGTGAGAAACATACTGTGACGACATCGTCAGAAAGTGCCCCGGAATTTTGTGTCGCTCAGTATCATTCTTGGTTAAGGCTTCGGGTGTGTCGAGAATCATATCTTTGGAAAAGAATGGAAATTTTGATTTGATATGAAAACTTTTGGAAGTTTTCACCTGTCATGTGGTGGGATCGTTGCCAAAACACCAGAAGCTAAACCACCTGACCTCCTACTTTTCTTATAAAAATGTATATATTTTAGTGTTGTGATGGTAAATAGTCCAGAAAACACACCAAGTGGATATCAGGCTATTTCTAGGATGTTTATCATGTTGGCCTCAAATAATCAACTTGCGAAAGTTAGGCCATCATGTTACTACAACCTAGAAAACACACAAAGTGAATATCAGGTCATATCTAGTTCATAAAAGTTGGTGGTCTAGAAAAATCAACTTGATAAAGTTAGGTCACTCTATTCCACACATGAAACCGGAGTTTGTGATTAACAACATCCATCAGAAAAAAAATTTAGAAATTAGGGAGACGCCATATCCCCTTTTCACGTCCCACAGCATATCATTAGCTAAATGATATGTTTTTGTCCGTCGTCCAGACTTCCGCGTATTTCGAAAAAAAATTTGTACTAAAAATGACGAAAAACTGGATTTTCCAGTACCTACCGCTAACTTTCTGTGTTCTTGCTTTCATTGTGAATCCAAAATTTGTCTTTTTGCTATTTACGAAAACTTCCAAAAATTTCGGAAATTATCGATATCTTTTGTTGTATTTCGCATCCTTCAATTTGATCTATTCTGCGACAAATGTGTTGGATCCTTTAGTAGGAAATAATTTAATAGTACCATGTCGAGGAGCCGATTCCGGGCCTGCACGACCCGACCCGCATTCGGCTTCTCGGCAAATATGAGTGTTACCATTGAAGCATACTTGTAATGGGCTGGGCTTTTTTTCAAATTTCGGAGGCCCGGCCCTCATTTCACAAGTTCTGAAAATTTGAAAAAACACATAAGGGGACCCTTATGTGATCTTTTCGATCAAAATTTTTTTTCGAGTTTTTCCGATTTTTTTTAAATCAAAAAGACAAACAATCCAAAAAAACGAAAACAAATAGGTAAAATTATATTAAGAGCTCAAAAATACAGGATTTTTGATACCGAGCCTTCCTTGCCGGCCCAGAATTTTACAAGGAATAGGGTATTATTTGGTGCGTTTTATATCTTTCAAAAGCCCTTAAAGTTTTCTTCAAAACTATATAATTTAGAATTTCCTCCAGTTTTCCTCCAGTTTTCCGTCCACAAACCTCCAGTTTTCCGTCCACAAGTTCAACTCCCCGAGAGGCTTATATGAACAAAATATCGCTTCGAGATTAATTTTGCAAAACTTTCAATCCGCACGCACTTCAGACATCACAGAAAAGTTTTACATCCCAAGTGGTGCAAATCTCATGTAATCTTCCCGGAACTAGACTTCACTTGAAAAAAATCGTAGAAAATATTTTTTGATCTTTGAAGTCAAACAATATCATTCATCATAATAATTCAATTCATCACTAATCCGAAAATCAAAATACTGTGGAAAACTTTATACAAAACTAAAAAATATTAAGAAATTCATTTATTTTTCTTGATTCTATGTAGTTTGTGCGATTTCTCATTTTGATGAATCATAATCATCTTATTTTCTTCTTACCTATGGGTTTTAATACCTTTGGTACCTTCGGGATTTAAGCTAGACATTTTTTCTAACATCGCGGGAAAAAATCAGTTTATAAAGTATCTAATATAAGTTCTAGATCTTCAAAAACCATGGCTATGCTCTGGCTTCATATCATTCAGTATTCTGGTTTTTCACTCGCTCAACTAACAAATGCATTGTTAATTTATCTGATCCTAACAAGGTCCGGGAAGCTATTCGGGTCCTATCGTTATGTTATGATCGTGTTTGCCGTGTGTTCTATGATCTACTCAATAGTGGAAGTTTTCACAGAGGTGGTGAGATTAGCCAAAAATGGGGTCAGCAAAAAATCACATTATGCTCCAGGTCATTCATATCAAAGGTCCAGTTTTTATTGTTTTCATGGACAACGCTTGGTTAACTCGTACAGGGTGGGGAAACGAAGTTACAAGTAAGTCGATTGAAGTTCAAACATTTCACATAGAAAAATTTCGAAAGCATAATACAGACCTAGACCGAAAACCTTTGAAAATTCCTAGTTTTATCAGCTGTTTGCCAATTTCTGAAAGACACCTGCTTTCATTAACGTTTTCAGTATAAAAACGGGTTGTCTTTCAGTAATCGGCATATAGCTGAAAAACTAGGAATTTTCGAAAAATTCCGTGAATGCAGTTTTCAATCTAGGTCTGTTGTACACCCTCCAAAATTTTGAAAATGATTGGGAACAAGACAGCAAAGCTCCAGACTCTTGAAAATGGTAAAAATGACCGAAAACCAACTGAAAAATACGTTTTTGTATATCTCATTGACCGGTACTGTACGTGTAACCGCGTAGCTCCGTCAGCTGCAGCACGGCACCCGAAAGAGCTTTTGAATAGGCAAAATATCAAGAAAATTAATTTATTTTATATCTCCTTTCTTCAAAAATTAAAAAACTTTTCAGCTTTGTACTGCGCATCATTTGCCCTTGTCATTTCTCTTCTCGCCGTTCAATTCTTCTATCGATATGTAGTAACTTGCAAGTAAGTACAGTATCCCAAAATTTTTTGTATCATCACCTGTACTGCAGACCCATTCTCTCAAGCCAATTATAAGGAAAACGTCTGACGCTGCTGTTCATTCCATGCCTTGTATGTTTTGTGCTGTGGTTTGAGCTTGTCTACATTGGAATGGCAAATACTGTGGAAAAACAAGATTACATGAGGTAAACGTGAAGCTGTGAAAATTCAAATTTGCTTTAATTTTTAGAGAAGAGTTGAAAGTATACTATAACGTCGATTCAAGGAATCTAGCATTCATTGCCCCCATGTACTGGTCGAGTGGAAAAAATGGGGAGAAGAAATGGAACATTCTGGATTGCATTGGATCTTTAGATGTGCAGCTATAATTTTAGGTTTTCCTGGTTACGGTAATCTAAAAGTTCACTTTTCCGACTGTTTGCCTCTCAACGATCATATTTTGCGCTTGGAACATCTACAGTTTCCTCAAAAAGTCACAAAGCCAAATGAGCCCGAAAACGCTGGAAATGAATCGCCAGTTTTTCAGAACTCTGACATTCCAGGTAAGTCAAGAATAAAATTCTGATTGAAACAAAAAAAAATTTCAGACCCTTTTCTCATTTTTCACATACAGCCAAGTTGGCCTACTGTTGCTCTTTCCAGTTTTTGAAGTTCATGTTGCTGGAATGGCGAACTCTGCGAGTGCTTGTGTAGCTGTCTATCCATGTTTAGAGCCACTGATTGAAATTTTTTGTATTAAGCCATTTCGGAGGACTGTCATGTGTGAGTTTTATAGTTTTAAAGTATACAGTACCAGACAAAAATATACCGTAAGAACTCTAATAGAATGGGCCTCTAACTTTTAACTGTGAAGCCAATTTATTTCAGTTCCTGTGAGAGCTATCAAAAAATCTGTCAACTGAAAAACTATTAGTGATGCTATGATGAATAAGATGAGATTTGACAAAAAAGTTGTCTCTTACAAAAACGAAGCTCTATTTATGTTAAGTCTTCTCTGAAATTTTCATTCGAATCGGAAAATTCTGAACCACTTGTTCGGGGCTCTAAATAACCTAGTTGCCACCTAGCCGCCGCCCAGCCGCCGTACAGCCTGCCGCGGCCTACTTTCCGCCAGTCTTGCTGAAAAGGCCAAAAAATGAGGTCTGTTTCTGTCATGTTTTTTAAACTGTACATGACTGTAAATGCCAAGATATTTAAAAAATAAATACATTTCTAGGCGACAAGAGAAGAAAAGTCAACAGCTGCACTACTGATGGTTTCTCGGCACATGGTCCATTATAATTATTTTTCATTTATACTACCACATTCAAAATGTTCACATTATACTGAATTCGGATATTCACAGTAGACGGCATATTAGTGGTTGTTTTTCCCTCAAACATGCTCTTCCTACGGTCGGTGCCAACATTGCTCAGCCGCCTACAGAAGATATTTTGAATGACCGCCCTATAGGGTTTGTGAAGCCAGATCATGACAATTGTAGATGAGACACCATGTAGGGAGTATATAATAAAGGTAATGTTGTTGGCTGCCTGGTTATAATAATGAAGAGGAACAGCCACACCAAGGTAGAACAATGGGACGCCCATGTTCAGAAGTATCATTAGAATCTGAAGTAAAAATCAAAGTATGGAGTGTTTATACTCATTTGGAAGCTCTCAATCTAACAAATTGGAATTTTTATGAAAAATTTAAGGTACCTGAATGTATAAAGCTCGCAGAAACTTTTTCTGAATTATCACACAGTTGATTGACACTGTTCTCTCCCTTAACGCTTTCGACGCTCCCAGAAATATCAAAACCACAAAGGCCAACGCCTCGGCTACAATCAACACTCCCATAAGTACAACCGAACCAATAACCAGTGAGAAATCAATAGCAACCACATAAATAGGCATTCTTCTGATTCTTTCTGGGAGCTCTGGTAGGTTTTCATGAAGTTTTTGTAGTCCGGTAGCTTGATCAGGAGCGTTGAGATAGGCGGGAAGGAATATTAAGAAGGCAAGGAAGTAGTTGAATAGCATGCATGGGATACGGAAGTGGCGCCAGCAAGAATTTTTACCGAACGATAGGTAATATCGGTTTTCGAAGATGGAAACAATGGCGGCACAAACGACTGTAACTTATTTTTTCTTGGTTGGCTATGGAGCAAAATGGGAAGATTCCCTCCGAGATAATTGCGAAAATTTTATTTTTGAAAAGTTGAAACGAATGACTGTAGGTATACGGTATTTACGATAACCTAATTTTTGTAACTCGTCAAAAAATGAATCAATTGGCTTGTAAATTACAGGGTAGCCTACCTGGGAACTCTTTTTCTCAAAAATTTTCCCAAAAAAAGATTACTGTAGGTATACGTCCAAAGGGACACTGGTGTTCACAGAGACAACACAATTTTGTCTTGATTTTTTTTCTAGGCTACCCTGAAATCTTCAAGTCAATTGGTTCATCCTGTGTCGAGTTACAAAAATGGGTTATTGTAAATACAGTACACCTACAGTAACCTCATTTTAAAAAATGTTTTTCAAATTGAGGATACTTAACATGGCCACTCTAAAGTTTACAAGTGCTGAGTTAAAAAAAGTAGGTAATCTTCCTGTGGTCATCGTGTTCTGATTTTCTGAAAAAAAATCAATACTCACTACAGAACAAGGTAACAACAAGATAAATCTGCTCTCCAGTACCAACTCCCAGATCCGAGAGGACCCCCAAGGCTACACCAGCCATCGCCGGAAAAAGTACAAATGGTTTTGTGAAAAATGTGATTCCCCAATCAAGCAGCACACTCCAAAAGTGTAAATTGAGCATTATCCATTTCACAGAGTTCATAATTTTCGGGGTCTTTGCCAGAATACAGTAGGCACCAAGAATGTGAATTGGTAGCGCGATAACACTGATAACAGTAAGTGTTTGGAATAAGAAATCAGGTGTGTGAAGGTAGGAGAGGCTCATATCAATTTTTTGAGGGGGATGGGGGGACAAAAATGTTTTGTTATCGAGCTAATGAGATAAGAGGGTAAACAAGCCTCGTCAGATCCGCCTTATCAGTTGTGTTCCGTTTTTTGTTTTGCGAATCGTCTATTCTCAGAAAAATAACTTCATTTAGAAACTCAAAATGCCATGATAACATTCTTGGAAACGGGCCCACCCATAGTTTCTTCTAGCATCAATATTTTTGACCACCTAATACATATCTGTTAGAACTAAGGGAGAACTACAAAACGATACTACTTGGAGTACTGTATCTTGTCTATGAACAAAGTTACAGGTCATGTAACACAAGCCTGAAAGATCGACGAGTTGTTTTTGGCCTGTAACTTTGTACGTAGACAAGATACAGTATTCCAAATAGTGTCATCTTGTAGTACTCGGCGAATTCTGTCATATCTAATTTAGTTGTTAAAAAACTTTTTAAGAGAAGCTACAGTAGGACCAGTTCCCAAGTATGATGATAAATGTATGATAGGAGACCTTAAAAATCACTTTTTAGCAAACATCATAACCATCCGCTTGTAGTCGTCGACTTGAGCCTCTAAACCCAAAATTTGAGCCTTCAATTCGATATTTCTAGCTTCTAATCTCCCTTTCTCTTCTCGCGTCTCTCGAATCTTATCTTGACGTTTTTGACGAGATCGCTGGGATGCCAAGTTGTTCTTGTCTCGCATCGTACGGTAGTCATAGGAAGAATCGGTGGAGCCAGAGGAGGATTTTTGGACAGTGCGAGGTTTACGGGTGGTGGATTCTGGGAAAGGATAAAAATGTTAACTTGACTATAATTCTGTTTAAACTTGGAGTTTTAAAGCCATTCAAACAGTAAAATGTGGACCTGAACGAGATCTACAAAATAAAATTTAACTTGTCTATGTTGAATCTCAAAATTTCAAATCAATGACCATTAAACAGCCGTGTTGGTCAGCTTAAATTGGGATTCGTGCCTTTACAGTCTCTGCTTCCAAACTCTCGGATTCAAATATAATAGAATTATATATCAATTCGTAGAACTAGTTGAGTTTTACATTTTAATTTTTGATTTGAACAGAAATTTCTAGTATGAACTGAGTTATGCGGACCTACAAGTTAACGCTTGCTTCTCGGCCGGCGGTGACCCGTCGGTGACCTGCCAACCCTACTAACTTTCAACTTTGAGCTCATTTATTTCGGCTTCTATAAGAGGTATCAAAAATGTTTGACTGATAAAATGTATTTCCAATCATGTTGAACATTTTGTCAATTGACAACTATTTGCTACCTCTCTCAGAAAATGAGATATATAGGCTCAAAGTTAACGGCCTTACTTTCAACTTGTATGCCATAAGTTATGACCAAAAACTCACTTTTAGGACTGAAAATTATTTTCGGGGGCGAAGAGTCAGAAACAGAAGGTATTGAATTGTAGACGTCAGACGTTGTGTTGTTCATTCTAGAAGTGTCCAGATTGAAGAGCTCTAGATCAGATGAGCTAGAAGCGGTTGGCATGGATGGGATAGGAGGAGAATCATATAGATAGTTGTATTCAGGAGGATAATTGGAGGAGGTTGATGGAGTATGGTGGAAAAAAGGATAAGGTGTAGATGTTGGAATCTGAAAATTATAGAATGTATAATTTTTTCACGATTGCAGGAGCCTAAATACCGTAAACCCTCTAATACAGAGTGTATTAATTTTATCCTATTTATCTCGACTCCTGAGAAAGATGTCAAAAAGTGGCTAACTAATAACATGTTTTTCATAATATCAACAATATTTTCTTAGTTGACATATTTTTGATAACTCTCATAGGAACCGAGATAATTGGGCTCAAAGTAAGGGGGTCTTATGATTATTGTACTTTCCATTGAAAAATGAGCTTACCGTTACAAAATTCCTATTTGACGTTTCCCAAGTGGCACCACTGCTGTGGGTTGAAATAGTGGAAGGAGACGAACAAGGTACACATGATTCGAAAAAATCTTCTGGAAGTCCGTCAAAGTCTAGTGACAAACTAGCTAGCTATGGAAGCTAGGTGTCAAAAAGAGTGGTCGCTTTTGTTACGGCCCTTCTAGAAGAGGCCCTCGCCTGAAAACGAAAAAAATTGAAAAAAGTTGATACAGGAATGCCCCCAAACTTTGAACTCATATATCTCATTTCCTGAATAAGATATCAACAAATGGTCAACTGTCTAAATGATTATCATAATATCAAAAACATTGTGACAGTTCATCACTTTTTGGTAGCTTTCACAGGAATCGAGATAAATTGTCTCAAAGTCAAGAGGGTCATTCTATCAAGGTGGACTTTGAAAAATAAAAATATCTTTTCAATGCGAAATAGTAACCAGCACTACTGATCTATGAACGGGTAAAAGTAACATGACAGAAACAGACGCACAGAAAAAAGGGGGAATCAATACTGGTCACCCAACAGAACTGGATTGCACAACGTTGGGCAATTCCTTCAAGATTTAGACAGGTAGAGATGGCGAGACAGTGTGTAGACGTGAGAGGGAGGCGAGAAACAAACAGTGCGTACTGGTAAGAGGATTATTTCATGACAGACCAAAGAAACAAGAGAGAGGTCAATGTTTTATCTTTGGGCAAATTTAGAAAAAAGTATTTCTGGGACCATAAGAATGCGTACAGTACCGGACGAAATAATTTTTGAATAGTAAATCTTCGGTGTAAGAGTATAAGATTTGTCAGCTTGAAAAAGTGTGGCCCGAAATTTTCCAAATTATCTAAAAAATTTTATTTTACATACTTTCGGACATGGTCAATAACGAGACGACTTTTTTTCGTGCCCCTCGGTACCTCGAAGCTGAAAAAACTCGTCTGAAATTTCACCTCTGTTAAAGCATGTAAAGCGTGAGCGCGATCTCTCCCTTTCTTATACAAATTGTGGAAGCAGTGAGGAACAGCGAGTGAGGTGTAGTGGTGAAGAGGGATGGTGGTAACTGACAGGGGTTAGTTCGATCCCTTTTTCCCCGATTTGTTTTCTGCTTTTTTTTCTGATCTTGCTGAAAATCTCAAAGTGTGTCAAAATCTTTAGAAAAAATTTCCATTCAGATTTTTATTAATTTTGAAAAAAAAATATTTTTGACTTGTTTCAAAAAAACTCAAGAAATCATTTTGAAATTTTCTTGCAGAACTGCTGAAAAACCATCTTTAATCAAATTGTTAGTCAGAACCACACAGATTTGCTCAGTTTGGATGCGGAACAGTAATAAATTAGTCAGAAATTATGTAAACCTATGTTTTTACAAGATTTGAGTGCTACTGGGTGGCCGCAGGCCTACGGTCCATTAAAGTTTTGAAAGAAAGCACATATTTGTGATTTCCAGAAATATTTAGAATACCAAATTTCATGAAAAAACTCATTTTATCGGTTCTTTACGTTTAGAAATCATTCTAGCACATTTGAAAATTTTTCAAAAAATTGTAAAAATATCCAAAGGGGGTACCCCATGGCGACTTTTTTTCAAAAAAAAAAATTTTTTTTTGAAAAATGAGGCTATTTTCTCAGATTGTAGAGAAACCTTTAAAAGTACGATTTACATTCGAGAAACTCCGAACAACTGTTATTAACCCCTTCAAAAATTTACTCCAAAAGTGAGAAATTAGCACTGAAATCACTTTCAGAGCCCATAACTTTTTTGTGAGGGGCAAGGCGCAAAAAATAAAAGCAGCGTTGTGATCAGCGTGTCCAAAAGTACCAATGACCGAAGTTTGAACAAATTCTCAACCACTGTCTGAAAACACTTCCCTTGTCAGACTCTACTACTATTTTTTTAGATGTCTAAAGTTTACAATTTCCAGCTAAAAAAGATTACCCCTCTCTCACCTTTGAGCCAATTTATTTCGGTTTCAGTGAAAGTTATCAAAAAGTAGTCAATTGACAAAATGTTTTCGATAATATGATAAACAATGTATCAGTTGACAACTTTTTGATACCTTTCACAGAAAATTAGCTATGTAGGCTCAAAGTTGTAAGTTAGTGGAGTAATCCTATCAAGTGTTTACGGTAATTAGACATATTCGGTGAAAATTCATCCAGACATTGAACTTACCAATAAAAACGCACATGATGAATTATATAGGTCAAATACTAGAAAACACAATTTATTTGAAATAAAAGCCGAATTTATATTTAGGGGCACAGAATGACTATAGACGATAAACTGTGTTTATACGCTGTTGAAAACTGCAATATTGCATAAGATTGTGCCATTCTGTCGTTCTTTGGTTTATGAAGCACGTGACGGATAGTTTTCTTAATTTTGAAAACTCAGAAACTGAAATTAACACATTAATCTCTTTGTTGGAATTTTTCAGAATCACAATTGCCCCTATCTCTCATATGCTTGGTTTTCTACAAGTTTCTAGTATGAAAATGAAGCAAATTAAATTTTACATCTATTCACAATAATCAAAATGTAAAATAATTCAGTTTTCAGCACTTCCGACGCGAATCTCTGCAAATCAAAAAATATGCTAGTATGCAAGTGCGCCCCACTTGCACGCGTTAGAGAGAGGAGGGTGCGAGAGAAAAGAGTTCCGATTTTGTTTTTTATTCTCTTCGCAAACAAATAATGTCGGAAAACCCTCAGAATGTGAGTTTTTAGCAGGATTTTTGATAAAAATAAAGAGAAATAAACATATTTTCAGATAAAATGTGGTTGGACCGAATGCACACATCGATTCGGCACGGAAATCGACATGAATATGCACGTCCTGATGAACCATATGATTCTCTTGGAACACGGAAATTTCACATTGCATCGGAAAGAAAAGACTAGGAAGCGAGTGAGAGAAGCTGTAGAAAGCCAAAGTTCATTAAAAACAGAGCCAGTATCGCCTGAAAGAAGTCCGCCATCTCAGACTCGGAGGATTCCGGATGCTATGTCGACGCCTTCAGCAATTCCTCAATTTTCGAGAACACTTTCTCGTGTTATTAATATCCCATCAACTTCGGAAAGCAATCGAATAGCCACAGAATTGGAGCGGATTCTGGAGAATATGAATATGCCGGTGCCGCCGCTTCAGAATATTCCAATGATTCAGAATCCATTGATTCAGAATCAGATGGCGTTTCAAAATTTCCCGCCAATGATCAACGACGACGATTCAGATGACGTTTCTCTCCAAAACGCTGATGATCAAGCGGACGCCCAAGATATTTGCTTAATAATGGGGAATCCACCGAAGCTGAGCGACGTCATCGAGGAGTTCCTGGAACGTCTTCGCCCGATGAAACAGCTTGGATTCATTCGACCACAACGATCGGTTTACTGTCTCGTGTGTCTGAAATACGTCAAATCGTTCCATGAGTGCAATTGGAAGCATACGTTTAGCGAGGAGCGAATCGCTGAGATGTGGTATAGGTGAGGAGAGATGCCATGTGGCAAATAATGCTTTCATTTTGGCCGGTCGGCAAAAGTCAATTTTTTTGGATTTTTCAAAATTTGCAATTTTATTATTTAGAAGATTCGGGAAATCTCGCCCCAATGGCAAGCATCAGCTGATGAAGGAGCTTCTCGAAATCAAGGAACTCATTTTGAGCGAGGAGGCGAAAGAAGAACAAGATGCCGAAGGAAATAATCAATAATTAATTTATATTTTTGTCAGTAATTTTTGAATTTTATTTTCCTGTAACTAATGGTTGTGCTTAAAGATCTTGCCAAATAAATCATGTCTCCATATATGGTCGCTGGTGTCTTATCAGCAGTTTTTGCACTTCAGTTCAGGAAAATGACGGATTATAAACGGCAGGGGTGACGGAGGAAATAGTGCGTATAAATGGGACATTTGTTGGGGAACTGGAAAAATAACTAATGTTCTTATCAGTGAAAATTTACAATTTTTGGGGTTTTCTTTTTTTTTGTTGTTAAAAACTTACTTTTTTCAGAAAGTTTGATTTTTTAGGTACATATATTTCTAAAAATGGAGCAATGGAAAGTGATGGTACTAATTTGTCTATACGGCGCTGTTAAAGAATTCCGGCCCACTGAACCGTACATGTATGAATATCAGCATACAGTGTTGAATATGTCGGAGCACACGCTGAATAGTCAGGTAAGTGTGCAGTAGAGCGTATTTGCTTTTTTAACGCTCTACGCCACTAAATTCAAATTTGAAGCTGCAGAATTTTTGTTCGGCGGAGCGCGGTTGACGAATAAAAAAGTTTTTTGGCCGAATTTAGGTGATATTTAGATTTGTATTTAAATACCAGCAAGCTGGTGCGCCTTCGGCGCGATTCAATCTATTTTTTCAAATGTTCGTCGCTTCGTTTCTCACTTTTCCTAAATAAAAGGGGCAAGTATTATTGTTGTGCGAAAAAATTGGAGTCGAGACGCAGACAGTCGAACAAAAAATGTATCTGCGTCTCCACCGAGTATGTGCTATTTAGGCTTGCCGCTTCGCGGTGCATACCGTATTCATACTGCAAAAAATACTCTCTAACTCCATTTTTTCGGACAACAAGAATATTGTCGAAATAAAAAAAGTGGGACTCGGTGTTTGCGTACTTTGATTTCCGCTTCCCCCGCTGACGCTCCGCCCACTGCTTTTGCAAGTGCGACGTGGTGTTTTGCAATTGTGCGGCGCCACTTCGGGTTTATTGTAATTAATGAGGTTTTAACGAGATTTTCATAGAAAAATTGCAATTTATGTCACAATTTTTTAGAGAAAATGATTTTTTTTACTTCTTGTTGTCTCGAAACTCAATAATTTATTACAGGTAAACGATTACTATAAAATTCACTGGAAAAATGAAAAAAAAAACCGGAAAAGGCTAACAATAATACTAATTTGCATTATTCTAGATTAGAAGTCATAGTCTTCAGTATCACTGAAAACGTTGAAGTCGTCATCAGAGCTAACGGAGCAATCTGTTGGGCAAATGGTTTCGATTTCCTCGTCCACCATCGCGTCTTCGTCATCACTATCGATTTGGATGTTGTAGAGATTGCCAGCTTCATCGACGTCGTAGTTCAAGTCGAACACCTCGTCGTAATCCGTCATATCTTCTTCTTCCATCATCTCTCGAAGGTCTGTCTCCAATTTTTGAGTGTGAAGAAACAGTTTGTCGGCCGAAGTTGCTGGAAAAGACTCGAGGAACGCCTTGGCACGGCTTCTCACCTAAATGGAAAACAATTTCTGGAAAAAAGATATCTAAAAATTACTAGTTCAACTGAATCTTCCGGTTTGCCAATCTTTCTGAGGTGCTGTTTCAATTGCGCCCACAGTAATTCCACTGGATTAAAAAAACAGTGATATTGTGGGAGTCTTAAAACAGTAACCCCATGAGACTTGGCATACTCGTCGAATTTGTAGACCGTGAATGCCTCGCGACCCCCGTTGGATTCAATGAAGATTCCAGCCAAATCGTAGAGGATCTCCTTCGTCTGCTTTGGGAAGAACTTTACACCATGCTCCGTGAGAAAAGAAATGATGTCAGCTCGGGAAGAAGTGCTCGTCGGAGGCTTGCGGAGTGGAGCATTGTGATACGGAGCATTATCACACAACAACACTGCGGGTCTTCCAAGTTTTGCAGCTTCAGCCGCAAAAAGTGGGATCATCTTTCGGTAGTAGATCTCAAAGTTATTACCATCCATATCGGCATGATAATCTTGCTTCTGATCTTCTTCTCTCAATCCGGAAACAAGAAGAAGCTCGGATCCTTTGAGAACTCCTAGCTGTGTGATGCAGCGATGATGACCCTCTTTCAGCAGCGATGATGACCCTCTTTCCTCTCTCTCTTCCCTTACTCGGACCTGGCTGGGATGATAGAAGATCCATCAACTTCGACTTTTTGTACATCCCCTGATTTGCAGGCATCCAGGCAAGACGCCTCACCATGCCGTTGTGTGCCCACGTTTCATCGAAGGATCCATATAGAGTGTTTTTGGAATCCCACTCTTTCTTCAACTGGAGATACAGCATTCTTTTGTGTACAATATCTGGTCGCTCTGACACGATTGGGTTGAATTCCTTTTGGCGATACACAAATCCAAGTCCACGAAGTACATACAAAAACACTGATCTCCCTCTCTGAAATTTGAGCTCATCCTTCGCAAATGTCCATAGATCGGATACTGTAACATCGCGACCTTCTTTCCAAAATTGTAACAAGAAGCTTCTTTTGCGGTAGGTCTCGTTCGGGAGTCAGGCGGATTACTGTATTTCTGCTCAGACCACATATTTCAGCTGTTGCCTTTGCAGTGTTGGAGAACATTGTAAAACGACAGTCACTGCCCAATTTTTCTTGAATTATGCCGACAGGCCGACAGACGATGACACATTTCTTATGATTTCTTCTCCAGAGTTCCTAGTGTGTTTTTGTGTGGGGGTTTTTGGAAAGATGGAAGTGTCTATGTCACATAACGATTGTCCGATTCTCATGTGCCTCAATTCAGTCTGAAACATGCACCCTACTGCTTACTATTCTAGGTTGATAAGATCTTTATACCTCAGCCAGATACTTGAATCTGTTGGCGGGAGGTAAAACACACTGAGAAGAGGTTGTCTTGTTACGGATAATTGTACTACTCTGGGTGCTTGCAACTGGTTGAGGTAGGATCAGTCGCTGTGTTTTTCAGATGACAGAAGCCAGGAATGTCCGAAGGTTTAGCTTGAAGACTGATGTCACGAGTGGTCGGAAATGCTTGTACTTTCTTATCGTGGCCAATTGGAGTTACTTGGGCTCCAACACTCCGAGTCCACAACTGTCGTTGAGCAACATCTTCAGAAAATCTTGTATTCCTTTCAACATAGCTTCCTAATCATTTTCTCCCCCTTTCTACCCACATTTTTCCAGATATAACTACCTCCTTTTAAGATTGTTTCCTTTGAAATGCCCTGGTTGTAGCTCATTGTTGCTTTTTTCAATGTTTTCCTATAAATTGTGAGATAAATTGTTTTTTTAAATGAAAACCTCATTAATTACAATAAACCCGAAGTGGCGCCGCACAATTGCAAAACACCACGCCGCACTTGCAAAAGCAGTGGGCGGAGAGTCGGCGGGGGGAAGCGGAAATCAAAGTACGCAAACACCGAGTCCACTTTTTTTATTCCGACAATAAATATATATGTATTTTTCAATTTTTTCGAAAGTCCACAGACGGACACGAAGACGGACAGACGCGTCTAGCGTTTTATTAATAAGAAAGATTTTAACAAAATTTGAAAAATTTCGAAAAATTCAAAAATTCGAACATTCAGAAATTCAGAAATTCAGAAAATCAAAAAATCAGAAAATAAAAAAGTCAGAAATTCGAAAATTCAGAAATTCATAATTTCAAAATGGCAGAAGTGCTAGTTTTTCATTGTGTTCTCAGAATCGTTTAAAATTTCAGAATTTCAGAAAAATTCAATGGTTCAAAAATTTGTAATTTTGGAATTTCTCAAGATGTTCAAAATTTTGAAACTTTTCACAAGAAAAATTCGGAAACATTTTAATATTTTTGCGAGCGAAATGAAACTTTTTGTCAATTTTTCATTGGAAATTGCTGTTTTTGCACTCACTATTAGCCAATATTCAAAAAAAATCAAATTTTTTCGCCCCGCAACCGCGCTCCACCGAACAGAAACCCCCATTTTCCAGGTTTACCCAATTTGGACGTACAGTTATCTCATCACACTGATACCTGCATTCCTACTTACCGACGTGTTTCTATACAAACCTCTCTTGGTGTTCGAGGCATTCTCGTACTTCCTATGTTGGATCATTTTCGTGTTTGGAAAGAGTCTATGGAGTCAACAGGTAAGATTTTCGATAAAAAGAGATAACAGTAATCCATTAGATATTTTCAGGTGTTGGAATTGATCTATGGATGGGCTACTGCAACAGAAATCGCCTATTTTGCGTATATCTATGTGAAAGTCCCGAAAAGTGACTATAAATCGTGAGTATCAACATTAGAAGTCCTGAAAAAACAGTCTACCGTGCTTAAATTTTTCGGGAAATTTCAGATTCAACTTCACAAAAATAGAGCTTCATTTTTGTAGTTGGCAACTTCTCTATGAATTCCCATTTTGACGAGATATGCCTTGAATAACCAGAAAGTGCCGAAAATGATTCAAATAGTTTTTTATTGAGAGTTGTGAGACATTATAACCGATTATCTCGCTGTGTTGGATTTGCACAAAAAAGTTGTAAACTACAAAAATAAAGCTGTTTTTGTTGTGAATACTCTGAAAACTTCAGGCAAATTGAACAAAACACAATCATTCCAAAACACTTCTCAAACCGACTGATAAGAACGTTCAGATTTTTTAAACAATTTCAAATTTCTCCAGAGCCACCGCCTTCACTCGTGCCGCTCTTCTCGTTGGCAGATTCTTAGCCTACGCCCTTGCCCAATTGCTTATTGGAATGAACTGGTCCTCTTATCAAACACTCAACATTATCAGTTTAGTTGCCATGAGCATTGCCGTATTTCTTGCCCTTATCCTCCCCAAAGTAGGATGGAAAGAAGCCTACGAGAAGAAGTTGGAGACTCATGACATCCAAGGAGATCTCAAGGAGATTGTGAATCAATCTAGCTACACGGACTACCTCCGATTGTTCTTTGTAGAACTCCGCCATAACTTGCTAGCCATCTACTGTAACCCTCTTATCCTCAAGTGGTCGGTTTGGTCCGCCTTGTCCAGTTGTATCTTCTATCAAGTTACCAACTACACTCAAACTTTATGGGGTACTTTACCAGCCAATGAAAACAAATTCAATGGAATTACGGAAGCGTTGGTCCCTCTGCTAGGTATCCCAGCTGATTTAATTACCCGGCAATTGAATGTAAATTGGAACAAATGGGGTGACCTACTTCTTGCTGTAGGATCTGTGCTACAAGCAGGACTCTTGTTTTGGATGTCACAGTCGAATCATATTGTCGTACTGTACTTGAGTTATATTTTCTATCGAGTCATCTATCAATTAACAACAACTATTGCACAGTCTACACTAGCGTTTTCATTGGATTCTCGACTTTTTGGATTGCTATTCGGAATTAATACGTTTGTGGCGCTAGCTTTACAATCAGTGCTGACAGCGGTTGTGATTGATTGGCAGAAATTGGAAATTCGACCTCAGGTAACATAATTTTTCAAAAATTCGTTCCAAAATTTTTTTATCCAGTCTCACAAGTTGCTGGCCTAGAAAACAAACCATTCCTATATCAGGCCATTTCTGGGCCATTTAATATAGTGGCCTAGAAAACTCAACTTGCAAAAGTTAGGTCATTATTGTAAATGGCCTAGAAAATACGTTAGTTGAATGTTAGATCATTTCATAATTTTCGCAAATTGATTTTTCTAGGCCACTAAAGTATATGGTCTAGTAAACTCAACTTGTAAAAGTTAGGCCACTATGGTGAATGGACGAGAAAACACATCAGGTGTATGTTAGGTCATTTTTAGACCATCAACGATGATGGCCTAGAAAAACCATGTTGCGCAAGTTAGGCCACTCTTTTCCTCACAAGAAACTGGACCGTCCTCACATGACACCTAAGTTTTAAAAAAATTAGTTCGAACCATAAAAGTTGACAGTCTAGAAAACAAAGCTAGGCCACTATGATATATGACTTAGAAATCAGACCATGTGAATATCAAGCCATTTGTAGGTCATTTACCATGGTGACCTAACTTTAGCAAATTGCGTTTTCTAGGTCATCACGGTAAATGTAACAGAAATGGTATTGCATTTACCTGGCTGTGTTTTCGAAGCCATTTAGCATGGTGGCCTGGAAAACACAACTTGCTAAAGTTAGGCCAGGATCGTAAATGACCTAGAAAACACATCAGGTGCATGTTAGGCCATTTTGGAACCATCAACTACGGTGCCCTATAATAACCATGTTAAGAAAGTTATGACACTCTTTCCCTCACATCAAACCAAAGAAATCGCTTCAAACAGACAACACTGATAAACAGACAGAATATTTCTAAGTCATTATCCATGGTGGCCTAGAAAACTAAACTTGCGAAAGTTAGGCCACTACGTTTAAATCTCCAAGAAAACACACCATTTGTATATCAAGTCAGTTCTAGGCGATTTACCATGGTGGCCTAGAAAATTTAAAGTTAGGTCCCCATGGTAAATTATCAAGAAAAAACACCAAGTAAATGTCAGGCCGCTCCTACGCCATTTACCATATCAGTGGGCTAGAAAAAGCATGTTGAAAAAATTAGGCCACTCTATTCGCACTGCTCAAAACTAGATAATTTGTTATTTCAGTTCGTTGTCTACTCATGCTATCATCTTGTGGTTGCAGTTGGATTCGGATTCATTTTTGCAGTGTGGGCAGGCCGGAGATTTTTCAAAACCAGTACTAATTAATTTGATTATTCTGCAAAATAAAATGTTTCAAAAGTTTTTTTTTCAAATTTAACATGCTGTGTCGACAGTAGTTGGAGCCACAGAGCCACGCTTCTCGACTCGAGTGACCTGAAAAAATTAATTTATTAATTTCAAAATCGCTAAAATGACGAATGGGGCTTTTATCAATAGATAGGCATGCTTATATAGGGCGTCTGATAACGATTTTCGAGTTCATAGAACCATAGAACCATGGGCGTTAGTTATGATTTTCTATTTTCTAATTAAAGCCAAAGATGACAAAATTTTCAAAACCAAATTGCAGCCTTATCACACAAACTCTTGATCGCCATCTTATCAACGCCTTTCTTTTCTTGTAATCACAAACTCTTCACATCACTTTTAAGTCGACGAAAAGCCAACCACACCCAGCGATTGGACACTGATTAGAGCTTCTTTAAAAGGAGGTTAGAATTCAGAAGATAGCATCATTTTTTGGATCTACAGAAATGTTCCGTCTTGTGTTGGCTCTTGTTTTTGTGAGCACTGTTGCTGGCCAGTGTAACCGGCAAAGCGATCAATACATTGGAGACTTGTGCTACACCGTATCGAATCTCAAGCTGAAATTCGTGGATGCCGAAAGCGCTTGTAACCAGAACGGCGAAAACCTTGCTGTGATTCATACTACCCTCCAGGCTAATTTCTTGGCTTGTAAGTTAAAGTAATCCCAACAATTTTATTTGAATTTGTTTGCAGATATGGTCCGTGCTGATACCAGCTCTTCTGTAGGAGAATTTTGGATTGGATTGAGCCGTTCGTCACTCAATTCACGATTCCAATGGGATGATGGAACCACTATGTCATGGAGCAATTTTGATTCGAGTAAGTCATTTTAAAACCTACTAAATGGATTTTTGATGTTTTCAGATATTCCAAAATCCCAACTGTTTGTGGCCGAGAGCACTTCCAACGGAAAATGGCAAACATTGGATGGACAACAAGCACTTTACTTCGTATGCAGCTACCGTCCAGGAAATGTGAACCGTGAGTTTGTAAAATTTGAAAATTCATCATAATTGGGAGATTTTTCAGCCACCCCAACACCATCTGGAAATAACACTGACAATGGCTTCACCACCGGATATCCAGTCTCCTACCCAGCTGGAAATGGAACCGACTTCCCAGTCTCATGGCCATATTTCAACGGAACAGATTCTCCAGTTTCCTGGCCAGCATGGAATAGCACTGACTACCCATTCAGCAACTCTACCGGATATCCAGTATCATGGCCATCGTTCAATGGCACCGACTATCCATGGTCTGGCAACTCCACCGACTTCCCATTCTTCGGAAACTCTACCGGATATCCAGTCTCTTATCAAGCTGGAAATTCTACGGACTTGCCATCCTTTGGAAACTCTACCGAGTACCCAACGTCTGGAAACTCTACTGGATATCCAGTTTCTTATCCATCTGGAAATGGTACCGACGTTCCAGTCTCTTACCCAGCTGGAAACGGAACCGACTATGAGCCAACTGGATACCCAGTCTCCGTTCCACCAGGAGGAAGAGCTGCCCGACTTTAAACTGTTGCATATTTTGATTTAATGAACACTTCGCATTTTTATTTTGTCTTATGGATTTCTTGGTTTATTCTTACTATCCTACGATAATTGTAAATAAACCCGTGGTAATTTTTCAGTGATTGGCTGAGACATGACATGCTTTCCAAAGAGAAAGTCCTATTTTTGTAATGGTTTGATGAACTGATACAAATAAAAATTTGAAAGTTCCATCACTGGAATAGTATCAATTGAATTTTGGCTTGATAAAATGGACCTAAATCGAAACTGTGCCTCAATCCCTCTGCTGAACTGTTGCAAGGAAAATAATCGAGTTAGTGTATGAACATATCGGCACATATTTGGTTTTACAGATCCGATAAGATCGGACGGGTCTCCTAGCAGTTTACGGGTTCCATCATCGCCCTCATCGGACCCTCAAAATTATACGAGACCCTTTTATAACATCCGTAAAATCCTGTGGGACTCGGTGGAATTCCATGGGATCCATAAGCTCAAATTGAACCCACATACCTTGAAGTCCTTTGGAAAAAAATATTTTGGACCTAGCTACAACTGTCAAAAGTCTGATTTTCAGATTTTAGAGTTGCTCCATCACTTCGTTCTACCGCAAACAAACCAATAACAAAGTTTTCAACATCTTATATACCCCTTCCCCATAAATCACCATCATGTCACACCCTTTAGCCACATTGTACCAGTAGAACAATGGGCGTTGGTTCATCCAGATCAGAATGACAAAAGCCTATAACTTTGTTTCTCGACGTTATCTACTCAAAATCGATTCTATTCTCATCAGCGTTTCCGAAAAGAATCGACATACTCAACCACACCCTGTACTCACTATCAAACACAAACTGATTACAGCTTCTTTAAGAAGGGGGCAAGTTTTGAAGAAGACATAATTTTTTGGATCTACTGAAATGTTCCGTCTTGTGTTGGCTCTCGTTTTCTTGAGCACTGTTGCTGGACAGTGTAACCGGCAAAGCGATCAATACATTGGAGACTTGTGCTACACCGTATCCAACATGAAACTCAAATTTTCTGATGCCGAGAGCGCTTGCAACCAGAACGGAGAAAACCTTGCTGTGATTCATAATACCATGCAGTCTAACTTCTTGGCTTGTGAGTTACAGCAATGCCGATTGGTTTATTTTAGTTTCTAATCCTTGCAGATATGGTTCGTGCTGATAACAGCTCTACTATAGGAGAATTTTGGATTGGATTGAGCCGTTCGTCCCTCTATTCACGATTCCAATGGGATGATGGGACTACTATGTCATGGAGCAACTTTGATTCCAGTAAGTCATTTTAAAACCTACTAAATGGATTTTTGACAATTTCAGATGTTCCAAAATCCCAACTGTTTGTGGCCGAGAGCACTGCTAACGGAAAATGGAAAACTTTGGATGGACAACAAGCACTTTACTTCGCATGCAGCTACCGTCCAGGAAACGTCAACCGTAAGTTTTTGGGATTTGAGAATTCAAAATTATTTGAAGATGTTTAAGCGAGCCCAACACCATCTGGAAATAACACTGACAACGGCTACACCACCGGATATCCAGTGTCGTACCCAGCTGTAAATGGAACCGACTTCCCAGTCTCGTGGCCATCTTTCAATGGAACAGATTCTCCAGTTTCCTGGCCAGCATGGAATAGCACTGACTACCCATTCAGCAACTCTACCGGATATCCAGTATCATGGCCATCGTTCAATGGCACCGACTATCCATGGTCTGGCAACTCCACCGACTTCCCATTCTTCGGAAACTCTACCGGATATCCAGTCTCTTATCAAGCTGGAAATTCTACGGACTTGCCAATCTTTGGAAACTCTACCGAGTACCCAACGTTTGGAAACTCCACTGGATATCCAGTTTCTTATCCATCTGGAAATGGTACTGACGTTCCAGTCTCTTATCCAGCTGGAAATAGAACCGACTATCCAGCTTCCGTTCAGCCAACTGTATACCCAGTCTCCGTTCCACCAGGAGGAAGAGCCGATAGATTCTAAGTATCCTTGGGATTTGAATGAATGAATTTATTTTGAGAATCAATTTTTTCATTGTAACTAACCTGAACAGCTCCTTGATTCTCACTCTTCTTTTTACCAAAAAGTCCAAGAAACGAGTTCTGGCACTGTGGAGATACCATAAGACAGATGAAAAAGTGAGAAATGGAGTTGAGAACTGGCAGGATTAGAGTGTATGTCGAGAAGGATCTGTGGATTTATATTCAGAGTTTTAAGTGGAATTTGAAGAATGCTTACAAAACTAGCGAATCGTCCGGAAGAAGCGCTTTTAGGCATGTTGCCAAAGTACTAGGCACCCCGGTTAGAAGATAAGGGATCATGAACACTAGAATCAGTTTTGTCACATTCTCTCGTTTGGTTCTGAAATTATCAATTAATTTTATTGGACCTTTCGTAAGAGAGAACTTGCAAGTTGGGACCGTAATGGCACTAGCGGTCCCTCAGAGGTACCCCAGGCCCCATGATAGAAGGAATGGGACCACGGTATTCATGTTGGGACCGCTTCTATCACTGATGTGATCAAAGGTGCCATCTTGGGGAATTACCTCTCATCTGTACACCTTGCTTTCTCATTTTTCAGCAAAACCATCATTAGAGCACACTCCATAACTGTTGGAACTATTTTCACTATCCCATCCAAAATCAGAATCCGCCCATAGAGAACCTTATGTTTCGGCAGCGCAATAACGACCTGATAGCGAGTTTCGGAGAATGTAACGTTTATTCCAGTGCAACTAAAAAAAAAAGTTTTCCTTACAAAAGTTTCACCTACAGTAGCCTAATCTACTTACTCCAGTTCAAAGTACACCGGCTGAATCACATTCTGAAAATACACCATATAAGACCAAATAACAGACATCAAGCATAATAGTGATATAACTTTGAACACATCATTTGGTTTGGAAATTTTCATGACATCATAAAAGCATATAACCAGTGCTAGCCAGATGGATAGACGTTGGAAGGTGTCGGAAAATGCAGAGCCCAGAAGATTCGAGATTGTATCCTGATAAGATTTGCTAACGAAACATAACTCGTTTTCCAGAATATTCCGGATCCACAACGGGGAGTAGGCCGTGAAAGTGGATATCTGGGAAAGTATATCGAATAGGCAAATCCACGTCATCAATCGATACGTAGGATTGCATCGAAGGTCTTTTTGAAGAAGGATCAGGATTTGAAGAACGTTTATTAAGATTCCAATGAATTGAAAAATGGAGAGATTGTAAGGGAAAATTGAGTCTTGAGGGGGAGGCATTGCTCAGGGTTTGGAAAAGAATGAAATCAAGAAACTTCTTAAAAATTTTTTCGAGAGATAATTACATGTTGTAGACATACTGCCCTTTAGCCCAAAATCTGTGGGAGGAAATGCCAAGCAAATAAAATGACGATTATCTGTGTTTTGAAATGTCAATTTTGAAGTTCTTAAAAAGTAGTCCAGAAATTTCCGAGGAATTTTTTTGGGATTTCTAGACCATGACCTAATTTTTCGAATTATCTAGGCCATCACTAATTTTAAAGGATTTTCTTTTCTTGGTCGTGCCCTAATTTATAGATTTCTCAGGTCATGACCTAATTTTCTTGAATATCGAGATGATGACCTAATTTATTTTCAGGTCACGGCGTAATATTTTAGATTTTCTGGGTCATGAACTACTTTTTGGAATTTTTTAAGTCATGACCTAATTTTTTGGATTTTCTAGGACATGACCCAACTTTCTGGATTTTATTTTCAAACGAGTTTTTTTGAGAATAATAAGGAAGAAAAAAAATTGTGTTACGGTCATTAGTAATGAGTTCTGATGACGGACTCGTTTTTTGAGAATTTTTTTTATGCAGAAAATGACAACGGAAATGAATAAACACTAATCATTATACACTGTCACGCAAAAATACATACATCCTTCTTCTGACAGGGCGACGATTCACAGATTTCATTGAAAATTTAGACATTTATTTTCACAATTTGTCAAATTATAACACTAACATGGGAGCTTCTTTTAATCTCATCGCCAAGTTGTTTCCACTTGCCAAAACAACAACAAATTTTGGAAAAGGTAAAATCTCGGTATGGTTTGTGTACAAATATCATCATGATAGTGGAACCAGCACCGTGAAGAGATAATGTTATAAACACGAAATTGTTGAGAGCTTGATCGTGATGATGTGTGGCCATGATCCATAAAAGGGCAAGGACAGGTGCAAGAACAACGGAGAGCAAGAAGGCAGACTGAAAATTAACATTTTGAAAGAGGTGAGACAGTATGCATTTCGACGTGACGGTGTACAATAGCTCACTGGACCTTCAATGGTAAACCCGCATATTTAAAATCCTGTAGAGACAACAAATTTTCGAAAAATATAGCGTAGTGGCGAACGTTAGTGAGTGTCACTCTATACTTTTGTTCATAACTTTGCTCAAACTTGTCCAATCATTGAAAACTTTTTTGTTGAATGTAGCTTGGTTTCCAACAAAACGTTGTATAAACTGTTTGAAACTCAATCAATTTTTGTGTCTTCTGAATCTTCATATCCGTGACGATGACTCCAGACGAAAAAAAATTTTCCGTCAGAATTTTTTTAAAGATTGGCTTTGTGATGAAAAATGTTTGGGGTAGATCAAATATATACAGAGAAAAATTTGAAGCGGTTTGGAAGACTTGCTCTTGAGATGTGCTCACTGGAGCATAAAAGGTATGGTTCTGGAGTTTGGCTATAACTCGGCTCAAAATGATTCAAATTTTCACAAATTGAGAGAGAATGTGTGTCTTAAGTTGCTTTACAGTATACATACAAAACTTTGTATTTTGAAAACAAAAAATGTTTCTTCATAAGACATAGTTTGTCTTCGGTACATAAAAATGAAAAAAAAAGAAAAATTTTTGTTTCCAAAATACAAAATTTTGTATGTATATTGTAGAACAGTTTAAGACACACACATTATCTAAAAATTTGAGTGAATTTGAATCACCTTGAGCCGAGTTATAGCCGATCTCCTAAACCATATTTTTTATGCTCCCGTGAGCACATCTCAAGAGCAAGTGTTCCAAACCGCTTCAAATTTTTTTTCTGTACATATTTGATCTACTCTAAACATTTTTCATCACAAAGTCAATCTTTAAAAAAATTCTGACGGAAATTTTCTTTTTGCTTCTAGAGTCATTGTCACGTCTGTGAAGATTCAGAAAACACAACAATTGATTGAGTTTTAAAAAATGTATATATCGTTTTGTTGGAAACCCAGCTACATGTATCAAAAAAGTTTTCAATGATTGGACAAGTTTGACCAAAGTTATGAACAAAAGTATAGAGTGACACTCACTAACATTCGCCACTGTACATATTTTCCCTAATTTAATTTAGATTTACATTTCAACCAAAAAAAAATGCTCACCTGGATAGTTAGCGCATGTGCAAACTTTCTATGCACCTCCATGGCCTTTTCCGATTGTATCCGATTTCTCAGCGTGACCAAGTTAATAAAAATCAAAGTGCCAAACGTAATACTTGAAATTGCGTGTATGGTGGTTCCAGTAGCGATGCAGACGAGTAGAAGAATCAAATCCAACGATAACACATATATTTTTCGGTTCTTATAAGTGACAGGAGATTGACAAGGTAGTTGGCTTAGAACAATTTGAAGACTGGTTTCTTGGTCCGGAGGGTTAAAAAAGGGTGGGAGGAAAACGAGAGGGACAATTGTAAATATAAAAAGAAGGAAAGGTTTTCGGATAGACGACCATCTCGATTTCTGGGCGAACAGTATGAAGAAGCGATTTTCGTAAAGTGCGACAATCGACGCAGCGATAGCTGAAAGAGAAATGGAGAAATGTTGGTGTACTTTTCCAAGTTCCCAAAAATTGGCATAGAAAAATCATAATAACTGTATTTCTCACCTGCTAACAAGGTAACCATAAAATAGACCATCAGTCGTGGAGCATCCACTAATCCCAAACCATAGCCAGCTGGAGCAGGTAGCAGAATGTATGGTATACCGATGAAACTCATAACCAAATCTGACATGGAGCTCCAAACGTGTAAATTGAACATTAGCCATTTCACGGAACCCATTTTCTTCGGGGTCTTGAAAATGATACAATAAGCGCCATATGCAGAAATTGGGCATTGTAGAATAGTTGCGAAATGTAAGACAGTAACCATGAATTCTGGACTAGCAATGTATCTGGAGTCTGGGATTCCAGAACCTACTATACAAGATTGCATGAATTTTTTTTGAAAACGCGTGATAAGATTTCTGAGAAGGGGTATGAAGCATGTCAGTGGTGGTTAATTAGAGCAGTGATGCGCAATGTCTTGGTTTCTCAGAATTATTTGATGTGGAACCAATAATCTTCCCTGCGGAATTGTTAGAAACATAACAATATTATAACGAGGCCAGTAATTTTCAGATGTGTCATCCGATCAGCTCAATTAAAAATTTTAACGCTCGTATCGAGAAAAATGAACCTTTTGCTAAACATTTTCGAAATATCTGAATTCAGAGATTTCAAGACAAAAAAATACATACGTCCTTCAATAAGAATTTTCGAACTATCAGGTGAATGTTCAATTTACAGATTTCAAAAACATTTATTTTCAGAATTCATTATATTACTCTAACATGGGAATGTCTATGTGTCTCATCGCCATCTTCTTTCCACTTGCCAAAACAACAACAAATTTTGGAAAATGTAAAGTCTCGGTACGGTTTGTGTACAAATACCATCATGATAGTGGAACCAGCACCATGAAGAGATAATGTTATAAACACAAAATTATTGAGAGATTGGTCGTGATGACGTGTGACCCTGATCCATGAAGGACAAGGACAGGTGCGAAAACAACGGAGAGCAAGAAGGCAGACTGGAAATTATAATGTTAGACCGGCATCGTCGAGAGGAATCAAAATTTCAATAATTATTTTTTCATCATGTCCTTTATTTGAACCTTTTATTTGAAATTATATGTGCTTCAAAAAAATACTCACCTGGATAGTGAGTGCAATTGCAAATTTTTTATGCGCCTCCATTGCCTTTTCCGAGTGTATCCGTTTTTTGAGCATAGATTAATAAAAATTAAAGCATAAAACGTAATAGTTGGAACCGCCAATATCGTATTTGCAAAAGCAATACAGACCAGTGGAATGCTCATATCTAACAATAACACATGTGTTTTTCTGTTCTTATAAGTGACAGGAGATTGACAAGGTATCCGGCTGAGCACAATTTGAAGACTGGTTTCTTGATCCGGAGGGCTGAAAAATGGTGGGAGGAAGACAAGAGGGACAATGGTGAATATAAAGAGAAGGAATGGTTTTTGGATAGTTGCCCGAGATTTCTGAGCGAACGGTATGAAAAAGCGGTTTTCGTAGAGTTTCGAAGCACCCATAGCTGAAATCCAAGTTACTTCCAATGGTAAAGTTCTGGTGTAATTCTCAGGACTCCGAAATTGATTGTTTTCTACTAAGAAAATCAAAATCACTGTATTTTCTACTTGCTGGGAAGGTTACCATACAATATATCATCAGTCGGGGAGCATCGACCGATCCCAAACCATAGCCAGCTGGGGCTGGCAGCAAAATTTATCGGAAACCAATAAAACTCATGGCCAGGTATGCAAAATTGTAAATTGAGCATTGGCCATTTCACAGAGCCCATTTTCTTGGACGTCGAAAATTATGCAATAAAATTGGGCATTCCAGAATAGTTGCAAAATGTAAAATGGTGGCTAGGAATTCTGGATTGGCGATGTATCGAGAGTCCGATGTTCCAGAGCCTATTATACAGGATTGCATGACTATCTGAGAACGCGTGTCAAAATTTTGGTGAAGAAGTATGATGCATGCCAGTGTTGGTTAATTAGGCAGAAATGTGAGTTCTTGGTTTCAGAGAATATTATAACGAGGAACTAATTGTTTCCTACATGAGTGTTCAGAAGTTTGAATCAAAACAAAACTAGATTTGGACGATATCAGTGATTTTTCATATTTCATCCGACGCTCTCAATAGGAATTTCTAACGCTCGCACCGAGGAAGGAGAATTACCCCGTCTCAATCTTATCACTCGTTTTCAAAAAAAAATCATGCAATTTTGTATAACCGGCTCTGGAACCCCAGACTCTCGATACATCGCCAGTCCAGAATTCCTGGCCACTGTTTCATATTTAGCAACTTTTTTGGAATTCCCAATTCTGACATACGGTGCTTGTTGTATCATTTTCAAAACCCCAAAGAAAATGGGCTCCGTCAAATGGATGATGTTCAATTTACACTTTTGGAGCTCCATGTCAGATTTGGTGATAAGTTGTATTGGTATTCCATTCATTTTGTTACCTGCTCCAGCTGGCTATGGTTTGGGATTTGTTGATGCACCACGACTAATGACATATTGTATGGCTACCTTGTTAGCAGGTAAGCTAGGTCTCAATTCGACTATCAACATATAGCGGTTTTCAGCTATCGCTGCCTTGGTTCTCGCACTTTACGAAAACTGCTTTTTTATACTGTTCGCCCAGAAAGCGAGATGGTCGTCTATCCGAAAACCTTCCCTTCTTTTTATATTTACAATTGCCCCTCTCGTTTTCCTCCTACCCTTTTTTAACCCTCCGGACCAAGAAACCAGTCTTCAAATTGTTCTAAGCCAACTACCTTGTCAATCTCCTGTCACTTATAAGAACAGAAAAATACATGTGTTATTTTTAGACATGAGCATTCCACTGGTCTGTATTGCTATTGCAACCACGATATTGGCGATTCCAACCCTTAAGTTTTGTGCCTTGATTTTTATTAATTTGGCTACGCTCAAAAAACGGATACATTCGGAAAAGGCAATGGAGGCACATAAAAATTTTGCAATTGCACTTACTATTCAGGTGAGTTTTTTTGTAAATTCCAACTAAAGAAGGGACATATCAAAATATTAATTTTCAGTCTGCCTTCTTTTCCTCCGTTGTTCTTGCCCCTGTCCTTGTCATTCTCTGGATGTCATCACGACCAAGCTCTCAACAATTTCGTGTTCATAACATTATCTCTTCACGGTGTCGGTTCCACTATCATGATGATATTTCTACACAAGCCATACTGGGAATTTACACTTTCCAACATTTGCTGTTGTTTTAACAAATGGAAACGAGTTGGTGATGAGAGAAAAAGAAGCTCTCATGTTAGCGTTATAATATGATGGAATGTGAAAATAAATGTCTAAATTACTATTACAATCTGTATAGTGAAATACCGTACTCGGACGGAGGCGCCCGCGTAGCCCGGAAGCATTAAATTTTTGTCTCAAAAAAGTGTCTAATGAGCAAAACACAATTATTTACTTTTCTCTTCCTTCTTCCTCCTTCTGTTCATGAGATATTAAATTGGTACCTAAAAAGTGCCTAAAATGAAATGAAATAAGAGCTGTGCCACTTCAACGCGGCGTATCTGGTTTTGTTGAATTTATACAATAAAAATAGCAACTACGGAAATGAAGCTGTATTTCTGTTTAGTATTAGTTCTGTTTAGTATTAGCACCTGAATTTTTAGAAAAATCGGGAAGTTCTGGACTAATTCTTTAAGATTCCAAAACGGACTATCTTCAACAACCAGCTGATGAAGGACAACAAGCAAAATAAGAAAAAATATATCTTCATAATCCAACAAAGAAAATTACTATATCATACTCATTTGTGATTTCCAAATAAAATTATCTCTGATACTCTCCCGCTTTTGCCTCTTTTTCGGAAAGCAGCAACAAAGAACAGATATTGTGAAATCTCGATATGGTCTGTGAGCAAATAACATGATGATAGTGGACCCGACTCCATTGAGTGATATTATCAGTAATGCGAAATTGTTGATGATTTGGTTGTGTTGCCAGAAGACTAGCATGAATATAATAGTGCAAACCGGAACGAATAATATGAAGAACTCATAGACAGTCTGAAAAATATAAGGGCTTCAAGTTGTACTTACTGGAACATATTATCACCTGAACAGTCACCCCTTTAGTGAACGCTTTTTGCAGACACACGGTTTGTTTTGACGCTGTCCAAGCGTCAGACATCCAGATGTTCCAAAAAGTAAGCGATAGAAATGTCACAAATGGTGGCACTAAAATTATAAGCTCCACCATCACACATCCAACAGGCAGCATGAAATCTAGAGCCAGTACATACAACTTGCGGTTTTCAAATGTGTAATTTGGAAGGCATGGAATCGATCTGAGAACCCAATTTCTAGCGGATTCTTGTTCAGGAACATTGAAAAGTGGAGGGAGGAACATGCAAGGGGCAAGGAGATAAACCATAGTGAAATAGGGTTTTCGAAAATGTCGCCACCAAGTTTTCCGACCGAATAGCATATAGTATCGATTTTCGTAAATCGCCAAAATTGACACTCCGGAGCCTAAAATTTATTTTGCATTTCAAAGGAGGGTAAAATTTAAAAAATAAATTCGTTGAAACTTTGTTCATACAAGCCCCTTCGAGGATCAGAACATGTTGGAGTAGAATTTGAGGTGCCTCCTTTTTAAGCGCAATTTTTTGTATAAGACATGTCTAAAAATTCCAACTGATAAAATATTCATCATTTTATTATAAAAACTTTTATAATTTTCAAAAGTTTGATATCTCTTACAGAAATTAAGATATCCGAGCTCAAAGCGCAAGTATTCAATATCACCGTAATTTGAAGCCCACTCTATACGTTCACTTTGAGCTCAATCATCTCCGTTCCTGTAAAAGATATCAAATATCTGCGTACCATGGAATTGTTGACAATATTAGGAGAATCATTTTATCAGTAAACCAATATTTATATTTGATATCTGTTACAGTTACTGAGATATCTGAGCTCAAAATGCACCTATTGAGACTTACACGTTGTCGTGGTTACGATGCAATAAATAGCGAGACCTGGATTATTCATAACACCTAAATTGAATCCAGCAAGTGTCGGAATGAAAAGGTACGGTAGTGCGACAGAGCATATTATACTGTCAGACAGAGAGCTCCAAAAGTGGGTATTCAAAAGAAGCCATTTGACATTTGCCATATGGGGAGGGGTCTGGAAATTCGAACGGCAAGTGTTATGTTCAGTGGAGCGCGGTTGAACGGCGCTAAAAATGAGGTTTTGAAAAACTTGCACCAAAAATCAACTTTCAAAATATTCATAAAAAAAGAAACTTACCTTAAAAATGATACCATACGTACCAAATATGAAAACCGGGAATTGAACTCCGGCTAGCACATGACACGCTAAAATCATAAAATCTGGACTTGCCAGATAGCTGGCTTCCAGAGAGCAATCTTCCATAGAGTGTCGAGTATAAAATGATTTTTTGACTTGTAGAAAATGAAAAGAAAAAGTTAATTACATCAGCTAGGACATTTTTTTCAGGCGTTGATCTTATTCAGACACAAATGGTGAACATGACTGATTAGAGTTTGCTTGAATATTTTTCTAGTTTCCACCTGTCGGACAAAAAGTTTGAGCAAAGTTGTAGAAATCTGGGGAAAGTCAAATCTACTGAAAATATGATGTGTGAGCAACGAAAACTGAGTTAAGACAAGAAAATTCACACTGGAAAATAACAATTAGCGATCAAAGTTATAATTTGATGATCAATGAGTAGAAGAAGGGGAGACAAGAAAGTTTTTTATGGTTTTTTTTGGAGTTACAGTATGCTTTTCCACGTGACGGCGCGCTAGTATGCCATCGGCCAGCCGCGCAGCTTTCACCACTGTAGATCAGCTGGTAGTAGTGCGGCACCTCCAACGGTGGCTTCACAAGTTCACCCCCTCGAGGGGCTCATAAGAAGGAAATTTCAATAAAATAATTTTTTAACGAAAAATGATCATGATAAGCGTAAAGGTCAATCCATGAAATGATATCATAACGAATCAAATATTGTCAGCCGCTCGGTTTATAACTAATGCAATAGACAGAACATGACATGAGAAGTTAAGTCTTTTTCTTGTTCGTCCTCACATTATTGAAAGCATGAAAAAAGGTTATATCGCGCCGAAGGCGCACCAGCTCGCTGTTTGAAGCGCCAGCGGCGCGGCAAACAGGCTGGTTCAGTTCATTATGAGAGAGAAATGATAAACGAGTTTACCAAAGAAAATTTCGCTGATCTTCTCTTTCTGTTTATTGTTTGGAATGGGTTTTAACTTTTTTTCAAATAAATTTTGTAATAATTGATTGACTTCTTTTCTCGATCTAATTTTGCAAATTAGAAAAATTGAGTCATTTCGTGTTTCTAATCATTTCCAACCTGTTTGTGCACCAACACCCAACAACAAACACCAACACTCAACACCTGTTAGAGCAAAGTCTACAAATCAAAAATTTGCTAGAAATAGATTTTTTCGGAACCATGACGTTTTAGAACCACGATGTTTTCAACCCGCGACTTTACAGAACCGTGATACTACGTCTTAGAACTGCGAGGTTTTAGAACCTGGACGTTCCAGTACCATAATGTTTTATAACCGCGACGCTTTACGACAATGGCTTTTCAAAACCACAACGTTTCAAAACCGCGACGTTTTAAAACAATTATGCTTCAGAACCATGACGTTTTAGAATTACTAAGTTTCCGAACCGCGACATTTTAAAACAGCGACGTTTCAGGACCTTGACGTTTTAGAACCATTATGTTTCACGATTGCGACGTTTTAGAACCACGACGTTTTAGAAACACAATGTCTTAGAACAGCGACGTTTCAGAACTGTGAAGTTTTAGAACCACAGCGTTTTAGAACAACGATGTTTTAGAACCGCGAAGTTGCGGAACCATGACTCTTCAGAAACGCGAAGTAATAGAACTCTGAAATTGCAGAATGGTTGCAAAACTGTCAAGAAAACTAGTATAAAGGAGTAGAAAACCCCAAAAAACTTTTTTTAGTGCGAATTAAGTTTGCTGGGCACAATTCTAAACACGTTCATTCATATTTACATTTATATACAAGAAATTTGTTTCCAAAAACTCAATATGTTATTTGATGAGACACCATTATCACACTATCATGTCTCAATTGTGTCTTTGGCACATGCGACACAAAGCTATTCCGCCTTGATTCCATAGCTGGTGTCGTTTTGTAACTTAATTTCATACAAAAAATCTCCATACAAACTTCTCGATATGATCTATGAATGAGCAACATGATGATAGTGGATGCCAACCCGTGAAAGGATATCATAATGAAGCAAACGTTGTTGATGGCTTGGTTATATTCACGGAAGTATACGGAATACGCCACGTAGATCAGAGGAACTATCAGAATAACAAGTGGGGTGTACATCTGAAAATAATGCTTCTTGGGATTACTGTAGCAAGGCTGTGCTTGTAGCAGGCTTGTAGTGGCCCTAGAAGCTTTTGAGTGGCTGAGCTTATTCCTAGCAACCCCAACCGCGGCCGAACGCAGCTTCTGACAGCTTTAACTGCAACTACAGTACCTGCACATGTAACGCGTTTAGAAACTTTCGCTGGATTCTCAAAGTGGTTTTGGATAAATGAATTTTTCTAGCCATACACTTGGTATTGAATGCCAAAAGAAAAATAAATATTACGCATTCTCCAATAATGAAAAGAATCATTAGCATCACTGAGATGAAAGCATATGCAGCATTTGTAGAAAGCACAAAAACTGGACCATTTGTTATCCAGAATGGAAGATTGGTTGAAGACTCGGAGAGTTCCTGAAAAAAGAATTCCATTTTAGGTTATAAAAATTTTATCTACGTTATGCACGACTTCCACAGCATATGCTTGATCTGGAATGTTGAGATAAGGAGGGATGAAAAATAGAAAGCATAAAATGTAGTTAATAAGAAGAAATGGAATTCGGGAATACTTCCAGAAGGAATTTTCAGCGAAGAGTACGAAAAATCGATTCTCGAAAATCCCGAGAACGGAAATGCCAACAACTGAAAGCCGCTTTTTATCACACTGGACACAGGTCTTTCTTTCAGGCTGATGTCAAATAAAACATGCCCAGAGTCAGTAGTGAGAGACGCAGACAGTTAGAGTGTTTGTCTGTCTGTACGCTGGCCAGCAGCGGTCAGAAAAACGGGTTTATCTTGAAAACGAGACTTCAAGATTTTGTCAACAGCAAAGATGATCAGCGTCCAATTTTAAACAAAATGATACTAATTTTAAAAATTTTCCAAAAAAATGTTTTAAAAGCTTTTTTGTGTGCTGAAAAAAATCTTCCTTGTTGCCAACCCTAGTTATGTCTACGTATGCTAGTTGGTCAAAAAATTGAATCTGAAAGAAACTAGGCCCAACCCTACCTGCAAAAATAGACACAACCAAATAAACCTGTGCAGCCGTTGTTACCCCAAGCTCTCTCAAAAGACCCAAAGGATACCCAGCCATAGCTGGAAACAAGACGAATGGAGTGGTAAATAAGCTAATGGTTAAGTCTAATGACGAACTCCAGAAGTGTAAATTGAACATGCTCCGTTTAACTGACTTCATAGCTTCCGGAGTTTTCCAAAGAATTATATAGACCCCAAATATATGAACGGGTATTTCGATACAAGTCATTACATGAAGACTTGTAGAGAGAAATTTTGGCGTGTACAAGTAGGTGAAATTCATATTGGTGGTCAGTAGGAAATGAAAAATTCTTGTCAAGACGTTGAGTGTTGGCGAGACAAACGCTATTAGCGGAATCGGTAATAATCGGTGTGACTTTATTACACCTTTTCGATTCTTGGTGCTCAATTATGCTTGTTTTTCTAGTGTTTAATTTCAGGAGTTGGAGCCTAAAAAGATTATCTCTCTGCTGATGCGAGAGTTGTTTTTATTTTTGGTTGCTTTGGTCACTGGAAGATCCTATGAAAACAAAACGATTCTCAGATTTATTCAATCTAAAAAAGCTTCAAGCAGTTATTGCCACATGGGACACAAAACTTGGACGTCTTGATTCCAACACAGATGTTGTCCTAAAATGAGCTTTAAACCGGAATAATGAAATACAAGCGTCTCGATACGGCTTATGAATCAGTAACATGATTATGGTAGATGCCAATCCATGCAAGGAAATCAGAATAAAGGAAATGTTGGTAGCTGCTTGATTGAATATTTGGAAGCCAATGGAGCAGGCAACGTATATCAACGGGGCAATGAGAATGATAAGCGGGGTGAACATCTGAAATCTTGTTTCCACAAAAATTTGTCACTTCAAAAAATTTCAGTTTAGGCCGGTTTTTTGTATGAACAACACTATTTTTTCCATTGTAACTGTGTAATTTGAAGTTATTCAGCTAGTTTCAGATTTTTCCAGGCTTAGCACCAAAAAAATAGACAAAAAATATGCAAAAAATGATATAAACTGAAATTTTCAAAAAATTATGAAAAGTGTTCAAAGTTCGAAATTTTAATAAAAACGGTCACAAAACTAGAAAAAATTGGTAAACCTTAACTTAGTCCACATTTTTACCTATGCCCCCCCCCCTTTTTGACTTGACTAGGTAAATGCTAGACCATTTCTAGTTCATAAACTTTGGTGGTCTAGAAAACACATAGAGTGAGTCTTACTCATATGACGCCAATAAATATTTTTTCAAAAAACCACTACAACACTTCGAAAGAACGAACTGCACCCAGTTTAGTGGTTCGAAAGTTCGACATTCACCTAATGTGTTTCAAAGGCCATTCACCGTGGTGGCCTAGAAAAATCGACTTGAAAAAATTAGGCCGCCATGCAAAACTGCCTAGAACACACAATGTACCCTTTATGACGTACCCTATCTGTGTAGTTACTGAGCACAACATAACAGCTAAATAATAAGTTTACCTGCGCATGTATCGCATTTAGAAACTTGTGCTGCATTTTCAGGGTGGTCTTGGATAATGTCATTTTCTTGGCAAGGCACTTCATATATATTTTTAGGGAGAAAATAAAGAATAGAATTTCTATGACTATCGTAATAGTGATAATGAAAACCGAAGCAAAGGAATAAGTTGCGTCAATGGTTAACACGAAAACTGGACCATATGTTATCCATGAAGGAAGAGGTTCTGATGAATGTTCCGAGAGTTTCTGAACTTTTATTTTTGAAAAAATTTCAAAGAGAAGCAACACCTTTAATACGAATTTTCGAGCCATATCCTGATTTGGAATATCCAGGTACGGTGGCATAAAAAAGAGAAGACATGCGAGGTAGTTGATTACAAAAAATGGGATCCGTATATACTTCCAAATTGTGTTGTCAGCCATAAGAACGTAAAAACGGTTCTCGAAAATTCCAAGTACAGCGATGCCAACAACTGAAAATTTACAGTTTCTTTTTCTTTTGTGCAGCCACGCTGTTGTAAACTCCGCAGAGGACCAAAAAAAACACACCAGCAAATAAAGAAACCGCGAAGTAGATTTGAGTGGGTACATCTACCCCGAACCATTCTAATAGTCCCATCGGATATCCAGAAATGGTTGGAAACAGTATTAATGGAGTGATCAGCAAGCTTATGGTCAAATCTAACGACATACACCAAAAATGCATGTTGAACATGCTCCATTTCACGGATTTCATTGCTTCTGGCGTTTTCGCCAAAATCATATAGACCCCAAGAATATGGACCGGTATTTCGAAGCAAGTCATTATATGAAGAGTAGTTGATAGAAACTGTGGCGTGTGAAAATAGGAGTAGCTCATTTCGCAAAGTGGAGAATGGCTAGAATGGCTACCACAGAAATATGAGGTTTGATTGAATGTGTGATGTCGACAAACTCGATCTAATTTGGTGACACTTTTATGGCGTTTGGTGTTCAATCACCTAGTTTTATTACTGGTCGATTGGTTTCGTTGAGCTGTGAGGTTTTTTCTGGGAAAGCGAAAATTTGGACTATTATTTTCTCAGATTTCCAGTCATCTTTGGAATAGGATTTCGAACCGTCTGATGAATGAAAGCTCGGCTGTCAAGTTTCAGGTTACTTCGAAACTTTTGTAAGGTGTGAAACACTTTTAAAAACAGATATACAGTGGCGAGAAGTGGTGAGGAGAATTTTTTTTCGAAGATTCACGACTTTGTTCAAAATGGCTCAATTGACTTGAAAATTTGCATAAGAATAGCTGTAAAATCCAAAAACATAAAAATCGGTTTTTTGAAAATTTTTCATTTTTAGAATTTTCAGAGCAGCTTCAGATGTAACAGGGGTCAGAGAATCCAAAAAAAACTTTTTTACAGAAATTTTACTGGCTTTGATTTTAGATGTCAAATGATTTTCAGTACCCAAATATGCACGAAAAAAATTTTTAGGAATTTTCGGAGTCGGGCTCTCGAGTTATGATGCTCAGAGCACAAAAGGTATGTGTCGGCATTTTTGCCATAACTCAGCAGAAAATGTATTTTTGATCCTCAAAATTTCACAAATGATGTGTTTTGAGTTGGTTATCAGTTTTAGGTTAAAAAATTTTTAATTGTGGAAATTTTTTTTCACCTCTAGGGATTTTTTTGGATTCTTGGACCACTTTCACATCTGAAACTGCTCTGAAAATTCTAAAAATGAAAAGTTTTCAAAAAACCGATTTTTATGTTTTTCATTGAAAACTTTGAAATCACAAAATTCTTTGGAAAGTTCTATTTTTTCAGCGGATTTGCCGATTTCTGACAGGAATTCTTTTTTGGCCAGTTTCATACACAAGGGAACCTCACCACCTTGTAAACCGATTTTGATGAAAATTTCAGGATTCAGTATCAAAATTCTTTTTTTTCAGTGCAAAAACGTTGATTTTCAAAAACCATTTTCTCAACTTCTAGGACGTTTCAGAGCATGAAATGTGTTGTGCTATATTAGAATTTAATGAAGTTAAATACATATTTAAGACGTTTTCTCGGAAAATGAAAACGGAAAACGGAAAATGATTTTTGGAAAAATTTGAAAAAAAAATTCCGTTAATTGGCTAGGAGATTTTCTCGTCTTTTGGAGAAATTTTTTCGAAAAATGAGTGATAATGGTAAACCGGAAAGTTGATATATTTCTTGATTGCATACTTTTCAGTATTTAGTCATGGTCCGTATAGACCACGATGAAACTTCCAAACTTTCCAGGGATTGAGAACTTAAATTTTTTTTGAAAAACTAGAAACTTAAAAAATTCCGTAAGTACAAAGTTTTCAATCTAGGTTGTTTTATACCCTCTGAAATTTTTAAAGTGGACGGAGAAGGTCGAAATAAGACATTTTTAGACTCCCACTTTCATCACTTTATTTTATATATTTCAGAAACCTTTCTGTTAATTTTCGGTCTAAAAAATTCGTGACTGAACCTCGGTTCTATGGCACAAATGTTTGTCATATATTTTTTTGGATTTCTGACCAACGCCAATTTTTCTTCTTCCTTCTCAAAATTACACCCCGTCATAATTGGTTTTTTATCGAATTCCCAGAACCAAAATTTTCCACTTTACTCTCTTTAGCCTTTTGCTCTCAACAGAGACTCAAATGGAAACCTCTTATTTTGCGACTCCAAAATTTTTATCAATTTCTCTTCATGTTATTTCGATTCTAGCACTTCCTCTTCAAATGTTCGGTGCCTACTGTATCATTTGGAGAAGTCCACATTCCATGAGATCCGTAAAATGGGCAATGCTAAATTTACATATTTGGAGTGTTTTATTAGATTGGGCAATTACTATCCTCATCATTCCATTTGTTTTATTCCCAGCAGTTGCCGGATTTGCTTTAGGATTCTTGAATTTGCTAGGTGTTCCTTTAAAATTTCAGTGTTATATTACTGCCGTGCTACTTTGTAGTGAGTGTTTGTCATACTACGAAAAAAACGAATGCAATTTCTTTTGCAGCTGTGAATGTCGCCGTTTTTACCTTGTTCGAAAATCGGTATCAACTGATGTTTGGAAGAGAAACTTTTTGGGAAGAAATAAGAAAACAGCTACTTGCTGTGAACTATGTCTTAGCGTTTTTGTATCCTCTGCCTTCATTTTTTCGCTACCCAGAGCAGACATCCGCGTTGGCAATGGTTCTAGAGGTACATGAAAACTTCAAGTTTCAAAATTTTGATTTTATTTTCTCGAAAGGAGTAGGGACATGAAAAATATGTATTTCTCTGAAATTTGCTCATACCGTATACCCTGTATTTGAAGGTCCGGAGTCCGAACCTTCAACTCTTCGTGGGCATTCCAAAGTGGCAATTTAATTAAGGGTCTCTTCAATTAAAGGGAAAACTTCTATTTTTTTTCTGAGCTTGCGGAGGAGGGCACTTTTATTAGAGGGACATCGTTTATCGGTTAAATTTTGCCAATTACTCTCAATTTCACTTTGAAAAAATAACATCGAATGATAAAAAAAAACTGACACAACAAAATTTTCTTCTCCGGACCGCAACATTTCGCTTCTACGATAGTTTAGTAGAAATGCACGATGAATAGAGGGAGCACTTCTTTTTTCGTGGAATCTCTGTGGGGGCACTTCAATAAGAGGGGCCCTGCAGTACCAGGGGCATTTCTAGTACCGCTTCTACGTTATAAACCCCTCGAGAAGTTGAACTTCTGAACTCCTGAAATGGTCCCCACGGTGTTTTTTTAGCACATAAAGTAAATGCTCTCTAACGCTAATACCGTAGTTAAGCGCGCTGAGTATCGATCAGACTTGTTCAAATCAGGAAATCGGGATTCCCGTTTTCCCGGTTTTCCCGAAATTAAAAAAAAATTACGGTTTTCCCGAAAATTATTTTTTCCCGACAGGAATTTTCCCGAATTTTTTTCCCGTGAATTTTTCCCGACAGGAATGTTCTCGAAAATTTTTTTCGGGAATTTTTCCCGACGGGAAATTTCCCGAAGAAAAATTTCACGGAATTCCGGGAAAAACGGGAAATTTTCCAGTCATTGTTTTTTAGATTTCTCAAATGTTCAACTATTTTTTGCTTTTTTAATAGTTTATCAAGCAAATGCATTGGACGATTTTGAGAAACTTGAAGAAATCGACAAATCACAACATAAATTGAGAAAAACAGGTAAAAATTCACTGAAAAACCAACTTACCGATTTTTCCCGATTTTCCCGGAAATTCCCGAATAATAATGTCGGGAAAAAATTCGAACAAAATTTCCCGAAAATATTTTTCGGGAAATTTTTTCGAGAACCCGATTTCTTGAAAATTAATTTCGGGAAAATTTTCGGGAACAGGAATTCCCGAAAAAATTTCCCCGAACAAGTATGTCATCAAAAAAAAAAAACTGAAACTGAACTTCTAAGTCGCTACACAGGTGTGCCTGCATTCCATCAAAAAAATGCGCGAGTTCAAAATTATTTTTTTTAACGTTCCGGAAAAAACACCGTGGTTCCCCCATCCTTTAAAAACCCTCATTTCAGAGTCTTCCTCCTCTTCCTAATACCCTTTTATACCATCAAATCACTGTGTACGCCATTGAACTTCGCTTCTTTGTAATCTCCATTATATTCATTATTGGAATGCTGGGTATGGAAATTTTGACACTGGCTACTGTAACTTGTATAAAAATGAGGTCTGATGTTCATAAAACTCGAGTTTCTCATAGAACTTTAAACATGCAACACGCGATTTTGAAAGCATTCGCAATTCGGGTAACGAATCCGTAGCTTGACCAAATAAAGAAGAATATTGCAAACCATTGCAATTTCAACAAATTTTCTAATTCCGATCACTTATATTTGTTCAACAATCATTTTCAATTATCACAACCAGTCAGCTAATAATTTTTGTTTTTTGATCTTTGCTCTACATGGACCAATATCGACTAGTATCATGTTATGGACGCACAAACCTTATCGAGATGTTTGCTCAAAATTGTTGAATTTTAAAAAGTCTGAAGTTATGAGAGGAACTCAGTTGAATGCTCAATTGAACTCCTTCAGACATTCGTGATTGTTTGAACAATGAAAATTTTCTTCATTCTGAAAATCTCAAATTATCAGACTTGAAATGAAAAACAACATTTCAGGAATAATTCCTCAGAAAATCTCTTAATCAACATTGACCAAGTTTATCTCAATTCATGTGAGAGATATCAAAAAGTCGTCCACTGACATAATGTAGCTCATATTATAAGGAATATTCTATCAGTTAATTATAATTTGATACCTTTTACCAGAGCCGCGAATATTTGGATCAAAGTTGACAGAGATCTTATTTCTCCTGATTCTGAAATTCATTTCCACTAATTTGCCAAATTCATGATAACCCTGATTTCATTATTATGAAAACAGCAATCTACCATTATTATTTTTTTCTGAAAACAAAAAACATTTTGTCCTCATTATCATTATAAATCATATACCTTTCGTCTCGCTATCATGACGCTGTGAAATTTTTAAAAAAGTTTGTTATCATTACTCATATTTCGTTCTATCTACATCATGCATATCTTATTAGTCATCAAAAAAAGCTAAAAGTTTTATCTTTGTATTTTTGAGACAGCTAAAAATGAACGATTCCTATTTTTCTACTCCCGAATTCATTTCAATTTCCCTTCACATAATTTCAATTCTCGCATTACCTCTACAAATTTTTGGCGCCTACTGTATCGTATGGCGCAGTCCGAGCACTATGAAATCCGTGAAATGGAGCATGTTGAATTTACATTTTTGGAGTGTGATGCTGGATTGGTCCATCACAATTCTTATCGTTCCTGTTGTACTATTTCCAGCAGCGGCTGGTTTTGGGCTTGGATTACTTGATAAGCTTGGAATATCTCTACAGTACCAGTGCACACTTTTTACTGCAATCATTTGGAGTGAGTTTTTAAGAAGTTACGTATGCATTTCAAAAATTTTCTTACAAAACTAGCCAGAAATCAATTGTCTAGCTGAATTATGAAACGAGTTATGCGCCTTCGAAGTTGGCGAGAGCACAGAGAAACGAGAGTGTCTGCGTCTCTCACCTCTAAACTTCAAATGACGATATCTCGGTCCCGAATAAATGACAATATTTTTAGTTCGGTTTAGGAAGGAAAACACGGAAAAAACTGGAAAAAAATGGAAAGTTGCAGGTGTGTTAGTTGCAACTGTTACCGTATTCGAAAGTCGATATAATCTAATGTATGGACGGGAAACTTTATGGGCCAAGTTTCGATATCCACTGCTGGCTGCCAATTGGATTTCTGCGTTTTTCTATCCATTACCAGCGTTTTTGGCATTTCCAGAGCAAGCTGAAGCATTGAAAGTTGTAATGGAAGTTAGTTTGGAAACTAAGACTCATAAATAACCAAAAGCTAATTGCAGACCCTTCCTCCACTGCCCGACTACATTCTTGAACATCATATTGTTGTCTATATGACAGATCTTCATTTTTTTCATAATCCCGATGACCATCATGACAGTAATCCTGGTAACTGAAATGACTGTAATTGGGAAGCTAATGCATTCAGCAACGCATTCAGTTGCTAAGAAATGTAAAATGTCCCAAAAGACGATAGCATTACAAAAGGCGATTCTTAGAGGACTGCTCATTCAGGTACCTTTTTTTTAAATTTGAAATTTTCGAAAATACGAAGTTCGTTTTTGACGAGAAAAATTGAAAATTTTTTTTGATCCGCTTGAAATTTCCCACAAAACCAGCTAAAAATCAACTTTCTAGCTGAATTTTGAACAAATTCAAATTGCGAGAGCGCAGAGAAACGAGAGTGTCTGCTTCTCTAAAGAATTTTAGAATTTTAGAATTTTAGAATTTTAGAATTTTAGAATTTTAGAATTTTAGAATTTTAGAATTTTAGAATTTTAGAATTTCAGAATTTTAGAATTTTAGAATTTTAGAATTTTAGAATTTTAGAATTTTAGAATTTTAGAATTTTAGAATTTTAGAATTTTAGAATTTTAGAATTTTAGAATTTTAGAATTTTAGAATTTTAGAATTTTAGAATTTTAGAATTTTAGAATTTTAGAATTTTAGAATTTTAGAATTTTAGAATTTTAGAATTTTAGAATTTTAGAATTTTAGAAACCCCAAACTTTGAAGCGCTGTATTTCAGCTCTAAATGATCCGTTTTGTATGGTTTTTGGAGCGTTTTGAAGAGGAAAACTAGAAGAATCTTATCTTTAAAGTTTCGAAAAAACATCTTTCCCCTAAAATACTGGGCCCACAAGCTGAACTGCTAGAGTAGTTTACATGAACTAAAATTCGAGAAATATACTTTCAAAATTTTTTTTGAATTGTAAAACTCTTTTTTTTCAGACTCTTACAGTAGCCGCAAACTTCATGATCCCAATTGTCTACATTTCATCATCTATTGCTTTTAATTATCATAACCAAACCGCGAACAACTTTTGTTTTTTGATCTTCTCTCTACACGGCCTAACTTCCACTAGTATTATGTTATGGAGCCACAAACCCTATCGAGCAGTCTGTCTGAAAATTTTGAAAATCGAGAGACCATCTGAGAAAAATTGTTCAAGATATATTAATGTTGTAAACTTTCATTCTAATGCGACTAGTTTTCATATACTGTCATAGACGTTTTTTTTCGATTTTAATATTTAATGAAGTTGAAATGTTTTTTCAGCTGGATATTTTTATGAGCTCATTCATCTTAAATAAAGTATGTTGGCTCCAAAGTCAGCAGTTGATTGGATTCAATCTATGTAATTAAAAGTTGAACGCGTTTCTTCAAAATTGGCTATCTTTGTGTTTTCTGATATTGGTTGCCACCGGTTGATTGAATTTGATTACCTAAAATGCTTTTCCAGAGACATCAAATTCATAGAGATCAAATTTGCCTGTGAATGAATCTAAAATCCTGTTATTCATCGAAAACTTGCAAAAATTAGTATTGTTCTTCCTTTTTTCTTGCTAATGATGATTCTTGGCTCGTCTAATTGCTGAATAACACATACCTCGTTTTTGTTTTCTTTTTTCTTTTCTTTTTTTTGTTTTCTTGTGTTCTCTGTCAGACAAGATTTCAAAAAACTTCCTTTTGCTCTACAACGTTACTCAGTGTCAGTTCTCAAAACATTTTCAGCAAATCTCATCAATGGACACTAGCCTCTCCTACCTTCACACTCCCCAATTCCTGAACACGGTTCTTGATACCATGACCTTTTTCGAGATACCCATACACATTCTCGGGGTGTACTGTATACTGTGTAAAACTCCGGACTCTATGAAGTCGGTAAAATGGAGCATGTTCAATTTGCTCATCTGGAGTCTTATCCTGGATCTCGGAATCAGTGTACTGACGTCTCCGTTCCTGCTGTTCCCAACGTTCTCTGGATATCCTCTAGGGATTCTAAAGTATATCGGAGTGTCTACAGAAATTCAGACTTACAGTATTGTGATGGTTTATGCAAGTGAGTTGGACTTTCGTTTTCTGAACCTTAATTCAAATTTCAGTGGTCGGCACAGCAATCCTAACTTTGTTTGAAAACCGCTACTTCCTAATGTTCGCTCGGTATCATGCCTGGAAAAACTATCGGATCAAGTTCCTTATCATCAACTACTTCCTGGCTTCTTGTTTCTTCATTCCCGCGTATTTTGCGATTCCAGAACAAACTGAAGCGTTGCGAAAAGTGTTCGAGGTTTGATCCAATTCTTTTCAGTCCAATTTAAGAAGTTTTCAGGTTCTCCCCCAATTACCTGATGTCATTTTAAACGCACCGTTGTTCGTGCTAGCCAACGATTTGGGTTTAGTCTTACTTTCCGTGCTTTTCATGACGATTTTGTTAGTTTCTGAAATTGGAATTCTCGCATTACTACTGTATTTGAATATGAAGAAAAGAACGAGACGGATGGCTACGTCACAGTATACGCTGAATTTGCAGAAGAAGTTTCTACGGTCAATATATTTGCAGGTGAGGAAAAAAGGCAGGTGTTAATTTTTATAGGGACATTTATTGACCGCTGGTCATTAGTCTATCAGTTGCCAATTAAGAACGATAATGACTTTTGGCTGGCTTAGGGGTTAGGGTCCCGAAAACTTCTAGGGGTCTCTGAATAAATAAGGGGCCCAAAGGAACTCATATTGGACCCAAACTCTTCAGAGACCCGAATAAACCCATTAGGGACCTGAAAGAACTCATAACAGATACAAAGGAACCTGTGAAGGGCCCAATGCAACCCATAAGAGACCAAAAAATCCATAAGGGACCTAAAGGAACAAGCGCGCGGCTTTTTGGTTGTGGTTTTTCTGGAATATATTAGATTTTGCGGCCTAGCGTCCCCTGAAGTTTTTAGGCGGTTGAGTTTATTTCTGAGCTGCTGGCTGAACTGAACGGACGGTTCGGTCCGCTGTAGCCTACCCAAGACACAAGGTGCGGTCGGACGCGACCTGATTGTCCACAGTTTTGATGACAGTGGGTCCCTTATTCTTTATCGTCCCATTTTCTGGTTCTCATTCTGTTTCACAGGGTCACTTAACTTCTTGGAGGTCCCTTGGGGGTTTTTTTGGATCTATCATTTTTTGTATGGACCTTCCAAACTATGAATCCACTATTTCCAGGTCTCCACACCATTTCTCATCCTCATCACTCCTCTTTCCTACACATTCTTCTCTGTGGTCTTTGGATTTTACAACCAAGCCGCCAACAACATGTGCACAATCTTCTTCGCACTACATGGACTTGTATCCACACTGACGTGTATTCTAATTCACAAAACGTATCGAAAGTCTTGTTTCTCATTGCTCACGTTCAATATTCTTCAAAAAGGGACCACCTCGAGTATTGTGGTCCCTAGTCGATCGAATCGAGGAACTTTTCCATCTGCCTCTGGAAATGCGAACTCGAAAGTGAAGACCCTGATTTATAGCGTTAACCAAAAAATTCGAGTTTGAGAACTATTGATTATTTTGAATAAACTTTTTACAAAAAAATTGTGAAAAAGTATTGATAAGAAGTGTTTTTCCCTCAAAGAAATGTTGCATCGCCTGTCATTAGGCTGTGTTTTGAAAATGATCATCTCCAAATCACAAAAAAAGCTCAATATCATAGTGAGTGGGCACAGACTCTGTTCTAGAGAAACAACCATTTCCAATTTCCGTGCCTGACTATACGATTGTTTTTCCTTCTTTCTGGGGCACGTGACTTCCGTTATGGCTCTGTATAAAAAACCTCATCGTACTGTAATTTATCATTCTCCCAGCCATGTTAGACGACTGGATCTATTTCCTTCTCCCTCGTATTTTTTGTGGCTTGGCCTTCACTGTGAACCCCATTTTTGTCTACCTGATTTTCACCGAGAATCAAGCAAAGTTTGGGAACTACCGGTTCCTTCTACTCTTCTTTGCAATGTTCAATTTGATATATTCGGTGGTTAATTTGATTGTTCCCTTAGTAAGTTTCCTCACTGGATGTCCCTTTTTCTAGAATCTCTAGTCATGTTCAGGACATTCACAGCTACCGTTACTGTTTCTTCCTGATCACCAGAAATGGATGGTTCGTGCAATACTCTGAGTTCAATTTCCACATGATGACTGCCCGTTGCTCCTTGGTCGCCGCCAGCTACGCCATTCTTCTCATTCACTTCATTTACCGATACCTAGCCATCCATAATTCCAGTCTCACCCGCGAAAAATTTTATTGGTACATGCTATTCTCCATCTTTGTTTGTGCTTTGTACTTTGGAGTTTGGTATGCCGTAAGTGCTTGAAGTTCTTTGGAGTAACGCTAAAGTTGCCACTCCAGATTTGCTACTTTCCGGGACAGGCCAATATGGAGATCCGAGAATACATTCGTGAGGAATTTCGAAAGATCTACGGAAACGACTCGATGGACTTTAACATTCTGGGTGCTCTTTTCAATGAGGGGTCCGATGAAACTAGATTCAGATCTTGGTTGGCTGTCTTGCTTTGGACTGGCGTCTCTACCGTATCCATCATAATGTTTTTCGCATTGGCGATTACTGTAAGTTACATTATGATAAGTATTTTTAACACAAGATGTTTACAGATAGTGACACATTTGAAGAATATGACGAGAAGCGCAAGCAAAAAGACTTCCAAGTTCCAAGTCGACCTGCTTCGAGCTCTTGTTGTCCAAACGATTATCCCCATTGTTATTAGCTTCTCTCCGTGTCTTCTCTGCTGGTATAGTCCGATGTTTGGAATTCAGTTGCCTAGGTACTTAATCCTTGTGGATTTTCGTTAGAAATTTGGTTTTAGAAGTTTCAACTACTTCGAAGCCAGCGCTTTGGGAGTCTTTGCTTTTGTGGATCCGGTGGCTATCACTTTGAGCCTTCCGATTTTTCGTAAACGAATCTTCTTAGTCTGTCGTCATCCAACTACGATGTTTACGGCGGGAAAGTCCAGTACGGACCATGCCACTCATTGAAAAAATGTTGAATTTTGATACCTGTTTGGAGAATAAACGTTTCTAAAAGCTAACTTATTTTGAAAGCGATTTTTAAGGCGGACTTCAACTCCTCTTTTAAGATGTATCCTCGGCATAGAGCGGCGCGGAACTCTTATCACTGTAACAACATGTCCTAAAAGACTTCTTAGGCGAATTTAATGAGAAACATCAAAAGAAAAATTAATTTCATAATCTAAGTGTGTCTGCATGTAGCAGTCATGGGATTCCGTTATTTTCTCTCTATAAAAACACCGCGCACAAAAACAAATCCATCTATTGAACTACATTCTTCATGGAACTCTATTGGATCTACCAGCACCTGCCAATCGCGTTCTGCATCTTCGCATTCATTGTCAACCCCATAGTCATATTTCTGATATTCTCTGAAAGATCTTCAGTGCTTGGCAATTATCGATACCTTTTGTTATACTTTGCGGTTTTCAATTTGATCTATTCGGTGGCAAATGTATTGGTTCCACTGGTACGTAGGCTTGAGCTGCCATTTTACCAAAAACAATTTCAGGATATTCACAACTATCGCTACTGTTTTCTTGTCATCATTAGCCACGGCTGGTTCATGGAACTTTTGAAGTTTCACACAAATCTACTTACCGCACGCTGCTCATTGATCGCATGCAGTTATTCCATTCTCTTGAGTCATTTTAGTTATCGATTTTTAGTGGTCTGCAATTCAGAATTTACGAGAGACCGGTTTCCTATATTCCTTTCTGGAACCTTTCTTCTGTCAATTGTATACTTCGGTATCTGGCATTTGGTGAGAAAATTGCTGGCCCCACTATTTTTGAAGTTCTAAATTTATAGCTCTGCATAACTCTCGGGAGTCCTGAAATCGAGATTCGTCAATATATTCTGGATGAGTTCCGAGAAATATTTGATAAAAATTCCATGGAAGTGAACATGTTAGGAACATTGTATTCGGTTAGATTCCTAATTTTTTTCTTCCATGATTGAAAAAATTATCTCTATTGAGGAGGGCTCCGAGTCAACCGTACTTCGGTCTTGGATAGTTGTCACTTTAGGGACTGCAATATAATTCGGATCAGTTTTGATCTATTTTTTAATCACTCATTTGGTGATAAACTTTTTCATTTTTCTAGGAAACACTGAAGTTTTCAGATAATAAAAAAACTGAACAAAATCTCAACACAGGTCAGTAAGAAATCCGCAAAATTTCAATTTGAACTTCTTCGAGCGTTAATCATCCAAGCATTTATTCCAATTGTTGTTAGCTTTTCTCCGTGTCTACTTTGCTGGTTTAGTCCAATGTTTGGATACCAATTACCAAGGTTTGACTCTAGTTACCGAGGTTTTGTGTCCCAATTTGTATTCAACCGTTTCCAGAGAATTCAAACTATATTGAGTTTATTGCCATCGGATTGTTCTCTTTTGTAGACCCAATAGCTATTATCTTGTGTGTTCCTGTTTTTCGAAAATGTTTTTATTGTAAAACTTCTGTAACTAATCATGATCAATGAATATTGAAATTCTGTATTTCTGCTTGTATTTGGTTGATGCATAAGATTCTTTCGATTTTGGCAAAATTTTAAATCAAGTTTTCTTGTTGTAATACATATACATATGAAACAAAATTTCGAGAGAACGAATACATGGTCCAGTATCAGAGGTGGGTATTGAATGATCTCCATTTATTCTTTTTTTATCGACCCTTCGAGACTGTGGTCAGCCGTGCAGCTCACAGTCGGATGCGGCGCAAAACACTTTATACTTCCCCAATAATTCAATTCCTCAAGAGGGCTTTATAGACAAAGTTAATGGCGAACATAGAAAAACATTCACATCATAATCACAATGTGACTACCTGTAGCCGTCTTGGGATTTTATCATCATCTATCCATGAAAACACCGGGAACAAAAACAGTTCTTTGTATTTAACTACGTTTGTTCTGCATGGAAATATACTGGATCTACCAGCAACTGCCAATCGCGTTCTGCATCTTCGCATTCATTGTCAACCCTATATTCATATTTCTGATATTCTCTGAAAGATCTTCAGTGCTTGGCAATTATCGATACCTTTTGTTATACTTTGCGGTTTTCAATTTGATCTATTCGGTGGCAAATGTATTGGTTCCACTGGTACGTAGGCTTGAGCTGCCATTTTACCAAAAGCAATTTCAGGATATTCATAACTATCGCTACTGTTTTCTTGTCATCATTAGCCACGGCTGGTTCATGGAACTTTCGAAGTTTCACACAAATCTACTTGCCGCACGCTGCTCATTGATCGCATGCAGTTATTCCATTCTCTTGAGTCATTTTAGTTATCGATTTTTAGTGGTCTGCAATTCAGAATTTACGAGAGACCGGTTTCCTATATTCCTTTCTGGAACCTTTCTTCTGTCAATTGTATACTTCGGTATCTGGCATTTGGTGAGAAAATTGCTGGCCCCACTATTTTTGAAGTTCTAAATTTATAGCTCTGCATAACTCTCGGGAGTCCAGAAATCGAGATTCGTCAATATATTCTGTATGAGTTTCGAGAAATTTTTAATAAAAACTCCATGGAAGTGAACATGATAGGAACATTGTATTCGGTTAGATTCTTTTAACATTTTTTGTCTAATTAAAAAACAAGGAAACTCTATCCAGGAGGGCTCCGAGTCAACCCTACTTCGGTCTTGGATAGCGGTAGCATTTTGGACTGCAATATCTTTCGGTTCAATTTTGATGTATTTCTTAATTACTCATTTGGTGAGCCATTTTTCCACTTTTCTAGTGAAATCTAACGTTTTTAGATAACTAAAAAACTGAACGAAATTTCAACACAATCTAGTAAAAAATCCGCAAAATTCCAATTCGAACTTCTTCGAGCGTTAGTTATCCAAACATTTATTCCAATTGTTGTTAGCTTTTTTCCATGTCTACTTTGCTGGTTTACTCCAATGTTTGGAATCAAGTTAGCGAGGTTTCTGGATTCTTTTATCGTTCCAATTTTGTATCCATCTTTTTCAGAGAATTCAACTATGTGGAGGTTATTGCTCTCGGGTTGTTCGCCTTCGTGGACCCGATCGCTATTATCTTGTGTGTTCCTGTTTTTCGAAAACGTTTTTATCGTAAATTTTCTGTTACTGATACTGTTTATAAGCAGTAAAAACTATGAATATCTGTGGACCAAACACAGTGTGTGTTTTTCGACAGACATTTTTAGAAAAGTTTGCAAAACGGTTAATTAAAAAAAATTTTCAAACGTTCGGTCCACTAAACTGGGCACATTGCGTTATTTCGGAGTGTCGTAGTATTTTTCGGGGGATTTTTTGAGTAATATTCACCAGATATGTTGCCTTGCCCATTCGGTTGCCTAGAATACTCAAAGGTTAGGCCACCATGTTAAAATGACATAGAAAACTTGCCTGGCGAATGTTAGGTCACTATGTTAAAATGAACTAGAAATCACAATAGGTCCGTTTTAGGTCATTTCTTGGCCACAAGAGTTGGTGACCTCGAATAATCAACTTGCGAAAGTTAGGCCATCATGTTACTACAACCTAGAAAACACACAAAGTGAATATCAGGTCATATCTAGTTCATAAAAGTTGGTGGCCTAGAAAAATCAACTTGATAAAGTTAGGTCACTCTATTCCACACATGAAACCGGAGTTTGTGATTAACGACATCCATCAGAAAAAAAAATTTAGAAATTAGGTTGACTCCATTTCCCCCTTCTCACGTCTCTCAGCATATGATTAGCTAAATGATATGTTTTTGCCCGTCGTCCAGACTTCCGCGTATTTCGAAATTGAACCTATTTTTTATATGTATTTTATGTATTGTTTTTACCATTGAATTCATAAAAACAATTTTATGAAAACAATTATCGGTTATACACATACACTCTCCAGGGAATGGTCCCAAAACTAACATTTTCCTTGATGAAGATAACACTATAATCCCTTGTCTCTAAAAAATTGGTACTAAAAATGACGAAAAACTGGATTTTTCAGTACCTACCGCTAACTTTCTGTGTTCTTGCTTTCATTGTGAATCCAATTTTTGTCTTTTTGCTATTCACTAAAATATCGAAAAATTTCGGAAATTATCGATATCTTTTGTTGTATTTTGCATCGTTCAATTTGATCTATTCTGCGACGAATGTATTGGTGCCTTTGGTAAGTAATAATTTAATGGTACCATACGTGCCGAAGAGCCGACTCCGGGCCGGCACGGGCCGTGCTCAACCGGAGTCGGCTCTTTGGCAAGTACGAATGGTACTTTTTGAACACTTTTTTAGGACACCCATACCTATCGCTACTGCTTTTTCCTGCTGCTAGGCGAGGGATGGTTCGAGGAGTTGTCGGAACTCAACACAAACATTCTTATCGCTCGCTGCTCATTAATTGTGAGCAGCTACGCGGTTCTATTAAGCCACTTCATATATCGATATCTAGTTATCCACAACTCCAGCTTTACCAAAAACCGTTTTTCATTATTTATGCTCGGCGCGTTTTTACTTTTGGTTCTCACTTTTGCGGCTTGGTTTGCGGCTAGCATAATTTTCGGAGTGGCAAACTTGGAAATTCGAGAGTACGTTGGCGAAGACTTTTTTGAAGTCTTTGGCAAAAACTCAAATGAAGTCAATATGGTAGCAGCAATGTATTCCGTTAGTTCATGAGCATTCCATATCTTTCAGAGATATATAATTTTAGGAAGGCTCTACAGAAACCACCCACCGCTCATGGAAAGCGGTTGGATGTTGGTCCTTGATATCCGGGGCCCCTGTCGTTGCGTTTTTTGTTTTTGGACGCTTGGTAAGGATAGTCCTCGACTATGTGAAATGATGAAAAAATACAGATAATTAAAAAACTCAAAGAATCGTCTTCCACGATGAGTAGTCGTACATCGAAAATTCATTTTGAACTTCTTCGAGCTCTAATCGTTCAAACGATCATTCCTATTTTTATCAGTTTCTCACCATCCATTGTTTGCTGGTTTCTGCCAATGATTGGGATCCAGATGTCACGGTAAAATCGTATTATGGCCTAACTTTTGATAGGGCAATTTTCTAGGTCATCGTAGTTGGTCGTCCAGAAGTGACCTAACATGCAATTGAAGTGTTTTTGTGGCCACCAGGGTGATTGGCCTAGAAAACACATCAGTTTCATTCTACGCCATCTCGAGGCCAGCAACTTTGGTGGCCTAGAAACTTCACGTAGAAAAAGTTAGGCCACCATGGTAAATGGCCTAAAAATAACTCACGAGGGAACCTTTTGAGTGGTCCCTCTAATTTGCTCAAACTAACTATACAGGATGAAAGAGAACGTTCGAAAATCTGTAAGATCGTTTTCAAAATCAGCTTAAAAGACCTCGGAAGTACTGAAATTTCAGTTTCAGTACCAAAAAATCCCTTTTTAATTTCAAAAATCGGCAATTTTCAAATTTGATTTTTTTCACGAATGCTAGGCAATCAAGTGAGTGTTATTAGGCCACCATATTAAATGGCGTGGAAAACGCATTAGTTGCATGTTGCGGCCATATCTAGACCATACAACTACGGTGGCCTAGAAAATTTAAAATTAGGCATTCATGATAAATGGTTTAGAAAGTACGTCAGGTAACTGTTATGCCAGTTCTGCACCCTAAAACTACGGTGGCCTAGGAAATTCATCTGCCTAAAATTAGGGCATCACTTCTTCTTTCTTTTCCAGAACCGTCAACTATTTCGAAGTCTCTGTATTCGGGTTGTTTGCGTTTGTGGACCCAGTGGCAATCGCATTATGTATTCCAGCTTTTCGAAAAAGATTGTTTTGTAAAGGGTCCCATGTTGAGCCACCCATTGCCTCGTATTCTGCGCAATGAGGAAACTCGAAAGGTAAACATTCTGTTTTTCAGAAAACAAACTTATGAATAGAGACCAAATTAGGCGGGAACGAGCGTACTCGATGAATAATTCAGATTTCCGATCCTCGAAATGTCCAGACATATCTTGTTATCATGACGCCTCATAACCTGTCTATTACTGACGTTTTCCCAGACACATGTGATCCACCAAACCATATAAAGCCACCTTTTTTCGAGTCTTATTTCATTTTGGCCTCTCAAGCATTCCTTATTTGCTTCCTTATGGATAAGCATTGGGTCTTTCAATACCTCCCGAAAATCTTCTGCGGTTTTGCTTACATCGTTAATCCTGTTTTCATCTACTTGATATTTTCGGGAAAATCTGCGATTCTCGGAAACTACCGCTATCTACTTCTCTATTTTGCTTGCTTCAATTTGTTCTATTCGCTTGCAAATGTTCTGGTACCATTGGTTAGTTGGAAAAAATGTTCAAAACTAGTGGCCTCACTTTCTCGACATGAATTTTTAGGCCACCATTGTCAATAGCCTAAAAACATACCAGTTACATGTTGAGTCATTTCTAGACTTGCAACTACACTGGCCTAAAAAATACAAGTTGCGAACTTTAGATCCCCATGGCTACAGCCAAGAAAACACATCAGGTGAATATCAGGCTATTTCTAGACCATTACAAATGGTGTCCTAAAAAAATCCATCTGGAGAAAGCTATGCCACCAAGGTAAACAGTCCTGTAGAATGTTAAATTTCAGGATATTCACAGCTATCGATACTGTTTCTTCCTGATGCTCAGTGATGGTCGCTTCGTCGAGTTTTCCAATTACCATAGCCATATCCTAATAGCGAGATGCTCACTGATCTTGAGCAGCTACGCGGTACTCATGAGTCATTTCATTTATCGATATCTTGCAATTAATAACTCGAGTTTCACTAAAAAACTATTTCCATTATTCATGATTGGATCGTTTATCATGTTGGCTGCCGTTTTCTCAACTTGGCACTTTTTATGTTGGACTATTGGAAGGGCAAACACTGAAATCCGCGAGTATATCCGAGAAGATTTTAAAAAAGTTTACGGCAAGGATTCTATAAATTTCAATATGTTAGCGGCATTATACCAGGAGGGATCGAATGAGACTGTAACCCAATCTTGGATCGTCACATTCTTCTGGTCGTTGATATGTACTGCTCCAATAATTGGGTTCATGATTTTGGGTCGAATGGTTTGTATTCATAACTGGCTTATTTATTTTTTTACAGTAGTCAATTTCAGATAATAGTGAAGCTGCGAAAAACTACAAGAACACGAATGAGTCAAAAAACTTCACAATTCCAAGTGGAACTCCTCCGAGCCCTTGCGGTTCAAACTATCATCCCAATTTGTATCAGTTTCTTACCAGCTGTACTTTGCTGGTACACACCAATGTTGGGTATTCAGTTGGGTAGGTTTGTTGGGAAAGAAAGCATCATAAATAAATGATGAAATGTTCCAGAACATTCAATTATTTCGAAGTCAGTGCGTTTGGAGTGTTCGCTGTCATAGATCCTGTTGCTATCATTTTATGTATTCCCATTTTCAGAAAACGGATTTTTAGCAAGCATATAATAATTGAGACGAGTGTATCGTCAGTTTCTGGAAAATGATAATTTTTTTAAACATCTTTTTATTTTCTTATTTTCGAATTTTTTATTTTCTTATTTTCGAATAGAATGAATATTTCCGAATCAATTTTCACTCCGTCTTGTTCCAAGTCTCATCCCTCCTATTACAGGGGCCGTCAATTAAATGTCCTAGCTATTTTTCTTTTTAGTAAGTTCAAAAGTATTCGACTACTGCAGGCGGACTCATCTTCTATACAAGCCTTCCTACAAAAACCATCTTCACATCATCAATCATTCTTGCTTTTCGTTGTATACTGATGTCACTACATCTTCCCAGGAGAACGGATGTGTTACAACTGAGAATGCACACCTGGTTCGGCGACCTGATGAACAATCCCGCCCACATTTGCCATTTATGGTCTGGATGGTCCTTAGCCATTCATTCGGAAATTTTCTGGTCCACTTTTTTGTCTCTCTGTTTTCCGCGTTTTCTATAATTTATCTATCTTTCAGAATGGTCAGTTCTTCCATCAGCGTTGTCAAAGTGCTCAAGCACCCGCATCTGATTGGTAAGTCTTTGATCACATTTAGGAATTATTCTCGCTTCTAGGAAAAACCTTACAAGCTCTAAAGCTGGATTTTGAAAATAAAACTCTGAGAATCAAATTTTCAAACAAAACAGTTATAAAACTGAAATTTTCCAGGATCCTTCCCATGTGAGATGTGTGCAAAGGTTTTCAAACACTCCGCTTCAATGCACCGCCACAAGCGTGAGGTTCATAAGGCAGGCACCATCCGGAACAGTGTCTCTGCGTCATCATCCTCCTCCGCATCAGCCGTCTCCTCACGTTCACCAACACCACCTTCTAACTTGGTCGTCAATGGGAAGGAGCATGTTTTCGAGAGACTTGCAGTGAAACAGACTAGCCAGCAGATGCTCAACGACACTGTCGACGTGATTCTCAGTTCTGGAAGATACTCTGATGAGCAGCTTGTTCTTCCCGAGACATGGCAGAACATTGTGAACGAAGCTCGAGAGATTGTTATGAAGAATAAGGTTGATAAAAAGAGTTCGTTCGAAAAATAAATAATTGTTTTACAGAAAACATTCAAAGCTGCCAACCTCAAAAAGTGATCTACAGTCAATCTCCCGAAGTCATCATATCAGTATAGATTGAAAAATCATTTGCGTATCATCTTTTTTCTTTTTTGCCTTGTACCGTATTATCCCAGATCAATAAAATTTGAGTTTCTTTAAAAATATTTTTGTCTTCTTGTTATTATATCACCTCTTTATCAGCAGCACACATTACGAAAAAAATGCAACTTTTTCAACTGGTCCCTCTGGACTTCCCTGCCGCAGTCGGATTGCGACATAACGAGAAGATTCGTTTACGAAAAACAGGAATGTAACAGCCACCGGATCGACGAAAGGAAACACACGGAATAATAGTAGTAGGAAAAAAAAATCAATATGAGAGCTAGGAAGGGGGTCACTGTCCGCGAGGAGGACAGGAGAGGAGGAGAACAGGAGAGGAGGAGGAGAATATCAAACTATGCAAACTCTAAGTAAGTAAGTCGCTTTCTTTTTCACACACGGAAAATTGAATTTTTGTGAAAATCGTAATCCTTGAACTTCATTTCGGATTTCGAATAAAAACTATTCGCGCACGGTCCGTATGCGGTTCCTATTTCAACCGCGCGCGAACGCGGAGCGTCCGTAACGGATTGTTCGCGAATCACCTGTGTTAAGGCTCATTTGATTTTGAATGAGCTTTTTGAAAAAAAAACAAAAAAGCTCACGTGACTCTTTTTCAGCTTTATCAAAAAGCTCATTATGACTCATCATTCATAATAAAAGGAAAATAATTGTTTAGAATGTCACTGATATGGAAAAAAAATCACCGTTTTAATGTGGTGGCTTAACTTTTTGATGGAGTTTTCAAAGCAATTTTAACATGGCTGCCGAGAAAACAAATGAGGTGAATGCCAGATCATTGATAGGCCATATAAGTTGTTGGCCTAGAATACTCAAAATGTAGAAGTGAGACCATTGTGTCCGAATGAGCTAGAAACCCTATCAGGTGAATGTCAGACGAGTTATGGTCCATAAAAATGGTGGCCTAAAGAACTTAACATAGAAAAGTTGGGGCACTGTGTCAAAATTGACCACAAAACATATTAGGTTCATGACAGACCATTTCTAAACCATAAAACTTGATGGCCTAGAAAACTCACTTGAAAAAGTTAGGCCACCAAGTGAAAATTGCGTTTAAATGGCTTGATATTCACCTGATATGATTTCTAGGCTATTTTCACAGGATGACCTAATTTTTGCAAGATAATTTTTCTAGACCACCATTTATTTTTCAGGTCACCATTATTTCTGCCCATCAGGGCACTTGATTAGTTGAATATTTGGCTGAAGTAATGGTTTTTATTATTATTTTTTGCCACGTGAACACTTTTCTAGTGGATTTTTTGAACTATGCTTCCGTGAGCCTTTTTTTTTTGAAAAAGAGTCAACGTGAGCTTTTTTAAAAATGAGCCTCGATGAGCTTTTTTCAAAATCAATATTTTCGTCAAATGAGCCTGTATGAGCTTTGACGTGGAGTCGAAAAAGGCTCATATGAGCCTGCTTCATGATGAGCCCACGTGAGCTTAAGCTCATGACAGAGCTTTTTTCGGAACCCTAGTATACAGCATTTTATTCAACTTGGAATGTTTTAGGAATGAGTTCGATGAGTCGATACAACAATTGACACTTCTGATTTTTTCTTAAAAATGGGATGAGTCAGATAGAAAATCCATGGGGTGAGACATGTATCCAAGTCGTTCATAAATGGTCGAAGGACAATGAGAAAAACTGAATACGACGGGAAGATAATTCCACCGAGCTGGAAAACATGGAATCATCAGCCGTTAAATGATATAAACTAACCGCAATCATTCCATTGGTCACATAGGCAAATGCCATTGCCACACTGGTTATTGTCAATGAGATTTCTGCTTTATGAGACGCCTGAGATTTCGCATGCTGGCCAAGAGCATGTTTTAGCTTCACGAGCTTGACAATGAGTATGATATTGATTATCAAACAAGCCAATAACCAGAAAAAGGTGTTGAAGATTAAACCCAGTGTGTTTCGAATCTGAGACTTTAATGTGAAGAGTTATTTCTTAAAGATTCAAGTGCAAACCCCAAAATCCGTATAATTAACTCTAAAAATGACACCTCCATATCCAACAGGCCATCCTGGAAACTGACAGTATCCTACTGTAGGAAACATGCCAAATGTGAACAGGAAGGGTAGAGAAAAATCACAGGAAGCGCCCATTTCAATATTTTTGAGTTAATCTGTAAATTAGAAGGTTTCAATCAACATTAAGTAGGTTTTAAAATACCTTGTGATGTCTCTGTGGTGATAAAATCGAAATTAATCGGATGACAGCGACAAGGAAAGGGAGTATAACCACGATGTAATTGATATGATAAACGATAATGACAAGAATCACTAGAAATCCGCTAGGTTGTAGACTAGCGCACCAACTGGTTAGAAGACCGGATAGTGGAAGGCGAAGATACATAAAGTCAGCAAAGAAAAATAGGAGACACTGAAAATGAATTTTTTTGAAACCGTTTTCTGTGTGATATCTTACCATAATATGTGATAAAGTGATTGCACTGAACAATTGAACGTTTACATTGTTCACTTTAGTTGCTGCTATCGATTTTACTGCGATTCGAAAAACCACTACACTTGTAGCAGGAATATAGAAAAGTGGAACGAAAAGTAAAAGTACAGGAACACTGAGAAACGAGACCTCAAAATTCAGGAAGCTAGGGTTTCCGTGGATTCCAAGGGACACAGTTGAATTCGAAATACTAGCCATAAAAAATTGAAATAACGTTTTGCTTCTTTTTAAAGTAGGAAACAAATGATGTGAGATTTTTGGTGAAGGAGAAAGAGAGCTAAGAAAAAGTTATGTGCAGTTTGGTAAGTTGGATGGTAATTATATGTGTCGGTAGGGATTTAGGTGCTTGTCTAGAGCATAATCACGTGGTTGATCAGTTGGTTTTCACAAAAAAAATGCATAGTTGATGACTAATAGCAATTTCGAAATTGGGTGCAGATGTCCTGATTTTTTTGGCCTGTTTTTGGCGTATCTTTGGCAAATCGTATTGAATAGACACCTGAATAGACAAAAATGTCCCATTATTTTCAAGCGCATGAAAAACAATGTGCGTCACATCATAATGCATAGTCTCTCTCCAAAAAAACTTCGAAAAGATCCTTGAAGGAAGTTCTACCGTAATCTACCGTAAAACCGTCATTGTAAACATTCTAACAGAATGGCCCTATATCTTTTAACTTCGAGACGATTTATCTCGGTTCCTATTATAGACGTTTTGACAGTTGACCACTTCCGGTATCTTTCTCTGCAAACAGGTAATACGTTACTTGTTTTTGTGTACAACCCAAATTTAAAATCAGTTCATTGAAATCACTTTTTATGCTGAATATCATGAAAATGAATAAGAACTAACAACAAAATATTTGCAACTTTGTTTTCTTCGAATTTTGACATTTTATTCTCAACAAACAGAGAAAAACACACAATTCAAGGAAGAACTCTTCGATTCGGAGCTATTGGTGATATTGACTTTTTCCTGAATGCCGGATGAGTCAGATAGAAAATCCATGGGGTCAGACATGTATCCAAATCGTTTATAAATGGTCGAGCCACTATTAATAGGACATATAGTTTAGGGATTAACATACCACCGACCTCAAATTTAATGATTCATTCATCTCAATTCTGATGACTCACCGCAATCATCCCATTGGTAACACAGGTTAATGACATGGATATGCTAGTTATTGTCAGTGAGAGTTGTGCTCTCTGCGATGCTCGAGATACTGTAGGTTGGGTGAAGGACTTCAGTATCACTAGCTTCAGAATAAGTATCGTGTTTATTGTTAAACTTGCCAATAACCAGAAAACTGTATTGAAGAGAAGACCGTACTTGTTTTGAATCTGTGGGGAATTTCACAAATACTTCTTAAATTAACAAAAAAAACTATCTTACCCCAACACCATTGTGTTTCACTCTAAAAATAACACCACCAAAATCAACGGGCCATCCTGGATACTCACAGTATCCAACTGTAGGAAACATGCCAAATGTAAAAATGAAGGGGTATAGTAAGATAATGGGACGAGCCCATTTTAGTACTTTCGAGTTTATCTGAAATTTCAAAAGTTTTGTTCTAGCTTAAAAGAGAATACAAACTTTATGAGGTGTCTGTGGTGACAGAACCAACATTAATCGAATGACAGCGACAAGGAAAGGGAGTATAACCACGATGTAATTGATATGATAAACGATAATGACAAGAATGACTAGATATCCGCTAGGTTGTAGACTAGCACACCAACTGGTTAGAAGACCGGATAGTGGAAGGCGAAGATACATAAAGTCAGCAAAGAAAAATAGGAGACACTGAAAATTCTTTTTTTTTTGCTATCTATCAGTCAATTGATTTTTGTAATAAATTACCATGACATGTGATAAGGTGATAGCACTGAACAACGGAACATTTGCATTTTTCTCACGAATCGCTACTTTCAAATTTACAAAAATTCGAAAAACAATACGTATAGTAATAGGGATATACAAAGCAGGAACGAAGAGTAAAAGTACTGGAACAGTGACAAATGAAGCCTTATAATCCGAATAGCTTGAATTTCCATGAATTCCGAGAGACATTGCAGAATTCATAGAGAAGGATAAAGAAAAACGAGAGGAATTCGAATGATCTCACTTCCTTGAACTGGGAAGGTGAGGAAAAATTATATGTTCTCTTTTCGGCGAAAATTTCGTGAGATGTCTAGTTAAAAATAGTGAAAAAATTGATCAGTTGGTTTTCACAAAAAGTGAGAAATCCAGGGAAAAAGGAGGTGTCTCGATTTTTAAGTCTCGAATTCGGAATTCCTCTGTTTTACTTTCGAATTCCGATATCCAAATTTTAAAATTTCCACTTTTGAATCCGGACGTTTGACTTGCAAATTCAGATTTTCAAATTCCGATTTTTGATTTTAGACTTTGAATTCCGAATATTTGATTTTCAATTTCCAACATCTGATCTTCAATTTCTGACTTTCGTCTTTCAAATTTCGAAATCCAAAATTTGATTCCCAATTTTTGACTTCCGCATTCCGATTATTGACTTCTCGGCTGTTGCCCGCAACTTTTAGGCTGGATTTAAGCGGCTTCTGAGCTGTGGCAGGGCGGATGTCGCTTTAGTTTTCTGTAGAAGCCGCCCAGCGACCGCTCTAAAGACGCCAAGCCTACGCTCAAAATTCGCGTAGCTCCCACGAAATCTGATCATAGCTCTAAAAAATCTGAATATTCTGTCCAAATCGATTTTATAAACTTGATTTATTTTTAAAAACCAATAGCTCACAGAAGAAAGAAAAATAATAAGCAGAATAACAAAAAAAAAAGAAAAAGGATTGTCTGTTAGATTTGCGTTGAATCATGATGTGGGTAGAGTAGGCAGTAGTTGTCAATTGGGTGCTCTGAAAAAAATACGAAGATGATTGTATTGATTATATTGTCGCTTACCAATGAGATCTGTCATATGAAAGTCGGAACATCATCACAGAAGACACGCTGGTGAGAAGTTGGCACGGAAAACCAACTTCATGTTCTTGTTCAACGCATATCGACCATCTATCTGCTTTTCGAACACCACCGATCTCTCAGATGCCATGTACAGAAGCTCATGATAGATGGAACGGATGAGTCCACGACGAGCGTGAACGATTGGGTTCATGTGAACGATGTACTTGGCTCCGTTCAGGCTGTCCGGTTTGCAGACGTATTGGGTTGATGAGCCGAAGGAGAGTCCTTCTCGTTAGGATCTTTGATCAGGACGAAGCTGAATTTGGAGTTTAGGTTTCGAAGGATCTAGGGGTATAAAGATCCAAGGATCTAGGAATCTAGGGATCCGTAAGATCTTTGAACCAAAAGCTCCTCCCCACTTACCACGCTATCAGATTGCTCTGATTGGCACCGTAGTGACGAGTCCTATTGTAGTATTCTCAGTTACAAAACTCGGAAATCTCTCGGCACATCGGTGAGCATTGTCGTTCCGGGCGTGAGCTGTTTCATCTTTGATGATACTCAGATGTATTACGATCTACAAGTATCACAATTTTTCGAATCACATTCCTATTTTTTACCTTTTTGTAAACTTTGGATTCCAGTTTCAATTTTTGCTGCCCGAATGCGTGTTGCCAACTTCCTTCTGAAAATCATCATAAATAAGGTTCAAAAAATTACGTATCTTACGAAGTTGTCTCTTCGACCTGGAATTCGACATTCTGACAAATCCATTCATCTTCTTTTTTTCAGATGTCCTCACTTTAATTTCGATTTCCTGACTTCAAAACCAATTTCTGAACGTCCTATATTCGAAACCAAGTTTTTGATACTATTACCTAAAAGGTTTTTCATTTTTAAAACAGAAACGACAAAGAAAATGAGATGAATTACGCTAAAAAATGAGAAAAAATTAATAAAATTTGATTTCGAAAAGAAATTCCGATGCACGCAACGCGAGACACGCGTCGCCTTTAAAATTCGCCCAAACATCGCCCAAGATTCGCCAAGGTGATGGTGGTCGGCGCAGCTGCCACAGATCTAGGAGCTTCTGGTTAAAAGCCGCCCAAACAACGCTCTAAAGCCGCATCCACCCCTGTTTTCGCCCTAAAGTTGCAGGCCACAACCGAGTTCTGAACTTTGATTTCCCACTTTTGAATTTCGAATTTTAAATTCCAGATTTTGGGTTCCGAGTTCCTAACATAAAAATCTGAAATCCGAATTTTCATATCCGATTTCCGAATTCCGGTGTCTGACTTCCGAGAATTTTCGACCTCCGAAATCCGATATCGAAAATCTGATGTGCAATTTTTGATCTCCGGCATTTAGATTCCAAAATCCGAATCCCGATTTCCGATATTCGAATTCCGATTTTTAATTTTTGAGTTAAGAATCTCAATTTTCGAATTCGAATTCTGAACTCCCATCTCCTATTCAAAAAGTCCAAATTCCAAATTCCGAATTTCGAATTCTGAACTCCATAAATCCGAAATTTGAGTTTTGACTTTCGAATCAATAAGATTCCGAACTCTAAATTTTGAATTTCCATTTCCGATTTCCATGACGTGATTCATTCGCTGAAAAATGTAAAAAAGCGAGTTTTGAGCAATCACAACAACACCCAATTATTTCGATTCTCTCTGTTTCTCCTTTCACTTTTTCTCTAACCTAAATTCATTCTTTGATCCAGTATCATGCTTTCCAAACCACAATTACTCTCTATAATATGTCTTTTTTCGGTCCCAATCGTTCAAGGCCAACGAGAACAAGCATGTGGTAAGCTTCCCATGAACAACGGATATTAATTTTTAAAAGTCCAGATCTGAATTGTCGTTTCGAAAAAGCCTACATTTCTTCTGAAAAACTCAAAAAGTGGCCAAAAACTTGTAAAATAGTGTGTGGAAATTTGATTTTCAATGAAAAGACCGACTTGACCGATTATGAATTGACTGTGAATTTCTGGAAGCTAGAAGTGCTGAAAGGGTTTCTGAGATTTCAGAATTCTTCTTTGACGTCATTGAGTTTTCTAGAAAATTTAAGAGCGAGACAATGCGAAGGAGGTAATTTGAAAAATAAAAATGAATAGAATTTGGTTTCCAAAGGTTAATTTTAGGCGAATTTGGCGAATTTGTGGTCTCAAACAATCCATATTTAACGAATCTAGGAAAACTACAGAACTTTGCTAATGGCGATACGTGCACATGGCGAATTGTGAAAAATCCACAGCTAGATATATCATCATATGAATTCCTTGCTTATCGTCGTTTGGAAAACTACGGAAACCTCAAAGACTATGGTAGATCAAACAATGTGAATTTTAAACACATCCTCACTGTTCAGAATGTGTAAATGTGCGTATCACTTCTGAATCTCTACCGTATTACTCGAACTGTACGAGTATAAACAATGGAGCTGAAGAAAAAGCGCTGAAAATTTCGAACATGTCGAGTTCAATGGATCTAACCGGTTTTTTGAAGTTAAAAAGTGTTGCAGGAGGTATTGAAATTTCCAATACCGATCTTGTGGATTTATCGTTTTTGAAAAATTTGAAAATTATTGACATGCCGGGAGGGCCGACGGATAGAGCTACAATTGAAATTCAAAACAACCCAAATTTGAAGCGACTTGGATGGGATTCCATTACGGTTAGTTTTGTATTTGTTCTCATTTTATTCATTGCACTTTCAGGCCTTGCCAACAAATGGAAAACTTCTTCTAAACATAACCAAAAACCACCCAGAGTTTTGTCTAACTATAGAGGAAGTGCAGAAATTCGCAAAAGTGGCTCCGTGGTTTTTTAACGAAGATAAAATACTGCTTTGTCCAAATTTAACAGAAGAGATGGGCAGAAAGTTTGCAAGTTTAATGGCTTTGGGAGTTTTGAGACAGATTGCCGCCATGTTGTTGGGGATGTTGTAATTGATGAGGATAATGAGAAGGATGTATGGATGTTGGAAAATGTTACATATATTTATGGATCGTTGATTGTCAGAGATACAAGGGAGTTGGCGAATTTGGATTTTCTGTCTAGTTTGCGATTGGTGATGAGATTAACAAAAGGTTAGAAATTAAATATTGTCAAAACATTGGAATTCGGATGTTGGATTCTGAAGGTCGGATCCCGAAATTTTAAATTGTTAAGTCGAAAATCGAAAATTTGGAATTCGGATTTCCGAATTTAGGAATTCGTAATTCTAAAATCGTAATTCCAAACCCGAAAAAGCCAACTATTGGAAACTGGGAATTTGAAAATGCACCTTTATTACACTCATTTTTCAGATGAGGACCAAATTATTCGAGTTCTGTCAAACAAAAAGTTGGAACAAGTGATTTTTCCTAAAATGAAGGTATTTTGAACTCATTTTATTAATCTAATAAGTCCTCATTTTTTCAGACACCACCATTCCCTATAGGTGAAGGTGATTTCATAGACATCGATGGAAACTCGTTGGAAATTTTCAAAGTTCAAAGGGAATGTATTCTAATTAGAGCAATGACTAGGGCGGACGTGAAGTACAATGGGAAGGGTTGCTGTGAGCTTTTGAAGAATATTTTGGTTCTTATTTCTTGTTTTTTTCCAGCAAAACTGCCGCGGCTTGAAAAAACAACGAAGCATTCGACATTTAAATTTTCAAACGTTTGGATATTTATCATTTTGTTGTTCCATGTGTCATAAAAATTTAAAGTATATCAATATGAAATCCCAAGCTTATTATGTATTTAAGTGATCTTGAATAAACGACTTTCAATCCTGATATCCCGAATTCTGAATTCCAGTATCCGATTTACAATTCTTGACTTTCAAACTCCAATTTGCGATTTCAGAAATCTTCGAATTCCGAATTTCAATTTTTGAGTTTCGATTCTCTATTTTCGAATTCTGAACTCCCATTTCCAAATTCCTATTCTAAAGTCCAAATTCCGAATCCCTAAATGAGAAATCCGACTTTTGACTTCCGACATTCGAATTTTGAATCAATAAGAATCCGAACTCTAAATCCTAAACTCCCATTATCCAATTTTCATGACGTGATTCTTTCGCTGCAAAATATCAATAAGCGAGTTTCGAGCAACAACAACAACACCCAATTATTTCGATTCTCTCTGTTCTCTTCACATTTTTTTTCTCTAACCTAAATTCACTTTTTCATCTAGTATCATGCGTCCCAAACTAATTTCAATCTCTATTGTATTTTCCTTTTTGGTCCCAATTGTTCAAAGCCAACAGGAGCAAGCATGTGGTGAGCTGTTAATACTGAAAAATCACTTCTTCTAAATTAAATTCAGATTTGAATTGCCATTTCGAAGAGTCGTACTTGTCTTCTGAAACACTCAAGAAGTGGCCAAAAACTTGTAAAATAGTGTGTGGAAATCTGATTATAAATGAAAAGTCCGACTTGACCGATTATGAATGGACTGTGAATTTCTGGAAGCTAGAAGAGCTGAAAGGGTTTTTGAGAGTTCAAAATTCTTCTCTGACGTCATTGAATTTTCTAGAAAACTTGAGACGGAGTCAATGCGAAGGAGGTAATATGAAAAATAAAAATGAATTACATTTGTTAAAAAACAATAATTTCAGGCGAGTTTGGCGAGTTTGTTGTTGCAGATAATCCAAATTTAACCGATATTGAAAGACTACGGTTATTTCGAAATAGCGACGGATGTACATGGCGAATTGTGAGAAATCCTCGACTGGATACCACCTCATACGAATTTCTTATTTGGATTAATTTGGAGAATTACGGAAACCTCAAAGACTATGGTAGATTTAAAATTTTGAACTCTCAACTCAAATTTTAGGTGCAGGATGTTCAAATGTGCGTATCACTTCTGAGTCTCTACCGTATTACTCGAACTGCACAAGTATCAACGATGGTTATGAAGGAAAAGCGGTGAAAATTTCAAAAATTTCAAGTTCAATGAACCTAACCGGATTTTTGAAATTGAGAAAAATCGCAGGAGGCATTGAAGTTTCTAATACCGATCTTGAGGATTTGTCGTTTATGAAAAACTTGAAAGTTCTTGACGTGTCGGGAGGGATTATGGGTGGAGCTACAATTGAACTTCAAAACAGCCCAAATTTGAAGCGGCTTGGTTGGGATTCTATTACGGTTAGTTTCGTATGTGCTCCTTTTATTCATAGCATTTTCAGATCTTGCCAACAACACTTTCTCTAAACTTTACCAATAACCACCCAGAATTTTGTCTGACCATGGAGGAAGCGCAGAAGTTTGCAAAAGTGGGACCATATTTTCCTAACGACGACAAAATATTGCTTTGTCCAAATTTAACTAGAGCAGATGGTCAGAAAGTTTGCAAGTTTGACGGCTTTGGGAACTTTGAAACAGGTTGCCGCCAAGTTGTTGGAGATGTCATAGTTGATGAGGACAATGAGAAGGATGTATGGATGTTGGAAAATGTTACACATATTTATGGATCGTTGATTATCAGAGATACAAGGGAGTTGGTGAACCTGAATTTCCTGTCTAGCTTGCGTTCGGTTATGAGATTAACAAAAGGTTAGGAAATATCCATTTGTGCATTAAAGTTGGAATGTCCGACAACATTTTGAAATTTTTTTGGAATCCGGAATCCGTGTTTCAGAATTTTTTCTGAAGTTTAAAATTGAAATTCGAAAGTCAAAATTTGGAAATCGACTCGGCTGTCGGCGCCAATGCTTGGCCAGACCTCCCACAAGTCTAGCACAAGTCTCCGAGCACATTATTCTATGTATTAGCTAAGACTTGTGGGAGGCTTGTGCAAGACTTGTGGAAGGCTTGTGCAAGACTTGTGGAAGGCTTGTCTAGACTTGTGTGTGGCTTTGTGTGTTTTCATTGAAACCTGTTGCTCTGTTGTGATTGTATTTGGAATTATATATACTACAACATTTTATTAGAACACTACGCAAAACGAATAATGAGAAAAAAATTAATTAAAATCACAAAAAATTTCCACCTTTTCGTTTCCTTTTCTTTGAAATCCGTTGAAATTCATCGACAATGACAGTGTAATCGCATCAAGTCGAGTCATCTCATTTCCTCAATTTTTGCTTTGTATTTTGAAGTATCCTTTAGACGAGAACATTACGATCCAATTTCTTGCATCTGAAAAACAAACGATAATTTTAAAAATTCTCAGCCTTTGAACTAATACCTTTACTTCCTTTTCGAAAAATTTTCACAGTTCTGGTTTCGACATTACTGACTTTCCGATAACAAGCATCTACATAATGTACAGTGCAAATAAATTCATCTTTACATAGTTCGAGTTGTCTTCAAATCCTAAAAACGTTAGCGTTTTCAAACTCATTGAAAGGTGTGTGATACTTTCAAGAAGAGATCCTTTGTCGACTGAAACAGCAGTTTTGATGCAGAATTTTTAGGTGGAATTTCGCAGAAAATTAACTTTTTTTATCTTCTGTCTCCTGTGTTTTCATGAGGCGAAATTCTGTATATTCAAGTGTTCGAATTCTGTAATATTGAACTGTTCAAACCTAAATATTTCTTCATAATAATTCACAATATGCTCACGATGTGCTCACGACTCGCAGACTTATCCTTTTTCAGTTTTGCTCTTTTGAGTTGAAGTTGAATTTTCTGTCATGTTGAAAGTTATACCATTCGAAACTTCAAAATTTCTTATACCAAAAAAATTAAAATAGCTTCATAAAAATTCAAACCTTTATGTAGTAGAAAAATAGGTAAAACCAAAAAACAAATTGAAAATCAAATAATGAGTCCTAAGGTAAAAAGTCAATAATCAGAATTTGGCCAAGACTTGTAGCCTTCCGACTATGGGCCAAGACTTGTGGAAGCCACCACAACGGCTCATGGAGGCGCATACTTTGGCCAAGACTTGTGGGAGGCTTGGCCAACACTTGTAAAATCATGAAATTTGGCCAAGTATTGGCACCCCAGCCGAGGAATATTGGAATTCGCAATCCAGATTTCGGATCTCGTATTTTGAAATTTGGAGTTCCGAATTCGGATTTCAGATTTCGAAAATTGGATTCCGTAATTTTGAATTTGTGATCTGAATTTGGGATCCGTAATTTTGAATTTGAGTGTGTCGGAACTCCTACATCGGGCATTGAAATCCGAAACAAGAAAAATCTCCAATATTTTTTTCCGAGAGTTTGAAGAGCTTCAATTGACCAAAAACGTTTTCATGCATCTTTAAAAACATTTAACTTTCAGATGAAGACCAAATTATTCGAATTTTGTCAAACAAGAAGTTGGAAAAAGTTATTTTTCCCAAAATGAAGGTGTTCTTGTAATTCACTTTTTAAACCTGAAAGTTTATCAATTTTTCAGACTAAACCGTTCCCGTTTGGTGACGACAATTTCATAGACATTGATGGAAACTCATTGGAAATTTTCAAAGTTCAAAAGGAATGCATGCTAATCAGAGCAATGACTAAAGCGAAAGTGAAGTATAATGGAAAGAGTTGCAGTGAGTTTTGAATTAGTTTTTGGCTCTATTTTAGGTTCCGCGTCATTTCAAACCGGTCATTTCGAAACCGCGGTAATACAGGCAAATGGATAAATTCCAGATTACAAAAACAATTTTATTTCTTTCAAATATGCTTGTTTTGATAGAAATTTGATAGAATACATTCTGGAATCTGAAAAAAAAACCAAAATTTGATGTTCTCAAAAAAAGAAAATCCTTGAATTTTTGGATTTTCAGAATGTGTTCTAACAGAAAAAGCCTATTTGAAAACCCAAAAATTGTTTTTGTGGTCTGAAATTTATCCATTCGCCTGTATTACCGCGGTTTCGAAATGACCGGTTTCGAAATGACCGGTTTCGAAGTGTCGCGGTTTCGAAGTGCCGCGGAGCCTATCTTTTATGTTTTCTTCAGCAAAACTTCCGCGAGCTGGAGAAACTTCAATTAGTTCGGACTTTAAACTTTCAAACGTATGGATATTCATTCTTCTGTTAATTCACTTTTAATCCCAAGCTAAAATTGTTTCTGTCAGCTTTAATGAATTACTTTCTATAGCATTTTTTCATGAATTTTTTTTGACATTGATTTTAGTTTCATCTGAAAAAATGTGATGTTTAATTTTCAAAAAGTGCATGGTTTCAAAAAATGTTATTATTTTATTTACTAGCTCAAAAACCGAGTAAATGCCATAAACCCTATAATTAGAATCCCATGAGCCCACTAACAAATTTCTAGTTTCTATTTTTTTTCTTTCAAAATCATGATTTTCCTCTTTTTTCTTTTTATCACCTTTGCAATCAATATCAACTCGTTTGACAAATTATGTGACCTGAATTGTCATTTCAAACACCCCTACATGACTTCTGAAACAATAAGATCATGGCCGAAACATTGTAATGTTGTTTGTGGAAATATTTTTATCAATGGAGTCAATAACAATGTCACGGAACCCGACCTAATGAAAACGTTGAACAAACTTGAGTGGCTGAATGGCAATATTAAAGTTGAGAACACCGATTTTGTGTCTCTGAATTTTTTGAAAAAATGGCTTGTTTTTAGTTGTAATGGAGGCGAGTTATTCTTTTTTCATCCCAAGAAGAACAAGAATTTCAGACGAATTTGTGATTTCTAACAATTCCGAGCTTGCGCAGTACAAAACCTTGTCAGAATTGTACTCCGAAGTGGAATGTGTTTGGCATATTTCAAACAATCCGAAAATGAATTTAAATAATTTTTGCACCGACACTTTCTCGGAAATGTATAAAGCTAATTTGAAATACTATGGAAATATGGGAGGGTGTGGTAAGATAGAGTGGCTATTCCATAAAATTAGGAGCTCTAAAATTTTTAGGTGATGTTAATTTTTTTGGATTTACTAGATTATGACCTAATTTCTTGGATTTTTAGGTCGTGACCTATTTTTGGTATTTAGGTCACGACCTAATTTCTGGAACTTTCTAGGACATGACCTAATTTTTAGATTTTTAGGTCGCGGCATATTTTCTGATTTTTTTAGGGCATGGCTTTACTTGGGGGTTTTCTAGGCCATGACCTAGTTTTTGGATTTTTAGGTCACGACATTTTTTTTGGATTTTTATGTGATATTAATTTTTGGATTCACTAGGTTATGACCTACTTTGGATAAACTAGATCATGACCTAGTTTTTGGATTTTTAGGTCGTGAGTCACGAGTTTCGAAAACTTTTTTCGAGAAATTTTTGTCGAATTTTCTTCGAAAATTTCTCGAAAAAAGCATTTTTCGAGAAATTTTTTTCGAAAAGACACACTGGTCGCGACCTATTTTTTGGATTTTCACGTCACGACCTAGTTTATTGGATTTTGAGTCCCGGCCTAATTTCTTGGTTTTTTAGGACATGACATATTTTTTTCTGATTTTTCGGTCACATCCTAATTTCTTGAATTTTCTAGGTCATGACCTGAATTTTTTAGATTTTTAGGCCATCACTTAATTTTTCCGTTTTTGTAGAAAAATTAAGTGGTGACCTAAAAATTCGTGACATAATTTTCTGGATTTTCTAGTTCATGACCTAATTTGTTTTGGATTTTGTAAGTCATGATCTAATTTTCTGGATTTAGGTCATGCCAACTTTTTTGAATTTTTGGGTCACGACCTACTCTCTAGAATTTTCTAGGTCATGACCTAATTTTTTCAGATTTTACAGATCACCAACTGAATTTAGGGTTTTTAAGTCATGATGTAATTTATTATTTGTTGGGTCATGATCTAAATTTTTGGATAAATTACGTCATGGCCAATCTCTTTGAATTTTCTGGGTCATGGCTTACTTTAAAACATTTTTCAGGTCATGACCTAGTTTTTTCGATTTTTCAGGTCACGACCTGATTTTGGATTTCTAGGTCATGACTTTTCAAAAAAAAATTTGAATCACGACCTAATTGTTTAGAACTTCCTAGATCACGGCAAATCTTTTGGGTCCCTCACTTTTTCCGGGACTCCTAAATTGAAAAAAAGAGAAATATTTTTTACAAATATTACGGATTATCAACCAAATTTCAGAATGCGTCAACGTTTACATAACTCCAGAATCCCTGCCGTATTACACAAACTGCACACATATTACTGGTGGTGATCAAGGGGTTTTGAAAATCGCGAATTTGACGGATTCGTTGAATTTATCTGGTTTGCTATCACTGAAGAAAGTTGAGGGAAATATTGAAATTTTCGAAAATCAAGTCTCAAATTTATCGTTTTTGAGTAATTTGGAGAATGTTAGCAAAGATTATTTATCCATTTACAATCTAACTCATATTCATAATAATCCGGATTTGAAAAGATTGGGTTGGGATTCAATAAAAGTGAGTGACTTTAAGCTACCGAATTTCAAATTTCGAGTTCCAAGATTATCAAAAATTTGACGCATTTCAGAAAATGGTCTCAAAATTCGATATTTATACGGTCAGCATCCATGACAATCATCCAGATTTTTGTCTTACAACTCGTGAACTACAAACTTTTGCCGAAAACGATGTCTATGTTTATAATTTGGAAGCTAAGTTATGTGCGGACCTCGAACGAAAAGATGGGGAAAAAATTTGCAATTTTGTTGATTTGACATCGCTGGATTTGAAATGCCAACATTTAATTGGAGAAGTAAATATCAACAATGAAAATGAAGACTATTCATGGAAGTTGGAAAATATTACCAACATTTACGGGTCAATTGTTGTACAGTACACTGAAAAGCTCACAGATCTCAACTTCTTGAGAAATCTTCGAGCAGTTGCAAGTTTGAATTTTGGTAATATTTTGAGAGAAATTGTAATTAGTGAAAAAAAAGAATTTCCAGACGGTCCTCCTTCGATCCAAATCAATCACAATCGAATGCTTCAAACCGTTACTTTACCAAATATGAAGGTACATTTTTGGATTTCTAACAAGATGACTATTTTTTATTTAAAAAGTTAGGATGTGATATTAGTTGTCCGGTACTGTAGATCTTTTGTATAACTCCCCAAAGTTTTAGGTCCCACCATTTCCCAAGTTCAAAAGTGGCGTTATTGAAATCAATGGGAATTCGATGGAAATTTTTAAGTACTTGAAGGATTGTCTGTTGTTTCAGACACAGACGAAGTCGTCCGTAAAGTATAATGGAAAAAGTTGTAGTGAGTTTTTTTGCTAAATTTTCAAAATTAAAAATTCGATTTGCAGAAAAATTGCCAGTGGCACCAGGAAAGCAGCCAGTGAAGGATACAGATTATGAAGACGAGTATGAAGTTGAGCCATCTGGAAATCTATCATATTCGGCTTCTCTGATTATATCGCTTCTGATGATTCTAGTAGCGCTCTAATGTCTGGAGAAAACCGTTTTTGTGAATCATTTATTGTTATTACTCAATAAAAAGCATAATTATCAAAATTTCATCTGCAACTCTGTCGGATCAAATCGCTTTTGACTCTCCGCAGAGATCTTTGTTTTGCCGAGACCAAGATATTCTGAAAATCAAAACCAATTTCAAAAAACTAAAACCCGCTTCTCACTTAAAATAGTTCTTCTATAATTCTTCACAATGACCATCGTGGGAATCGGGTCCACTGCTGGATATAAGGCAATTGTCATGGATACAATTGCACTATACACTCCAAGATCAATATTCAAAAATACAAACGCAAACATGATCGCAGCTGGAATATGCATCAGAATAAGAGGAACTAGGGTTTGGATGACTAGAGCATAAAATAATTGTCTTTGAAGACTTCGGATTCTTGCAGAAATAATTGTTGTTACCACCAAGTCACTGATTCGGATATAACACAATGTGGCAAACAGGACGATGAAGATAATGGAGGATACCTAGGGTTATGGTGATTAAGACACGTGGTTATAGCGTTTCAACTCACAATAGTAGCTGAAATGATTGCTAATCCAATGAAAGGTAAAATGTGAACTTTGATATTTCCGTCGGTTGTTGTCTCGTATAGATAGGGGCCCAGGCAATGTATTCGTCTGAATCCAGCTCGAAAATTGTTTTGACGTTATCTCTGAAATTAAATGAAGTGTTAAATAAACCTAGCTTTCGTTGGCAGAGTAAACCGTTATAGAATGATTCCCTGACTTCTAGCTTTAATCCCATTTTTCCCGGTTAAAGGAATCAAAAAGTTGTCAACTGATAAATTGTTTATCATTAGATCAGAAATGTGTTTCCAGTTGAAAAACTTGAGATATCTTGCGTAGTACTTATAATTGAGCTTAAACCTGAGGGTGTTGGATCCCTTCATGTGTTTCCAGTTGAAAAACTTGAGATATCTTGCGTAGTACTTATAATTGAGCTTAAACCTGAGGGTGTTGGATCCCTTTATCACAGGTGTTACAGTAGTTTTGTCTGGCCTAGAAGCTAGCTGCGAGTAACAATAAGCTGTTGTAAATAGGACCATTGTTTTTTTTTGGTGAGGATACTAATGGATTAGGATTTGGTGGCTTTGCGGCCCTAGAAATTTCTGCTATGCTGAGCTTAATTTCTAAAGAGCGAACGGTTCACGATCTCTTACCCACGGTCCGTGCCGCAGCCGAGGGGTTCGGACCCTTAGGAGCAAAATACTGGGGTTCCAAAACGCTAACGACTGAGCTACGGGGTTGTGAGCCCCCGGAATTCTCCAGTCTCTCAACCTTCAAAAACTTACCTAATAAATCTGGTGGTTGCTTCATTGGGTTCTGCCAGAAAATATCCTGTGCAATACCAAACTGCAGCGTACCATACTGGTATCGAAAACCAAAACCAAATTTTGCACCCGTAAAATGTTAGACGGAGACGGTGTCTGAGAAAAAAAAAGCTAGAAGTGAAATATATAATTGGGCTACCCAGACAGCACCAAATAACGGTATACAAAATGAACCGCGAAAACTGCCATCGATGCTCCAAAGCATCCCCAGTAACATGCATTCAAAATGGTCAACGTAGGGCGGTGGAAAAGTTTATTCTCAGTTCCCACGATTGTCAGAAAAATTGGTCCATGAGAATAGTGTTGCTAGAAAATCTCTCTAAAAAGATGCGCTAGTTTAAAATTCACTTACTGGTGCCAAGACAACATCCAAAATCGAGTATAGCAATTCAAACACCGAAATATAAATCATTAACCATCGATATGGACCGAGTTGTTTTGGTGACTTTTTGACAATTAAGAAAATGAGAAAACTGTTCAAAAATAACGAAACAGCCGCAGAAATATTCTGGATAAAAGTGAGTAGCGAGTTCCATTCTTTTCCTAGCATAATGTTAAAAGAGAATGTATTAGAAGAGATCGCGCCACGAAACATACAGTATAGCTTTTGTTCCGTATTCATAAGGGAAAAGGACCTAAAAGATAATACATTAGAAGAGATGAGGCCAAACAACATACAGTATCTTTTTGTTCCTTATTCACAAGAGAATATGATCGTCAAATGAAAACACGTCGTTTTTCAGAGAATATTTCCCTGTGGAGCAGACTGTGTCGGTTCAAATAACATGTTCTAGATATGTAATTTCCGGTGGCTAGCTGACTGGGATGTGCTGTCTATGTAGCTGTCCTGATCGATATAAAGTTAATATATCATAATGATGTCAAAATAAATAAGATTATAACATAATTAATGACTAAAATGGCTTTCAATTAGTGAGACGGATTCAAAAGATGTGCTCCAAGTTTCGCATGAACCATCGCATTTTCATACATCTCGATTGTCTGAATGACCACACCGATAACCGATAACAAGTCCGAAAATCTGGATGGACCATTTTCCGGATAATGAGTTTGGCAATATTGAAATAGTGTGGACGTGTAGAGTCTCTGGTACCAATAAACATGGCTCAGACCACTTTCCGTGAACATGGATGGCACTGAAATTGAAAGAATAGTTTATTAGTTTTGTTTCAGATTAGTATAGAAGGGTATAGGGTTCAAAGGGTACATGAGATCTTGTCGTACAAGAAGATAATTCAACCTCCGTCTATAGGAGATTCAGCTTAACTTAAGACTGTAAGATATTCAGCCTTAGCCTATAAGAGTTTCAGCCTAAGCTTATAAAAATTCAGTCTAAGCCTGTAAGAGATTCAGTTTAAGCCTACAGGAGATTCAGGCTAAGCCCATAGAAAATTCAGCTTAAGCATACAGTAATGTTAATGACAGTTTTCATGTACTCCAAGATCCACGTACCCCAAGGTGTTTTTTGTGGTCTTACCAGGATCGCATATCAAAATCGCGCTGATCAGCAGAAACTCGTCATTGGTGATCAATATTTCTCGTAGTTTCGCCACCACATTTGACCGGATTTTGTTCAAGACACATGGGAAGTTTTGAAAATATAGATTCAATTCTGGTGGCAGTGGATTAACTCCTTTGGGAAATGCAACCATATCTTTTTGATCAGTGTAGGCCCTCATAGCAAAACAAAGCGTGTTATATTTTCTGACCGATTGCCAAACCAGGACCATTTGCTCAGTGTCGTTGAGCAGTTTGGAAACCTCAAGGCCACTAATGAATTCTACAGTAGTTTGATAGGTTGCCTCGGCCCAGAAGTTGAAGTTCAAATTGGGAACTTGAGAATAACTCAACACCTTCTCTTTTCTTTGATTGTCCAGGATTTCTAAATGTTTTAACATTGATGAAAATCCTGGACTAGGTGATTTTCGAGTAGGGGGATGTAAGCCAGCTTGAAGGCATAGTTGGTAGCGACAAAAACGACATTTCAAACAGTTTCCTTCATTTAAACATTCGGTCGGAAAGTTTTCAGCCTTCATAGCTCTTTGGTAGAATATCTTGCAGGCATTACAAAAATTAGCCTGGAAACAAAAACCGTTGTCATAACTTGTGATCATTCAAAAAATTCTAAAACTTACTCCATAATTAAAAGCGGTTGTCCCCTTTCCACAGACCACGCAAGGATTCATTATGATTCCAGTAGAACTAATAGAGTTCTTTAGGCTAGTAGAACTTTATTTGAGATAGTAGACTAGAATCTCTAGTCAGCTACTAGAACCTAGTCTATCCTTTTATATGGTTCACTTCCGGGATGGACTTTTGAAATCACGGTCTTTTTCGTGCTTTGTAGATATGTTTTTTCTTTTCTAGGCGGAAGTCTTCAGTCACTTTCTCACGCGGAAAGCATGCGTTTAATGAAGGAGTTTTGTGCACTTTTTGATTCGAAATGTTGAGCATGTAGTCTGCTTTCTGTCAATGATCTGTGGCGCTTTTTGTTCTGCCATCGTGGTTTGTGATTTCAGATCTTTTCTGATAGTACGAAAAATCACGTAGGCTTTGGATATGGATGGATCAAACTAAAGACATTTGAAATGTCGTGTGGGAGTTCTTGAGATAAAAAATGTGAAAAGAGAGAGGGGTCAGAACAGAAAAATTTTTGAATTTTTGAAGATTTGAAAACTTGAAATTTCAAGTATCTGAAATAGTTCAAGCGTCTAAATTTAATGGAATTGGAACCCCAATGTTTCTGAGTATTATGTAATCTAGTACTTCTAAAAACGCATATCTGGATATATGTAAATACAGATAGAAAAAGAAAATAAAGTTCTGAAATTGTTTTTTGGATTTTGAAGTTCTGCAAACGGTAAATTCTAAGATTCTGAAACAATGTAAATGTCTAGATTTCATGGAAGTGAAATCCCACTTTTCTATAACTTCTACAACTTCTAGAATAGATTTTGAGTTTCAATCGGACGTGCGCTTTCTCTTTGCCCGCGTAGCTCAGTCGGTAGCGGCGCCGCACCCACAATCATCGCCCTCACAAGTTCAACTCCTCGAGGGGCATCTTTGAACGAAATTTCGAGAACATTTTTTTTTTCATGTCCCCCCACCTTTAAATGTTAACCCCACACAAAAACCTTCATCTTGTGTAATTGACCCGATTTCATAGCTCATGTAGTTTTTGACATGTGATTGACTTTTCAAATGTGTATCTTGCTTTCAACATGTTGAAGCTTATATCTTGGGAATCTTCAGTGTGCAATCGTGATTTTTAATATAATTTGTTCGCAGTTTGATGTATTTTCATTCAATAGTTTAAAAATTTTGATAGAACAACTAGTTTTTGAGCAATAACGTTTGTTTTCTCGGGCCATCTGCTCCCCTTTATTATTCAACCGCAAATTAGATGGGCAGAGTCAGTTTTATAATCTTCAATTAATTTGAGACTAAAATAGTACAAACGATATAAGATATTATGGAAAACCCGCAAAAACCCTAAAACACACTTCAAAACTACACTATCAAAAAACCTAAACCAAACCTAACCAAAAACACGACTTGCCACGTCGTCGGCGAGACGGGCTGTACGCGTACGGCCTCAGCGGAATAGCGGAGCGTCGTTGCGAGTGGGCGCGCAGTACCGTAAGAAAGGGTTGATGAGTTGGCGGGCATGCCTACCGGCAACTTCCCCCTCCTCCGAAAAACCGGACCCCTGACCGGTGGCATGAAAGGTACAGGACCACTCGACTTATACTCAACTCATACTCCTTTTGAAATTACCGTCACGTGACCCTACGCCTTCCTACTCAAACGATAACACAAGAGATTTCCTAACATGTCTTAACGGCCTCAGATTACAAAAATTGAAACGTCCTATTGACCTCATAAAAATTCTAACTGTCCTATTGACCTCACTAGTTACTACAAAACAGAACAACAATAAAAATTTAATATATTCGGCTCCTTCGCCTTGTCCTCAATTTGCACGGTGCTTCTTGATCTTTGGCTCTGAGTCTTCAACGTCTGCTCTCAGTCGATCCACCAACGAGTGGCCTGGGATGGCGCACGCCAAGTATTCCATCATCTTCTCCAGCGATCCTGGTTTCAAGTCACAGAGGATCAACGGCATCTTCTTGGGTCCTACTGGAGTCATTGGATCCACGACTTCCACATTCGGCGCCGTCTTCCTTACTTTCTGCCATGTTTCGGTGACTCCTCCAACCTCGTCGTATCCGCACTCCATTCTTTCCGGTACCACCACCAATTCCCCAACTTCCTTGGCTATCTCCTCCACCAAGTTCACCAACGCCTTCAACTGCTTATCGTCCTTCGTCCATTCGACCAGAACCACCGCCTTCTCCACTTTCTCCCATCCAAACTTCTGCTTCCACGTCGAGATTGTTGCCGTTCTCACTTCGAAAACTGCCTTACTCTTCAATCCCATCAATCCCATTCAATCCCAAGTTTCGTTATTTTTATGATTGCCCGATGATGAGCGGCGAAATGTTTCTTGCACGTTGGTGGGATGCCGCTGTCCACAGATATCACTCTAGTCACCCTACATCCGGCTTAGAATTCTGGTTAAATTTTGCATTGTGAACCGAATTTCAATAAAAGTTCGTTCACAGGGCTACAAATTCCGCACTCGGAATTTGAGCCCAGTACAAGGCTTTATTCAAATTTTATAGTTGTACAAACTTTTGTGCGGGTAATTATGCGCCACCCTGCACATCAAAAATCTAAGTATATCAACATCAATATTAAAACTTGTCATCTTTATGATAGTTATTTTGAATTAAAAAATATTTTAATTTTTGGAAAATTAATGACTTTTTATGAGTTTTTAGAAATAAGTTCTGGTTAATAGCATTGTTCAATCAGTAGAGCAGCAACAGTTTCAGTCGAAATTTGTTTTTTTTCATCTTTTTGTTTTCCTGGAAATAATTCGCGATCTCAAAAATTTTCTCACATAACATGACTAGCAGCTTTGTTCATTCTCGCTTATTACTAATCTTACAGGGGAAGTACCCGAAGTGAAATTTCGCTTTTTCTCAGATGTTGGTGGCAAAAAATGTCCCGTCGCTGGACTAGCACAAAACGGATAATATAGGGTGCCCAAAGGCAGGTTGAGCAGAATGGCAAAACTTTTTGTGGTTTTTCCGAAAAAGTGGGTCAAGTCCATTCAAAAAATCATAACTTTGTACAGATTGAAGATAAAACAATATACTAAACTGTATTTTGTAGCACGGATTACAGGCTACAAAAAACCTAATTACACCTTTATTCTATCTCTGAATTTTACTACCAAGAATTTTACTATGATAGGAAATGTCCGAATGGTCCGATCGTATGAAATCAAAACATGTCGATTTTCGAAAACACAACTTTGGGAGACCATGTCTATCCGATTACTTTTATGTCATAATGCACAACTGTAGTCTCAAATATGTAGCTCATCGTTCATTTAAGAGAGATTTTTGAACAAATAATATTTTTAAAGTCAAATCCATGTACCCCTATACATGGTATTTTTAACATGTCACCCACAGAACAATTCCGAACTGCAAATTTTTTTGACCTACAGAAAAAAAGCTTGGCGCGATCACAATTGCAGGTCTAAAACCATAATTTCAGAATTTTTTATCTGATTTTGTGGAGTTCCAAGATGATTCAAATGATTCTTTAAAAAGTTAATTAGTGTTTATAGATTCATGTATGGTCGTTTTCCGAAAGAAAAAAATGTCAAAAATGGTCATTTTGAAAGTTTTTTACAGAAAAAAATCTATCTCCTCGTTCAGTTTTTGACATTTCTAGGAGTTCTATAGCTCAAAAAAACCGCAATTATTTTCTCTACATTTTCTATGGATGAATTTTTAATTTTTAAAAACAACGCAAAAATGCTATTTTGTGCAATTTCATGAGGTTTTTGAATTATAAAAAAAAGTTTTATCAGACAAATTATTGTCTATTCAAAATAATCGCGCGAGTGAACGAGTGAAAATGTCTGCGTCTGTACAGCGCCTCTACAGGTTTGGAGACTCTCTACACGTTTTTTCACTCGGA